ACTTTGAATTTTAGTGACAATTACAAGACTGAAATCCCTCTGGCTGGATTTGATCATGAGTTAAAATTAACCTTCATTCTCTTTCCTGATCCACAGCAGCTTTAAGACAAATAAGACTCTAAATCCACCATGACGGATAACCTTGGCAAAATAAGATGATTGCAATGCTCTTTAAATCTTCATATTAAATTTAACCTTAACATTTAAATCTGCATGTTAATTTTCACTGATAAAGAGAAGGTAAAACCATATGCTCCTATTACGCTTGGTTTCACAAAGAGCATACTGTAGCACAAAGGACTGTGGGATATTCTATTTGTAGATGACATTTAGCTTAGCAGCTTTATCTTAAGCCCGATGCAAACCAGTGTATCGGGATATCCCAAATGTTCGCTTCTTTATTATCATTACAAGTTATTATATAACAGAAAATTACCTTCCCCTTTGCGCCTTATGGCATAGCATAAACAAGACAAAATATCCTGTTGAATTTAATACAACATATTTATTCAAACTTTACCTTACCTTACCCCTAATAAAATATACTGTTGCTTTAATTATAGCATGGATACCCTTCCTTGATGAGTGGTGGAGACCAAGTGGGAAAAGAAAAACTCATGGTGAGATCTGCCAGCTGGATCTGCATGTTCAGTTGATCAGTTTTCAAGCCTGATCCTAAATGTGTCTGGATGCTGCTTGAAAGCTGGCTGGAGTGCAAAGCATGTATTTCTGCCAACCTTGAAAATCTGCCTTGTGAGTTTTTCTCAGCAACAGCCAGCTCTTCGCCTTCAGTGATGCAAGTAATTTGCATTGTGATCATCTTGAAGAGGCGCAACATGCTTTTATCATTCATGTTGGATATTCTTTGTTATTATCTGCACAGGAGTTCAACTTAATGGATATTTTGGACCGAGACTTCTTAGTCTATATGTGAACATGCTTATCATTCTATTGTTGCCTCTTCCAGGTCTGTGCACAAGGCATGTTTAACTTGGCCAAGTCACTCTTGGAAAATATATTTTAATCTGAATGAGTCTTTTACCTGGTTAAATAAAGGATATATGTAACTTTGTTTTTCATTCCAAATACTTTGGCATTTGCCACTGATTCAGTTGGCATTTAAGACATTTCTGTGATGCCACATTCCTTGCACATGTCAATTTTGGCTTTTCACAGCAAAGCAAGGAGAGACAGTTGGATTCAACCAATGAAAATAATTTCGAGGTCTTTCAAGGTTTTGACAGATTGCAAAAAACTCACTTTAACAAGATTCTGCTTTGCTATATTTAAGGATAATGTAGCTAAATTATTGGAGTAAACTTAACACAATCTGAGGAGACGGTTTTTAAACATCTTCAGTTAAGATGACTAAATAATAAGCTGAGGGGCTCGCTCAAGGCGACAGATTGTGTAGCTGGCAGAAAATCATAGGAGAATTTTTGGTCTCAAGGTTTTAAACTTGTGATCCCATTTATCGCCCATAAGTACTATATTGTATTCATTTTTCCACAGAAATTGCGTATTTAGTAGACACGCGTTTACAGTATTTTGTTAATGCATAACACACTGTTGTTTGACTTGTGTAACACTCTTTGAGAATCTTGTCAAGCAGAACATCTTGCACTGGCTTTTGAGGGAAAATGTGGTTCTGCATAAATCTTTCCCTCGTTTCCTTGTTCTCCTCCAGGAGCAGGTAAACCCCTGGACCACATTGCATGACTGCTGCATCCACTTTGCAAATCTTCAGTGCTTTTCCAATTGCAAATTAGGCTGAAAGCTGCTGATTTGGGGAGAAAGGCTTTCAACACAGCTTTGGAAGTGGTGGTAAGTGGAGTTTTACATAAAGGTACATTGATGAAAAAGACTGAAAACGGTGATGTATTATGTCAAAACATTTCACATTACTGTATTAGGTTTTTTGAAAGCAATAATACTTAATATCATTGCTTTCAGCTATACAGTAATGTGAAATGTGTTGACATAATACATTAAATTAAAGTCAACGTTTCAGTTATGTCAGTGTTGAAATGGATTGTGTAGATGAAGCTGTTTGAAACCAATTTGTATTTCAAACTTGACAGGTACATAGTAAGGGTCTCATTGTCAGTCTGCTTTGAAACAGCTGTTCTCATAATTCTTGGCCTCCTTACAACCGTGAAAGACATAAAATCCATCACCAAAACCTTGTGATAACTTAATTCTAACATACTCTAATCTAATCTGCCTTGCCTTGTAGAAGCACTTGGTTTGGCCTGACCGTAAGTCTCTTGTTTCTTGAACACTTTCCTCTCAAAGAGGGAAAAAGCTGTTAGCTATCAGGTCATCATAGTGGGCTCAGGCATTAGCAGTAAATGGCTTTACATAAGCTATTAGAAACTGTCCGGCTAATTAAGTGCTGTCATGACTGTCGATATCTACCCATTCTGTCTGCCCATCTTTTTCCAGTCTGGATCTGTATGCATTTGTATCACTGGTGAAAATTAACTAAGGACTCTTACATTTCCTGTTTCTTTATACTTTTATAAAAAAGGGAACAATGATCCATTATTACTCAAAAGAAACTTCTACAAATGCATGAAAATAAATGTGTGTAAGCAGACATTTTGTTTCTTCTTCTTTTCTACCCCATTTATCAGCACAATGTTTCTGAAAACCCAATGGTTTATAAAGTAGATACATTTAGCTCCAGCTTCAACAATAAAATGCTGAATATAAATTGATGCATCAATATTAGGAATCTAATTATTAAGAATACAAAACAGCATCTGACTCACAAGAATCATTTTGGGACAATCTGCAGAATGAAAGTCGTTCCCAAAATGTCTACCTAATTCTTATATATTTTTACTTGTATTTTGTATTTTACACAGTTGTGAGAGTTCATTTTGAATGCTTTTTTCATAAACCACATCGTTAAAACAGTGGAATATGCATTACTCCGAAAAGCACTTTTTGCTAGTTGAATTATGCAGCATTTGTTAATTTGTAGCTTATTAATCTTAACCTAACCATGTCTTTATTTAACAACCTGTTTTCACATCACAGTCATAAAATGTATCGAGAAGCCTCTGCCACTAATGCATACACAAACACACACTGCTTGTCAGCAGTGTAAGCTGTACCCCCTGGTGAGTCTACAACGTGATGTGTTTCCTCTGTGGGTGAGATTTATATCGGCTGTCTGACAGCTGCTCTGTAACACACGTATATTATTACACCACAGCCATCTTTTCGCTCTTCCTGCCTGCGTTATCTCCTTGCTTTTCTTTTACGTCTTGTGTGTTAGGCTTTTGTCCCTTTTTCACAGTTCAGTGCATCCTTTAAAATGTCAGAGAATGACTAATTTGTTAATGAATTGAAGCAATTGTATAAAAGCCATTGCAAATTGTCCTAGGAGTGATAGATTCATAGTTACATTTACAAAAAACTTTTTGCATGACAAGTACCTCTTGTCCTGTCTCCTTTTCTCCTTTTCTCTACTCTATTGATTTTCATCCCTCTTTAATATGCAGTTAAACCTGATACAGCCATTTTTCGTCTTCCCTCTTTTCTGTCTTTTTTTATCCTCATCCCCCCCACAGTGTGGGTCTTTGAAACCCTGTCCTCGACTCGCTGTATCATCTTATGCGTTTTCAGCACTCCACTGCTTTCCACTTCTAAAAAGCTCTCTTATGGGTTTATATTCCTGTCTTTGAAAGAAAAAAAACAGTGTAATGCTTAGAAGCTGGAGCTTATGGGAGCATGTGTGTGTTTCTGTTAGTGTGCTGCACCTTTAAACAGCAGGTGGCACTGCTGCTCTTTAAATCATGATGTGCGCAAAGAGGACAGCAATATGTTACTGCAGTAGGTCGATTTCTTGTAACAGTAGTTGTGGTAGGGACAATTTTAGCATGACAAATTGTTTCTGCAGGGCACACTTTCAATGGAATCATGTTAAAGGCCAGAGTGCCTATTAGGATCATCAGAACAGAGGAAATGTGTGGGTCAACAATGTAGGAAGGGGTTGTACGGTTGTGTACATGTAATTTGAATAAAAACTATGAGGGCACATTTTCAAAGTTCAATGTGCTATTGTTGAGGTTATTCAACTGTACTATGTATAACACGTTCCTCTTGTTAAATGGTCAAGGAAGGAAAGCCAAGGAGATGCAACAAGTTATTACTTGTAATTGAATTCCCTGGGACCATGGATCATCTTCTTATTCTGATTAATGCCTGTATTGGTGATAAGAATTGTTTTCCATGAAGAAACAAAGGCTACTGCCCTTACGTCCCTGTACCACACTCTTTAAAGTCTAATGCCAACCTTCAACATCTATTGTCTTAATTCATTAATTTGGCAAACGTGTAGAACTAGTAATAGAAACACAGTAAGCCACTGTTATGTGCTTTTAATGTCAGGAAAAAATGCACCTAAACATTATTAGAAATACATGTTACTCATCACTCTTTCACGTTCTAGTCCATCTACTTGTGAGATCTTGCAAACCAAACACTTATCATAGAGGCAGAGACAAAAACAAATATGTGTTGTAGTCACCACTTTAGTTGGAAAAGTCATTAGTAGTTTCAAGAAGAAGAATACATGTGAACCAAATGCTTGGGAAGAAAGGGATGCAGGAGAAAAAGGAATTGAAGAAATGTCATATTCATAAAAAATAAATGGGCTGATTTCAAACCTAATTTTGAACATTTTTACCAATAATTAAAACATTATAGTAGCACTATTAAAAACAATATAAATACAATGGCAATCAAAACTAATTGTGTTTATTTTATGTATTTTTTGTATTCGTTTATATCTATACCCCTGATGTCAACTGTTTTGTATACAAAATATATGACCTTCATATAATGCTCTTGAATAAATAAAAGAGACAAAAAAGAAAGAGAAAGCGCAAGGTATGTAACGTGTAACTACAATGAGACGTTCAAGTGTAGCTCTGATTTCCGACAGCCATGAATGCACCGTTTTTCTACGTCATCGAGTATCCCAAAAGCCTTCTCACCAGGAAGTGGTATGCCGGAGATTTTTTTTTAGGATTTGTTTTGACAATGATGGAGGAAGAAGAATTTGAATTGGCTGAGGATTTGGAGGCTATTCTGCATCTCACCCCAGAGGTGCAACTAGCCATTGAACAGGTAGCCGTTTGACCCTCGGTTACTATAGCAGCTTTGAAACAGTGTTGCTGCTCATGCCTATAAACCAGCTGTTAGCAGGCTAGCTCAACGTTACAGTGCTGTCACAGCTAGCCGAAACACCTTGGGTTCCTCGATATATTAACATTGTTAAGCCTCCAAAACATCGTCAGGTTGTTTTATATGTTGCTTAAAATAACACGAGAGTAAAATGCAAATTACACACGTCCGATTTATCAACTTGTCAGTGTATGCTTTCAGTGACAAGCCAAAACCGGTTTGCATGTTGAAGTATGCCAAATTACTCCATCAAATATTTAGTGAAACGTTGTCAGTAACGTACTGACTTGACGTCATGTGTGTTTTGTGTACTAGGTTTTCCCCAGCCAGGACCCACTGGACAGAGCAGACTTCAATGCTGTGGAATACATCAACACCCTATTCCCCACCGAGCAGGTACTGTACACTTTATACATGCATGGGTACACTGATGTGATAAAGACTGTTATGCTACTGATATCCATTTGATTGGGGGGCAGTCAACAGCTATATTTGTCATTAGTGGGTTGATAATGTTTGTCTTTGGTTATACTGTTGTGGAATTAGTTTTAGGTTGGAAATTCAAGATACTGATAGAAACTACTAGTATTCTCAGTTTCACAGACTGTCAGCTGTCAGAGGACGAACTCTTGAGCCCTCACTCAGGGGCTGTCAATACATTTCTTACACCAGATCAATCTTAGTTGCAATACCTTAATACTCATATTAGCGAAAATTATGCTGATAAATATATTAAAAAGGGTCTTGTGTTTCACAACTTTTTTAATTGCTGATCTGTCATTAATTTATTTAACAAAAACATTTAATCAAAAGATCATTTCAGTTTATTTCAATAGCTTTCATATGTGTGACTCCAAATTCATACCAGCAATGTTGTCTACCCCGGACCTGTTGGATTGAAGTGTTTCTTTTATTTTCTATGAAACATTTTTATGAACATTCTGCAGTTTTTGTATTGAAAAGTCTTGATTTATTTTCAAAAGCTTCAATGTCATGTGACCCAGTGACTCTATTATACATTTGGAAATATATATATTTGTAATTACTTCATAAGCACAGTTTAAAGTCATATATTCTTTCTCACACTTTTATTTGAAAAAACCTTAAGAACTATAAAAACATGCTGGTTTTCTTTATTATATAAACTTGTTTAATAATAAAAATAGGTGTGCTCTACTTATCCACTGCAATGGTAGGAGACCTTTCAATACATAAACTCGTGAATTTTCACAAGAATAACCATATACGAAAAATCACAAAACAAAATCGTGTACAACTTGTCCAGTGTAATAATACAACTCTACATTGATCTAGATGTCACATGCTATAGCAGTTATTGAAAACATATCATGTGGATGTAATGAGTATGTGAGTATGTTGTGAATCTTTATGTATTGCACTTTTGGACGGTATACTTAATAAAGTGTCTGTGTGTATACTCCATTTCCATGAGGGGTCGCTGTTACCCTATAGTTTGTGCTCATCGTATACATGGAAGGGCCCCTAGTGTATGTGCATGAATTTGTTTTCACCTAAATGGATTCTGTGTGTACTATTTCATCAGGTAAGGTGTAAACCTGTGCTGCAGTTGAAATGGCTAGTTAAACAGATTTGTATACCCTGAAGCTTTTTTAAAGGGACAGTTTACGTCAAAATCAAAAACACATATGTTTCCTCTCACCTGTAGTAGTATTTATCAATCTAGACTGTTTTGGTACTAGTAACCGTGTTGGAGGTAATGGCCAAGAAGATGTCTGCCTACTCGCGAATATAATGGAACTAGATGGCACTCGGCTTATGGTGTTCAAAGTGCAAAAAAATACATTTTAAAAAATGTGCTGCAATGTGTCATCAGAAATCATGACCCATTAAGTCAAGATGATCTATAAACCTTTTTGTTTAGTAGTTTCATATAGGAATTTGACTTGTGTCGTGAACTGTCCCTTAGGCACAAATGCAGTAAATGCTACAACGTGTGTATTTAAGTACAGAGGTATAATATAGGTTCAACAGCTGATTACCTGTGTTTGTATTTCCCATCAGTCATTGGCTAATATTGATGACGTGGTAAACAAGATTCGTCTGAAGATCCGGTGAGTTCATTTCATTGACTTGATGGCACATTTCTTGTTTTTGGTCATTATTTTACCCTCAAACTGACTGGAGTGCCCTTTGTGTCACATTTGATAGGCGCCTGGATGACAACATCAGGACAGTGGTGAGAGGCCAGACCAACGTGGGTCAGGATGGCAGACAGGTGAGTCGAGCTACAGTGGTTAAACAAACTTGATCGACTTCAAATATGTTTTCCGGCACAATGAATTGTGTCATTTATGTAATTATGGCTAGAAAAAAATATACATTTATTTAATCTATGAAACATGTTTCGTTGGTTGTCAGAATTAAGATTTATGTAACTATTGAAATGTATTATCTTGTTATAGTGAAGATGGTGGAGCTGGAATCTTTCCACAAAGGCTGATTGATATGTGTCCAATGTAACCATAGTATATAAAGCGTTATAGAAAAATAGCATGTAGACGTTACGTTATATGGGGGATGATAACACTGTTTTCTTATTTTACACGCAACCACAAGGCCTACTTTTCACTTGTGGTTTTCAAAACAGTATCCTTTCCCTGAAGTTAGAATAGCGCCACTGGCTTCTCTAAAGCCAGAGAAAGATGTTTTTCCCGCTCTCCTCCTCTTTCCTCTCTCCACATTGCTTCCATGGAAAAGGACAAGATGACTCAGAACCATTCCCACTGCTCAAACTGCCCTTCTTTACGGAAAACACGTCTGGGAAATAGATTCTCGTATGTGAAAACGTAGATTTATTTTAAACCCTGGCTTTTGAGTCTTTGCCTTTTCATGTTGGAGCAAGATGGAAAAGAACAGCCCCTGCTGATTTAATCCAGGTCGAGGAGTTGTGGCTCAAAGGGAATGTGACACCTGACGGGTGAGCCGTGTATGCTCTGACCAGTTGACATGATGAGGTGTGTGTTGTCGTCAGGGTGTCTGGCCCGGTGGCCCTGTCTTTCCCCGTTAGCTACTGTTTGGTAGCGGAAACACTCTAAATCCCTCCAGACCAATAACATTACACAGCCACACACAATCATTTTAGTTTGTTTTTCCAACCCCGCAGTGCCATTCGAACATTTCCAGAGGGAAAATACTTTCTGTAGATGGAAAGAGGTGTTCATTTCAAGACGGCGATTAAGACATAAAGCAATAGAATAAAACCAAAAGTATCAGCAATTTAGTCATTTCTGCTGTTGACTGATCTCAACTCACTGAGCTCAAAGCAATGCCCAGGATGAAATTGAAGATTATTGAAGAAGAATGGAAAGATCAAGAAGACAGGAGGAGAGAGAAAGTGGAGGAGATTCTGGGAAATATTTCTCTGGTGGTTTTTTTCTGTTTGGAGTCATATGCTGCAGGACTGAGAGTGTGGAAATGTGGTTCCCTTAGTGTTCGACTTAGCGCTGTTATTAAGTGTTACAATGACTGTGTTACCTAGCAACCAAAAATCTTTGCAATCATTCATTTATGAAAAAAACAACAACAGCACGACAGATGCATACAGGAATGGCACTGCAAGCCGAATTGTTTACGGTGTGATTGACTGTAATTTATGATGTCAAGTGGCTTTGCTGCAGACTCAATTATTACATAAACTCTGTCAGAAGCTAATTTCTTAACAATCCAGACTAATTCCTTTTAATCTGCATCATTTAATGTGTCAAGGTAATACAGAGGTTATGCCTACAGTGCTGAAGGTGACTAATTGTTGGATTCTTCTGAGCAGTCTGGCTATGTTGGTAAATGTGCTATGAAAATATCTGTATGGTTGTAGCCTGCCAGTCAAGAGTTTCCTGCCACACACACTGTTCCTGTCTGTTGTTAAAGCAATTTGGATACCACATGCACACCTGCTCCACAGTCAGCTCAATATTGCAGCGCACCGCTAATGAATGACATGAAAGCCTGGCTCGGTGGGAATCTATATGTTCATGTCTGAGTCAAAGGATCTCATTAAGGAACCCAAACATTTGTTACCAGTTAATTCCATTCACATAAAAGCTGCAGTATGTAAAAAGGGGTATGAAAACACACACATACACATAGTGGGGCTTGCGTCCTGCATGGTTGGCAGTCTGGTATTTGCGTGTTTTCTTTCCGTGTGTCTGATTTGTCTGTTTGTGTTTACATACTTTTATATATAGTCACATTGGTACAGGGAAGGATGCAATACAGTATAGGCTGGTATTCCTGTAGAAACGGCATTAATGTCAATATTTATCTCAGAAAAGGTTGTTCAAAGCTTGTTTTAGCGTCCATGCTTTCCTGTTCTCAGAACTCTGTCTGCTCTAAATGCACTAGTCACTTTCAACCTTCGCCACAAATATGTTTAGTGACTGTATCAGTTTATCCTATTACATTTGTCTAAAACATCATCTGTAAACACCAACTTTGCCAACATTTTGTATTGCTTTTTAAAGGAGAAATTAAACAATTAAAGAAATACGAGGCAGCTGGATACTAGGATATTTATATTTAGGCTATAAAAGAATGCATTAGAAAGTGGTGCTTTGGATTTTGTTTACTGTCAGGCTTAGCTATGACAAAACAATTGTTTTAAAACAGGGAGTATTTCTAAACAAATCTTTTTACAAGTTATTCTCTGTTAAGTGAAACACTCTTCTCTCCAAATGTTCTCCCTACAAATGTTAACATGATGGCAATGAAACAACTATTAAAATAGCCCTGATTGGTCGATCAGATTTATTAGAATTGGCCTTAACCTCAGAATTACCATTCAACCCAACCTGTATGTCAGAAAGCTACACTAGCATCTGTCAGAGGGAGGAGTGAAGTGCATCCTGTTCACGCTCCTTTGTACCTCTATAACACTACATATGTATGCATTGGAGCCCTGCTGCTTATTGCATGTAAGGGATACACTGGTGAGCATATGTGTGTTTGTGTGAGAGCAGATAACATCTCGGGCTTAGAGGCGCCTGCTGGGCAGTGGTCTCTCTCTCTCTCTCTCTGCTCTCCTCAAGGCTAAATACAGGAAATGAGCGCTCGGAAGCGAGCCAGTTTGTCTCAGCTGAGCCTGCATGAGAGGCATTTGCAGCCGTGGAACCAGCCTCTCCTGCATGCAGTTTGTTTTCTGAACAGCTCCTCCAGGGAACCTCTTAGAAGATTCAGTGGCACTGCCTTCCGCTCAGATCAGAGAGTAATGACATAACCTGCATGCATTTTTCTAATGCATTTATCCAATCACCCGACAACCAATGGGTTGCTTGAAGCATAAAATGAAAAGTGCAACCTAGACTTTTTCTCATCTGTATTAAAGAAGAGATCCTCTCTGTCTGGCCTCCAGGGCCGACTCCCCTAATGTAGTTTTATTACACAGAGTAGATCAAGTGTGAGCTTAGTTTAAGATTATAAGAGTGAAACTCCTTGCCGGTTTAAATGTCAGAATGGTTTTGTTGATTTTATGACCTTGTCTTGGTGTTGTGTTGACTTTCACTGGGTCTCCACGACACTGTCACCAAGTGCTGCTTTTTAGCCACACTCAGGAAGCAGAGTGAATCCTCTGCTGTCAGTGAAAGCTGTATTTATGTTTGTGTGTATGTGCACAGTTTGTGTCTGTTTGCTCAATCACTGTTTCTTAGACGTGCTTGTAAAAGTGGTAAATTCCTTGCACAGCTGGTGCCGGCTGTTAGCATTCCTTGGGTGCATGTGTCAGTCTGTGTGTGTGTAAATCTTAGGAAAGTCAAAGTTGTGTCGTAGCATCGGGCCAAGTGAAGCCAATTACCTTGGCATCAGATGTCGAGCACAATCTCTGTTTAGGACCATCAAAGAACAGCTGCCATGTCAGATGATGGGGAAATATTCAAATAGCACGTTAACTATCTTACAATTGTAACTGTCTGATGTTATCTAATCCCGTCTGGCTTTATAGGTTTTTAAAACTGCTAATAGTGTCTTTAGCCTTTAACCTATCAGTGTCAGATATCTAGTTAGTTTTCCAGATAGATGGGCAATTACTGTGTATATATCAGAACTGTGAACAGGCATAAGCGGGATATTTTTTTTACATGGACCAAAGCCAGTAGTGAGCAGATAAGAAAATATCCCTGGAAATACGACCCAGGCTGGCAAACCACAACTGACACACAGTTATTCCACACAGCCCTGCTTCTCAAATCAACTGTATTTTAAGTGTAACATGTTTTTTTCTCATACAATTTTGCTAAAAAGTTCACATTTTATGTATGGGATGACACATTTTCATTAAAGGGTTTCCCTGCTCTCTCTCATGAATTTGTGGATTAAAGAATATACAGTATAATAAAGTTCTAGACACCAGAGGGACATTTTATTGTGAGTTTGGTACAGTAGGTTGACTCATTTGAAATATATCCACAGTACAATACTGTCTGTTAGAAAGGACACTTGTAAGGGATAAAAAGAATGCATGAGTTTAAATACACACCTTTCACGCCTCTCAGGTGGAAGCACCAAACAGCAAGGGATTGTTTTTTCTAGCTGTTTCCATGACTTGCCATTTCTCTACAGGTAGACAACACCACTCATTCAAACTCAGCATTTAAGGGTTAACTGAGTAGGAGTTTTCTCATCCCTTTGTTCAGTTCTGTTTATTTGAGAATAAATACACACTTACATTATCAGCAGCAGCAGCAGGTGAAAAAAACGTATTCTCGGTATGTTTCATATTTTCTCTGTTTGTTTTGGACAGGCTTTGGAAGAGGCCCAAATTGCCATCCAGCAGCTCTTTGGAAAAATCAAAGACATCAAGGACAAGGCAGAGAAGTCTGAACAAATGGTATGCACACACACACACACACACACAAGGTGGCTTGTTGAAGCTTATCAGTGACATGACCTGGCAAAGGGGATATACACTCTGTATCCTTCTGTTACAATAGAGGAGAGGGTTATTTAAAGTTGAGGAAGTAGGCTGGGTGTGTAGAGAAAGGATGAAGGGGGAGGTTGGAAAGCAGACCCTCCCTCAGTGGCATGTAGGAGCAATGATTTCTCAAACCAGTGGGTGGGTTGTTTATCTTGCTCTATTTATCTTTGTCGTATCGCTCCATCCAGTCGAACCACCTACATGTGTTCACCTTCTCTTGCTTCCTCTTTTCCCATCTCTGAACATTTTATTTTCTCCTTATTCTGTGCGATATAAATGACCAACCTCTCTGACATTTTCTTTTCCTGCGCAGGTCAAGGAGATTACGAGGGACATAAAGCAGTTGGACCATGCCAAGCGCCACCTAACAACATCCATCACCACCCTCAACCACCTGCACATGTTGGCAGGAGGCGTCGACTCTTTAGAGTGGGTGCAATCCCTTTTAACAGAATGGATCTAATTTGACCTAAATAAAGCATTTGGGATTTTTCAGAAGCTCTTTAGTTGTGATAAGCGTTCTACATTTTCGGATAAAGAGTTAGTTGCTGCCAGTAGAAATACTCTGAACTGAATGAGGAGTTTTATTTCAGTCTAATATGATTTCAGTGGCATGTTAAAAAAAATACGGGGTTCAAGCTTCTTATGTATATTGATAAAACATCTGATTTGTCTTTAAAATCTGTAAAAATAACATCCTTCTGTGTTATCTTTTCTATCTTTTAAGGATATTGTTTTTATCCCCTTTAGCATGTTAGGAAGGAATTTGCACATGTGAGAGATATACACTTAGATTGATGCTTGGATGATACGTTTTACAGATGTGCGTGGCATTATCACTTGACAAATGTAGCGTATCAAATATATTTTCTTTATTTAATAATAGAAATGTGTGTTGTTTTGGGTTCCAGAGCCATGACCAGAAAGAGGCAGTATGGTGAGGTGGCCAACCTGCTGCAGGGAGTGGTCAATGTGCTTGAACATTTCCAAAAGTACATGGGCATACCCCAGATCAGACAGCTATCTGAGAGGTAACTGAAGTGCACACGCTAACACCTACACACACAGCTCTGGGGTTGAGTATCAAAGCATTAAGAACAGCTCGTTTCCAGTAGCAAGTTCAGAGCCTGTTCTCTGCTTACAGCTGAATATTCCACAGCTCGTCAGCAGAACTGTTGAAAAGTGGTTACAGTATTTGGATGGAGGTATTTTGCGTATTGCATCCTGTTTATGCAGATACAGTATACACACACGCATACACACACAACTCCACAAATACAGGAACACAGAGGAAGGAAACACTGAACAGAGTCCCATTATGGCCGTGATTCTTCCATTGTGAGAGATTAGGAGCATACTTTTTCTAAGGGTGTGTTTGTGTCTGCATGTATGTGCTTCAATTAATGGTACATTCCAGAATGTTTGTTTGCTCTCCTGCCAATATCTGGAAAATACACACAGATACACACGCACACACAGACACAAACAACAAAGGGCATTGTTACACTCTCGTTTCCCACAGCCCTGACTGATTTAATTTCCATTTTTACTATTATTTTCCAAGAACAGTAAATCAAATTGGGACACATTGGCCATGTTCAAGTTTAAAGCAGTGCTGATCCCCCAAAAAAAGATGACCTTCTGTTCTGTTTTGACTGAGGTGTGGCCGAATAGTTTTTTACCAAATAACAGCTGCGTGGAAGAAGTGACTCGAGATAATAAGACAAGGCAGAAAGCTGGACGCAAACAGTTAAAAGAAAGTCATAGCAAGACAATAAAAGACTACATATTTTATTAAATTCTAAACTCAATCTCATTAAAAACTTAAAACATTTACAGAGAAGGAGTTAAAGGTGGGGTAGGTAAGTTTGAGAAACCGGCTCGAGATACACTTTTTGTTATATTCCATGGAATGCTCTTAACATCCCGATAGCAATGAATATCTGAAGTGCTTTGACGAAAAATCCATAAAAAGATGTCATCTGTGGAAGCCGTAGTACTGTAAAAAGCACGACCAATCATTTTAGCCGGCCCGGCTAAAGTAACTGGATGGCCTACCTGCCTGTCAGCCTTCCATCGGGGCACAAACTTATCTCGTGCCCTCATTGGTCATGTGCGCGTTCGTGTGTGTTGGAGGAGGGGCTCTGTAAGGAAGTGGCAGATTTTCTCCGGTTGTGTATTTTCAAATTCTAGCGATCTCGAGCCGGTTTCTCAAACTTACCTACCCCACCTTTAAGTAATTTTGGTTTTACTTATGAATTTAAATTTTAAAAAGGGACGATAATAAATATAAAGCAATACAAAAGAAGAAGAATGGTTTGGTTTATGTGAATATTCTACATGGTTACAGTCTAAATGTATATTAGGGCCTCCAAATTACAATTCTCCCTTCCTGCCTTAAAATATTTAATTCAGTTAAGGAAATTGTTATTTAATTTGTCTTTATACTTACTATACTGAAAGTGCAAATGTCATAGTTGAACCTGATCAACTTTTTTTTTATCTTAATAAGCCTTACTCTTGTCATTGCTTAATGCTTCGCTCACCTTCTAAACTTCACCATGACTCTCACAGTTCAGCTGACAGGCAGCGAGACAAAGTGTTTGGTTGTGTACTGTATCTATGTACTGTACTATTGTGTGTATATACAGTACAGTATACTGTGTGTATACACATACATGACCTGCTGTTCTCTCCGACATCAGTTTATATGAGCATGAGACTCAGCTGAAACAGGAGCAATAGAGCAGTGTTTGTTATTACACTCAGTAGCTGAGGTTGTTAGCTGGATATTTAGCCGACATCATTCACTTGAAATAAAGCTGCCAGTTCATTTGCCCTCCATCTGTGATAACATCTCTGCACCCTCTCCTGCTTATCCTGGACCATTGTCATGGCTTTGGGAGCTGTCCTTGGTTAACCCAGCCTGGAAGCCTTCAGGCAACACAGACCCTCCAAGTACTGGACAGACAGAGTGTCTAAGTGGACCCTTTTGTATAAGCACTTTCGAAACATTTTATACAGTGACTTTATAGTGGGTGAAAAAAAAACTAGCCACTTGTAAACAGTGTCTTTGTCTACAATCACTGAACAATGATTACATTAGGGATATTTTACCTGGCTGTTTATCATAAAAGGTATTTGCCAAAGTAGCTAGGTGGCCAAATGTCATATGCCAAAAGTCTGTTGTATATTGGAAGCTTCCACATGTAATTGCTACCATTCCCTTATGCAATTTGAATGATTGCGGAAACAACTTTAATTAAAATATATAATTTATTGGATTTCCAGAGTAAAAGCAGCACAGAGTGAGTTGGGGACTCAGATCCTGGCAGATTTTGAAGAATCCTTCCCCTCTCAAGGCTCCAAGGTAAGAGTTTCAGATTTGTTGAGTTTAATTTGTTTCTGTAAAAATGAATACCATTTCTCACTATTCAGACACTGTTCTTGTCTCGTTCCACCTTGTAAAAAACGTGTATTGTTATCCATCCAGAGACAAGGTGGTCCCAGTAACGTGTTGAGAGATGCCTGCCTGGTGGCCAATGTGCTGGATCCACGCATCAAACAGGAGATCATCAAAAAGTTTATCAGGCAGCACCTCTCAGAGTACCTGGTATTATTCCAGGAAAACCAAGATGTGAGTAAGAAACTGATTTCTCTAATGAACAAGATGATATCTATAATAGTATATACTAATACCATGACCTGTGCTCAGGTTGCATGGCTAGACAAGATCGATCGGCGCTACGCCTGGATCAAACGGCAGCTCGTGGACTACGAGGAGAAGTACGGACGCATGTTTCCTGAGGAGTGGAGCATGACGGAGCGCATTGCTGTGGAGTTCTGCCACATCACCAGGTAACGAAAACACCACAACATATAGCATAAAAACCCATGTTGGAAAAAGCGGTGCAAATTATCATAGGCTATTCATTTTATAGCTTGTGTTTCTAGCCTATTTAGTGAATATTTTGATGGTGTGTCTCTGTCCCTAAGAAAAGAGAAGAAAGAAAAATAAATAAAAGAACAATAATTAAATGTAATTAAATTAAAAGAGAAAGTGGCTGTGGAACATTTTGGCACTAACCACACTGGTATGGCATGCTTCTCGTGAGTCTTTGATTTGGCTTTTAGTGCAATTGACGTAGGTGGCCTGCATGAGCAGTGACCTACTGTAGTGACCACACACTCAGTCTGTTTCCCTCAGCTACAGAAGGCAAGAAGAAGTGGGCACTGTGTGTGTGCTACTCTCGACTGCAGCTGACAACAAAAATGCATAAATCCAATCAGTGTCTTACGAGAAGCCTGAAAAGACATGCGTTAGGTAATAGGATAGGTGTCAAATAAAAGTACTAACAAGGGTCAAAGCATAGAAATTAATAAAGTAAGCAATTTCAATTTTTGTATCTTTGTTTTTAAGGGTGGAGCTTGCCAAAGTGATGCGAACACGGGCTAAGGAGATTGAGGTGAAGCTGCTTCTGTTTGCTATTCAGAGGACCACAAACTTCGAGGGTCTTCTGGCCAAACGCTTCACCGGATGCACCTTGACTGACATACCCGGAGTAAGAAAACTCCAATAATTACATACAGTTTTACTCAATATAAACTCCAACTGCTTCCACCTTTTCAAGATGAAATTGTCCAAACACATAGAAGCATAAATCAGAGATCTTAATTGCACTTCTGCCCTTAAATAACACTTTTCTTACAATACAACATTTCATCCAATCAAAATAAATGTTTTGATGCAGCTCGCTTTTTTTGTTCCATAATCACAATTACATAAAGCTGTTTGTTTGTCTTGTTTTGTTCTACTCACACACACAGTCCTCTCTGTGTCACAGCATAAATAAATCTTTTACTCGTAATGTTGTATGTCGAATTGGAAGCAATAAATGAAAAATGGACAGTTAATGATTATTATTTTGTTGGACGTAAAACTCTGCCAAGCTTTTTCATCACTGTCAATATTTAGGTTAGTCAGAGGCCCTTTTGTCCTCAGTTAGGTTTACACCAATGCCTGCTGGGTTCTGTAATTTTATCAGGGTATTTAGTTGAGTGGAATTTCATAATTGGATTTGCAGTTTCAACAAATCCTCCCATTAAATTGTCTACATAGAAATAGAAGAAACTGACTAATACTGAACGATTTAAATAATTACAGAAATATTTATGCAAGTCAAGAGAGTTGTTAGCATGGGATGCCTAAGTGGCAGTAAAGCCCCTAATGCTGCTTTAATAATTGCGCAATAGATCAATTATAGAGCAATTTATCTGTTCTTTTATAGAAAAAGAGGCCAGAGAGTCCTCTTGAATCTACTAACCCCTTCCTGGATGACGACGCGGGTGAGGATGTGGGCGCAGATAAGGACGAGGATCTAGCTAAGGTGAGTTGACCTGGAATGACCCCATCTGTTTTGTCACAATGAGATGTTTCTTCCTCTGATGTGGAGCTTTTTGATTGGATTGATTGTTTTTTCTTCTTTTTCTAAAGTACTCTTGCTAAAGGTAATACCACTGGTTTATTGGCTTATGCAAGTAGAACAGTTGTGTAGCAGCTCAATTTAAATATTTAATGTTTGTTTTGTTTCAGTTTTAAAAAAACAATAACCTTATAACCCATTTAAAGCAGGGTGGATTGGTGTAAACTGCATAGTCACTTTAAGTTGGAGCTAATAACTTGGTAGCTGATTGTACTTACAAATGAGAAGTGATTTCTAACAAGTTACACCACCTTATCTTTGAAAACTGTCTTCATATTTTGACCTTTGTTTGCTGAGCTCGAGGCAAATCATAAACTCACTGATTGATACTCAAAGGAGCTACAACTTAACTAAAATGCCTAATTTATGTCTCAATCCTTTTAGCCCAGAAAGCCAAAAGCGCCGGACAACCCTTTCCATGGTATCGTCTCCAAGTGCTTTGAACCTCATCTATACGTCTACATAGAATCCCAAGACAAGTGAGCAACACACAAATATACAAGCAGACAAGGCCATATTGGGTCGTGATGCACAGACCCAGGGTCAGAGGCAGGTTGTGTTTAAGGATGGCACGCGCATCCTTTTTCCACTCATCAATCAGATCCCCCACCTACCATTCTACTTCATTGTCTCTTCTGTCTTTCCATCTCTTGTTTCTGAATGCCTCTGTCTCCATTGTGGCAGAAATGTTTCCCATTAGCTACGCGACCACAGACGCTGGGAGGAGGAGAGAGGGAGCTTGAATAAGTGCTGCCACAGCAGATCTGCCTATTTTCTTTCCCACCTCTTTATTGCTTTTCTTTTTGCCCCCCCCCCTCTTTCTGTCTTTCTGTTTGATTCCTCCTTTCTTCATCTCAATCTCTCATTGTTCCTATTTTGTACATTTCTCTGCCCATGCTTATGTTTTTTGATTCCCTTCCTGTCTCCCTGTCTTCTACCACCATCCTTCACTTTTCCTCCTGTAATCCCTTCCCCCAGTCATGGCAATCTCTCCTGAAATTGAACACAGTTCTGGGAGTGCTGTGCTTGCATGCAGGCCCTGGCTTTTGGCTCTCTGGCCCGTTAAATTCTGTTTGTCTGTCCAAGGGAACAGTGTTGACCTATTCTGCAGTTACAACCTCATTTTACTTCAGTCCAAAGGCCTTAGGCAGGCAACAGCCAGATCAGCCTGTCCCCAGTGGGACATAGCAGGAGAGAACAGTGGCCTGCTTGTTTTGTCCTTGGCTTTAGTTCCAAGATTCAGCAGGATTGGGCCCCATCAACTGACTGTGGTCCTGTTGACTGTAGCACTTTTGATTTTGATATGCATGGAATATTTTCTCCTATTCAGCCGTGTGGCTCTCTGTCTGCCTGCCTCTTATTTTATCCTTAAGTTTACTTAATGGGTTTAGGAATCATTTATTTTAATGATCATGTCTTTTATATTTGAGTCACTTATTTCCTAATCCTAATCCAACCATGGGGATTTGGCTGTACATTTTCTGGCATCCGCAGGAACCTGGGCGAACTGATTGACCGTTTTGTGGCTGACTTTCGAGCGCAAGGCCCACCCAAGGCTGGCACGGAAGAGGGCGGAGCCGTGCTGCCCAGCTGTGCCGACCTCTTTGTCTATTACAAGAAGTGCATGGTGCAGTGCTCACAACTGAGCACCGGGGAACCAATGATCGCTCTCACAACCATCTTCCAGAAATTCCTCAGAGAGTACGCTTGGAAGATCCTCTCTGGCAACCTTCCTAAGTAAGACATTTAAAAAAAGTCATTATATTGAAAATGTTCTTCCTCATGTCCATCATAACATGGAGATTTTAAAAGAATATGAGAACAAAAGGTAATCCAGCATGACTTTGCTTCTAAATGAAAACACTTCCAAATTGGCTTCCAATCTCTATGTTGTGGAAGTAGCTTTAATATTTCCTGTTTCCATCCAATCAATACATATTCTGGGCAGTAACACAAACAGATTTATTTGGGATTCATTTTTCACGAACAAAATTGTCAGGCCAATATTTGTCAAATCTGTTGGTAAGATGATGTTTGGGAGTTTAGTTTAAAACAAAATGTCTTCAGTGCTGTGTGTATGATGGATTGTGGTGGCATGCTTTAAGGGATCTGGAGTTAGTTATGTTGTGGCAAAGCCTAATATGCTACCAGCAAAAACATCTCTGGCTCATTGGCCACATTATAACTCATCACTGGCTGTGGTGTGCACACACACACACACACACACACACACACACACACACACACACACACACTCTCACACACAGTGGGGCTCTGTTTCTGTCTCAGATATTCATGCATGCTAATTACAAACCTGTGCTCACAGACTAATGTATACCATATTCTGAGCTGTACACAAACATGATACAAAGATGCACTCAAAGGCTTTGCAAGTGCGTACACTTACAAACACATGGAGAGACAGTCGTGCAATGTGGTGTGCTGTAAAGGTTTGCAGAGGGGCCCTCGAAAGGAGCTTAAACTATTTTGTGGTTTCTCTGTTATGTCTCTGTGATGATGTATATTAATGTAGAGGCATCATGTTGGTGCTGCCACCCCATAGATGGTTGATAAATGTCTTAAAACAGTTACTAAGAGCTATATCTTAGTTGTTATTATTAAACTCATATGTTTCCAGGTATGATTAGTTGAGAAGTGTAGGGTTTCTGCCAACAAGTAAAATCTTGAATTATATATGCTAATTCACTACTAAATGTTACAACCAGCCAATATGTTAACCCCTCTGTCTCCATCTTTGTTTAACTGCTTTTCTCTTCTGTTCCTTATATCTCTCGATCCAGATCCAGCAGTAACAGTGGAGGTCTTACCATAAGCAGTCTGCTGAAGGAGAAGGACGGACCGGAGGCTGCAAAGTTCACCATGGACGAGCTCTGCCTGATCTGTAGCATCCTTAGCACTGCGGAGTACTGCCTGGCTACCACACAACAGGCAAGCACACACATATAAGCACACACATATAAGCACACCGATGCACTCATCTTAAATATCTATAAATGTATGGCATGAGATGAACTACAGTGACAGTAGACGCTAGAGGACACAATAGATTCCTTCCATGTAGCAGTTACAGAACGTTTGACCTGTGTTTCATCCGTGTTTTAAGGAACTCAGTGTGATTACAATGCATCCTGGAAGGTTTCATTCCTGCTCCTTTTTTTAGGCAACAAAGCAATTTGAAGACAATATTAAAAAGAAATATGACAACATGCATTACAAAGCATGCACTCGAAGTAATAAAGCTTCGTATATTGACGTTATTTTGTTTTATTATTTTCTAGTTGGAGGAGAAACTGAAGGAAAAAGTTGATAAAGTCCTAGTGGAGAGAATTAATTTGACTGGGGAGATGGATACTTTCAGCACGTAAGTGACAACTACAGACATGCAATGTTTTATTAGTACAAAACATATGTGCTTATCTAACAGTGTGTTTTGTGAATAATATGTTTTAATGGTGTCAATTATTTTCTTTCTTGTTTTCACAGTGTCATCTCAAACAGCATCCAGCTCATCGTTCAAGATATTGATGCTGCCTGCGACCCTGCTCTCACTGCTATGAGCAAGGTTGTACACAAACACAAACAATCACACATCATCTCTAGTTATTGGATCAAATACCATTGCCATTGATACAGAAAAGTGAAAAAAACATTTTATTTTTTTGCTTTTAAATTATGAATGCCATAACACAAGGTTTCTGGTGGTTTTGTGAATGTCTCTTTCTAACCATCATCATTCAGAAAACCTTGTAAAAGATGTCCTTGTTTTATGTGTAATGCATTAAAGGGATTGTCACATAAATATTACAATAAAATGTATCATAGAGCATATGCTAAAGCTTCCCTCCTCTCCCCTCTCCTCTCCCTCTCTCTCTCTCAGATGCCGTGGCAGAGTGTGGAGCACGTGGGAGACCAGAGTCCTTATGTGACCTCAATTATCATGCACATTAAGCAGAATGTGCCCATCATCAGAGAAAACCTGGCCTCCACACGCAAATACTTCACACAGTTCTGCATCAAATTCACAAAGTACAATATACACACACAAAGTATATACAACACACATAATTGCTATATTTATAAGCCACAATTAACACTTCAAAGAATTGATGTTTTTGTATTTTTTTCCCCTTAGCTCTTTCATTCCCAAATTCATCAACCACCTGTTCAGATGTAAGCCTATCAGCATGGTTGGGGCTGAACAAGTAAGTTTAATTCCTGCTTATCTATCGTAAAGTGTCATTAATTAAGCTTAATTTTCAGTCATCATCCCAATGTATCTTCTGCTGTACATGCATGTGCACAAATACATGATTATCAAAGCAGAAAATCCATTGTTAGCATTCATAATGTGCACTGGTGTATATGTTTAATCATGAAAAGCTGTTCTTAAATGCCTGATTTTCTGTCTTGTGTATCCTACCCCATCAGCTTCTCCTTGACACTCACTCCTTGAAGACAGTCTTGCTGGATTTGCCCTCCATAGGCTCCCAGGTGCTCCGCAAGGCCCCTGCCAGCTACACCAAGATAGTGGTGAAAGGCATGACCCGAGCAGAGATGATCCTAAAGGTGAGGAGTGGGTGGGCTTCAGTGCAGCAGCTTTTTTCAGAAGCCTTTTGTACATGTCTTTTGCATTTGGTACAAAGGGCGGAGCACTTCCCAGAATACTGTTGGAAAAACACTCAACCATGCTCTTAAGGCCAGTAGATATTAGTTTAAACAGTTTACCTTACTGAAATAAACTAAAGAATGAGCTTGTTTCTTTGACTGATGGATTGTAATGAGAACCTGAGATGTTCTCTTAATTCACAATAGTTCAACTCAAACACATTATCAGAGTCGCTTGATGTTTATGGGACACTTCTGATTTTATTACATTTAACTTGGGTGGCTAACCTCATGCGTTCCATTTTACAACAAAAGCTTCACTTTCTGGCCTTAAAAGGACTTGGAACTTTAGATGGGCCATTTTGGACGAGTGCAGTCTGAATTTAATTTTGGTTTGCCATTGTGCAGATTTAATGTTGCTGACATATCCAGTTAAACATGAACTTTGGTGTTGATGCTAACGCTTGACCTAGAATAGTCTGGCAAAACCTCTAGCTAACTGCTTTTTCCACTAATTGAGGTTTCATCATAAGAAGAAAAAAAAAGACAACATCTCTTCCTAAAGTGTCTGTGGCTTCCCTGGCAAGTCAGAATTCAACAGTGTATTTTGAGTCACTCGAGTAGATTATTTTTTCATAGAGTTAATTTTTGGCAGAATAACTCTTGAATTGTTTCTTTACCCCTACTTACAATAGCACTTTATGAGCATGTTTCCATCAAATAACTTACCTCACATGAGGTAGGGAAGGAATGGAGCTCATGCACTACTGGTTTAATGAGTGAAAGACGGGCCAACACAGGACACACACACAAACATATTCTTTAACACAGTATGTGGCTGACCTTGAGCCAGTGGAAAGGTGTGAGTGGGTAAATAAGTATATACATGTTACCATGCATCTACTCAAGAAACACTTTGAGATGACCATGGTGTACATAGCATATGGGTGTTGTTGTCAGTGAGGAGAGCAAACACAGGAAACAGCCAGTTAGCCATGCGTCAGAATTACCTTATGAGACCTGAGAGGACTCTGGTATGTGGCTGATGTAGATTAACCCCACCCTAATTAACTGTCTCTGGAGTGTACTGAAATGCAGACACTCACACGCGCCTGTCCCTACATTTCCCCTGGACTCCCGGGAGGCCTTCTTTCCTTCCTGAATTTGTCATGGTTGGGCTGTTTTGATGTTTGTAACAATAAGAGTGACCTTCACTAATCATGCCATGCTTTACTTTAATTTTATGGATACTTTGCAAATTAACCACTCTGATCATTTGTCAGTTTTCTACTGGGATGCACACTGTTCCATAAGGCCTGTTTAAGGCTTGTCTTTGTTTCCTGGAAAAATGCCCTGAATGTATACACATGAATTTCAACTCATCTGCCACACATTAAAGGGGCTTTCACATTATAGAATTATAGAGTGTATTCACATCAGTATTCACTGCCTGGTTTTTACTGAATTCGACTGCCAGCGGGCCCCTTCAGCTGGAATGTGATCTATATGGCTTCTTAAAAACTCTCATAGACGTAGCTGACTGTGCATTAAAGCCTCCAAGTGGTTCACATCGATTAGAAGTACATTATTAGTGATAATAAGAATAATAGAGAAAGTATACATTTCTAATGAATACAATCAGCATTGCATAATGTTCCTGCTACTTTAGCAAAAAGTCTTTGAAGGGAGAAGTCTCTGTTGCATCTCTTTGAAGAAAAAAAAAAGGGCCAGTTTTTTGAACAGTTTTGGCCTTGGAAAGAGAAAGCTCATATTAGTTTAGAGAAGCTTTTGTAAGATGGGCAGCATTTAAGCCATCAGCTTTGTGCAACTTAAAGTTTCCTCACAGGTAATTGCATCGGAACAGGGTCAATATAATAATTCCTCTGTCTAGCCTCAACAATAGTTTTGAATTACTCTCTGTGATGCTGTGGCTTGAAATGTAATCCGGCGCACACCCCCACCAAGGAACTGCAATTCATTGGGACAATTGAAGGAGCACTTTAAGTTCCCAAAGCTCACTAAGATTTGAGCAGAAAGCCAACTTCAGGATTACATGTCAAAATCTAAGCAGATCATAAAATATTTGTTTTTGAACATTTAGATTTACACACTGGAGAACATATAGTACGTTTTATTACTGTAAGATTCAACAAAACAATTAAGTTAGTATGTTTTGTTTTGAATAGTTTTCCATCTACACAGCTGCACATTTAAATGATTGTGTTACTGTTCTTGAGGTGGTATAATGATCTCACACTTATCAAAACAATCCTGTTGATGTTTCAATTAGAAGTGAAGTAACTATGTTTATAAGTCAAGCGGTTAGTGAAAAGTGAAGCCAATGTGGAAGTGCAGCTGGCAAAGAGAAGTCTATGAGAAAATCCCCCTACATCTCACTTGATTTACCTCAGTAAAACATTTTCCTGAATGGCTACAGTAGTTCAAAGTCTTCTTCAATACATCATCATATTTGTGTTGTAAATGATGGTCCTATTTAGAGAATAATAGTGTATAAAACCTTATGTGTTCACCTTCAAACTTGAACCCTTTCCCAGTGTGTGGTATTTGTTCACATAAGATAATTGTAAACATTTATCACAACAAATTGTTTTGTTCAGCACTTGGTTGTACTTTTTGTTGCCCTCTTTGGAGCCGCGAAACAGACTGTTAGCACACAATTGCCTTTATTATCACCTGATGAAGTTGTTATGTGTTATACAAACAATTGCCTACTAACTACTACACATAGACAAACACATTTAGTCTGTGGTGTTGACTCCTCAGGGATCCTATTTAGCCAAATGCTTCACAATGTTCAACAGGAACCAGCTGACTTTATCTCTATTCTCTTTGGATCAGCTCGGGAATGAGTACAGTGGTTCATCGGAGCTTCTTTGTTATGCAGAAATAAAGCTGTGTTTGGCCGAGCGGTAAGACTGAACCAAAACAATGAAGTTCTTTGTCCTAAAGCCAAAACAATGAGCTTAAAGATGTTCAAAAAGTCCATGACGCTGAGCGGATCTCTGATCCTTTCTTGATGTGTTCATTACTACTAGAGACCCCTTTCACAATATGTGTGATAATTTGTTCCATTGTTAAAATAACAAGATTCAAATTGCATATTGTTCTGCACGTCAGCTGACAAAAGAAAGTCTCAAGATTAACTACTGTATTTTTTTCCCACTTCCACCACCCTAAATTAGTATTACACATATTTGGGTTATCTGTGTTGTGTGCTCAGTGATGTTTAAAGTGCATAGGATTGTAAGCTGTGTGTCTGAGACGCCTCTCGTCTGATGCCTGTGAGACGTGGCTGTTTTCCACATTCATCCAGCCCAGCCCATCATTGCTCCAGCTCTCTGTACCACCTCTGAAGCTCTCTTTTGGGGAGTATTTAAAAGGCAACCCCCCTTCCCCCCCTTGTTCAGCCTAAATGCACCCCCCCTTACTCTGTCGCTCTCACTCTCCTTTTTTATGCCCCTTTTCATTCTTAACCCCCCCCCTTTTCTGTTTTTTACAAGGTCCCTACAGGCCTTTCCTTTGGCCTGGCTCCAGGACAGTTGCTAAGTAAATCACAGTCAGCAGGGAAAGCAAAGAATTCCACACAATTCTTTCATGGCTGCTCTTCCCTCTTTTCTCCTGCTTCTGATTTCTAAACACTATTTTCCTCACTGTTTCACTCACCTTCCCATATGTTTCACCTTGAGTAAAAAAAAGTAAACACTGACAGATTTGGTCTTTTTTAGAATTGAAGGAAATGAGAAACATTTAGTCAGATGATCCCTGCGTGCATGCCTATGCATGAGATGGGAGGTGGGGGTCTGTCAGCCATGTGTTGGTCTGCCTGCTTTGTAGCGGCTGTAAGACATGCTACCCAATCCACGTTTTCCAGTCTCGTGCTCGTATTGTAGGAAAAAAAGACACCAATAGAATCTAATCCAAAAAGACATGTGCCTCATTAAACCTTTTCTGTCTGCTCTTGACTAATGCTGATTTTTGCCCAGACTCATTATACCCCCAAAATAATTACCGGTAAAACCATTTCTTGCCACTGATGCATGGAGTAATTGCTGTGTAAAAGGAAAAAAAAGAGTGAGGATCGGGCTCCTAAATTTAGAACCATAGTCCCAACTTTGTTTGTAGCCAGAACTACATGCTTTTGTCAGTTGCAGCCCCCCCCCCCCTTTCCCTCATTTGGGCCGTAGCTGCCCCATGTGGGATCATTTAAAGATCTCTTGGGTCGTCCCATGATGGTTCACAGGAAAGGAGGGAGGGTTGAACCCAACATTAAACTCTACTTTCCACAGGTGGTGATGGCCCCACATGAACCACCAGTGGTGTTTGTTGATAACTACATCAAGCTCCTGGCTGACGGAAATCCTGAGACCTTCCAGAAGATCCTGGACATGAAGGTCAGTTGTTTTTTACTTTACCTGTCATTTCAAAGGATAGTTTGACATTTTTGGAAATACGACTTTTTTTTAAATTATAAAAGCAGAGTGAAAACTTGCTCTCATCTCTTTCTTCAATTTCGAAGCTGGATCTGGACCTAGTTAGCTTAGCCTACTGGAATGAAATAACTGTCAAGGTTTTGTTGGAAGGTAACTAAATCTGCCTACCAGAACCTCTAAAGTGCACTAATTAACAGCTGCACATAAAACCGAAAGTGGTCGTTTTTTTTCACTTTTGTCTTTGGTGTACGGATTAAACAAGATATAACAAGTTAGTTAGTGAGCTTTAGAAGTGTTGGTTGGCAGATTGTGTTACCTTTGATAGAGCCAGTCTAGCAATTGCCCTTCCAGACTTTATGCTGAGCTGACCTAACTGGTTGCTGGCTCCAGCTTCAACATGAACATACAGGTTTAATGCTGTTACGATTATCCTTATCTCACTTTTGGTTGAAAAAAAAAAAGCGTATCCCTGAAATGTCAAACTATTCCACAGCTTTAGCTTTTACATTGTAATTTAGCATTTTCTCTCTTTTTGCCTAACTCGTCGTTTTTAATTTTCTCTTTTCTTGAGAACTAATCGAATTTTCTTTCTTGTGTTTGTTTGTGTGCATGGCTGTGAAGGGTCTGAAGCGCAGTGAACAGAGCAGCATGCTGGAGCTATTCAGGCAGAGGCTACCCACTCCGCCATCAGGGGCCGACAGTGGCCCCTCTCTATTCAGTGCCCCCACCCCGGAGCAAGAGTCTTCCCGCATCCGCAAACTGGAGAAACTCATCAAGAAAAGATTGTGAAATGACAAATTAACTGAAATGTCATCTTGAAAATGTAAAGACTGAAGGCCTGGATGGTGGTCATGTCAAAGACTTAATTTGACTCCATTCAGTCATCAAAAATGTTGACAGAATGTTCTGACTGACAATAATATCAACACAAGCTGACGCTGGATTATGAAGACACTTCCTCAAATGCTACTAGCTGTTGTTGCATATGTCATTCAACTCTGCACATTTTTACCAATGTCTGAGCTTTGTAACATTATTGCGCAGTGTATATACTGTACACTATATAGGGTTGCAGTGCGGTTAACTGTATTCAGTTGGAGATCCTGTAGAGAAATATTCCCATCTTTAGTCAGAAATGAGGCTGGCTTTGTCTTGGCTTTTGAAATCCCTCTAGGCTGACTTGCATATGAGAACCAGCTAGCTAAAGACTTTTAACTGATGCCGTTGCTTCGGGTGTATACTATACTGTAAAGTATGTGAGCATTTAGTGTGGCGATCAGTATGATTTGACATTAAATCAAAAGTTTGTTTTTGTGTATTATTTATCCTTCTATCGGAATTTGTAGGGCAAACTGCAAATTGAGAAAACTTGTGTTTCAACACATTATGTCATGTATTCTCAGCAATTTCACTTGCAGTATATATCACTCTGGAAGACAAATAAAATCAGCTACTTATTTGAAGATCAGAGAGTTTGATGCAGTGCCTCTCAGTTGTAATAAATCAAGAAAATGCAAATGCATTGGTGTACACATTCCTGCATTTAGCTACAAAATGTTGATTCTTTGTGTGTCTGAATTGTGTCAACACTATTAAAAACATTGCCTCCATGTATCCATGTGTGTACAGAGCTTCAATGTGCACTTTATGCACAATACCAAGAAATATATCAACCTGATTTTACCAGGATCCAATTTTAAATGTGGGGCTGGAAAAGTTCCCATGACCAGCTCCGTCTCTGGTTGCCACTTATCCTGCATCCAATCAGGAGCCTGTACAAGCTCCAAAAGGCGTTTCCTTTGGTGTGTCTGGATCTGAAGGCCCCTGTGAGGGAAAATATAAGTTTGAAGACGAGCCGCGGGCAGCAGGGCTCCCTCAGCCTCTCTCTGCTTAGTCCTAAAAGCGGACAAACTTTCTGATCTTTTTATACACATTCACTGCGCCGGTGATGCTTTGATATTTTTGAAATCCAAAGTAAAGGACCTTTTTTATTTTATTTTCCTTTTAACCTCGGGCGCCCCTTGGACCGAATTACCGCCTGGTTGATTATATTTCCAGCGGGCAGACGTGCATCCTGTCCGGGGAGAGGTTAGCAGCAGTAACACCGTGGAGCATTGCAACAAACCCTAACGGATCGGAAAAACACTCCTGAGGAACTGCAATCTGTTTTTCTGTTGCAATCTCCGTTTCAGTCGCTGGACTTTTGCAACGTTTGACTAGAAATGGTTGGCAGGTTGAACTTGCCAAATGTATGTGAAGGAGATCCACTGGATATGAGCTGCAGGGCTGAGAGAGGACTTGACAGCCCGGACTCCGGGTTACCCCCGAGCCCGAGCCCCAGCGCCTGGCTGCTGCCTGTGTGTCCGGATAAAGGTGGCGTGAGCCCGGTGTTTGAGGACGAGGAAAGGGGCTCCCTGGTAGGTAATACTACTACCTGAGTATTGTACTGATCTAAGCAGTAATATATAAATTCCCTTTGCATTCAACGACCACAGATTCCATCTGAACATTTACTTGATACTAGTCTATAAGACGGCGTACTACCAGGAATTTAGTATTGCAATTGTGCTAGTTTCCACACATGCTTGTGCAAACGTAAAATGATCGTTTATCCTTGAAATTGCAGGGAGTCTTTGGAATAAATGTGTCCACTGCACACTGGACGTTAGCTCAGAAATTATCACATGTCAGTTAACCTAAATGTTTTTGGAAGTCCTTTGACAATGATTTTAACATACCTGCGAGAACTTGCTGCATGTTCAGAAAGTGGCTTTCTGCTCTGAATGGGCCTATGAGAATTTACACTATTGGCTCTGTTTTGACTGTGTGGCTGACTTCTGCATTGCAGGTTCCAGTTTTACCCACCGGATCTTTCCAGCAGCTACACCCATTGTCCTTTGGGGAAGGCATAGCACTTGATCCATTACCGCCAAAGGAAATACGGTAGGTTGGTTTGCTGCTTGATGATATGCTGCACCAAATGGAACACCCTGAGGAGTTGTTGTATTGTGTACCAAGAAAGCTAACAACTGCAAAGTGTGTAAATGAGCCAACAAGAAGTTGGAGTTGGGCAGACTTGTGTTGTAGTGATATTTAGTGTAGGTAGGATGCAGACTAGTTGTCTACAAAGTAAAACCATCACACTTTCCCTCCTTTACAGATACACCTCATCCGTGCACTACGACTCGGACCGCCACTTCATCCAGGCCCTGGCCCTGCAGCCCACTGGCCGTGGCCTTGAACACTGCAGGCAGACCATCATGGTGGTGCCCCACAGTACCTGGCGCCACTACAAGACACAGTTGGAGTTCCAGCCTCGCCATCGACCACAGCACTTCAAGAGCACCACCATTGTCTACCCCAAGAAAACCAGCGCCCTCTACACCACAGAGCTGAGCTACAACTGCAACCGACTATCTAAACGTTTCCTCTCTAGTGTGGAGCTGGTCGCAGAGAGCTCTCTCAGTGATGGGACAGGTGGCTGGGAACACAAGGGTGCTATGCCCAAGGCCCTTATACTGTAGCTCCCCTAAGGCTGGCTGCCATCGACCTGCTGTGTTGTCTTTTTACACTTGTGTAGCCTGTCATCTTTTTCAGTCCCCTTCCTAAACTGCAGACAGGAAGCACCTGTGCTGTGCGACGGTGTTACATGGTCCATACCTCCGCCTTTCAATGTGTGGTCTATCCATTGGAAAGGATATTTCATTTAATATTTCACTTTGCAGCTTTTTGGTTTCCAAAGGCATGCTCATGTGTGATTGTTTTGTAATGGCTGTAGAATAGGCTCATAGGACAGGGATGTGGTGAATGTGACATCAATTGGGCAATTATGAATTGTGATTGGTTTTCAATTTGAACTATGAGGCCTGTATCCACTCAGAACAAGTGATTCCAAACATAGAGAAGAGAGATAAAAGGGAAAGTAAAAATAAAATGTGATGCATGCCGGGGTTTAGATGCATGCTAAGAAATCTTAAGCTTATACACACTGTAACTGTTTGTCCACAGAGGATGTAGTGATAATACTCAACACACGTCTTCTTTCTTCACAGGGTATTTTGTGTTTCTGCACAACATAGACACAAACTAAGCTCCCACAAGCCTTCTTTCTGGCCATTGCTATGATTCATAATGTATTTTGTAAATGTTGCTAGATAAGGGAACTCTTCTGTTTGTTGAGATGTTTTACCCTAAACAAACTGATTTTAATGTGTCATGAATTCAGAGTTTACTGAAAAGTGGATATATATTTTTTTATATCATCTACAAGCTGCATTCCACTGCCATCACTTTCTTTGGATTTAAATTGTATTTATTATGTTGGAGTTTCAGTTTCTGAGATTTTATCAGCTGTTTAACGGGTCTCTCCACAGTCATGGCAAGGGATATTTTGTTGATGCCGTTTGAGTCTTATTGATGTATCTGTTGATGCTTTTATATATAAATATTAATCGCTGCAGTGCCAGTTTGAAATAAAGTGCTCATCAGTTCAACAATTTTGTATTTTATGAGGTGGGTGGACAGATTTCCTATAGATCTTTTCAGGTAGGAAATGAACGGGTACTTTTGAATCTGGGTTGCCCGCATTAGACCACTCACAGGGAGAGAGATATTTAGAATTGTGCTGCTCTGATGCTCTCCTGTGGCCAGAGAGGGAATTACAGAGGACTCCCTGTCATTCCAAAGTGAGGTTGATTCTTTGCTTCAAATCGAGTTTTCTATATTTAAGATCTTTGTTTGGATATAATAAAACTTGACTTTGTGATACATAGAGATAATTAAGATAACATGCATTTGGACTTTATTCTTAGTTCACAAAAAGCTAATCACATTAAATCCAACAAGAAATCTCTGTTTTTATGATTAATAAGTATGTTCTACCGAATGGATTCACTCACCACACCATTAGGGCTTATTCTATAAGTTCAGTGTTTGTTGAGCATTCCTTTGCGAGAGCGGTTACCATAGACTGTATAAAGGTGGTTACCCAGAAGATGCCTCCACCACTGGCAGTCTAAGACCTGATGAAAGTAGGTATTACGTGACTTCTTGCATAATTTCCTCGTATTTCACTTTTCCCTTTTCATTACACATCTGACCCATTGTTCCACCAATGGAGATGCTTTTGCACAACCTGCTAAGTATTGAGTGTATCAGTTAGAAAAGGCTGTTCAAAATTGTATTAACTAGATTTAATAAAGTGTCACTGAACCCACAGCATTTAATATATTTTCTCCAGCTTGTCTTCCATTATGTTTAAGGTGCCAAAATATTGTATTTTCATGTAAAGATAGTACACATAGGATGAATGTAAGTTGGTGCTCTAAGTGTCAAAAATAATGTAATGTTCGTATTTCTATCAAACCAGCTATGCCCTGTTTCTTGATGGCATTGGAATAGTTTGTACGTCCCTACCTTTATATATACAGTCTATGGTCCCTACACATATAATGAGCCAACAAACTCATGCTAGGCTTTTTGTGCGCTTCAGTGAACCAAAAGTTAAAAAAATGACACTTCCCCACAGCACCTGAAAGCAGCATTGCATGGTGAACTCATGACTGTATATCGCTGTAACATAAAAACACAATTTCAAGGGTTTCAATATTTTTCTTAATACAAAATGACTGCATGTTAAACAAACTGAACTATTTAAATTGTTTGATAGATTATGGTAAGGATTTGAAGAAAAAAAAGATAGACGTACACATCGATACATGTATGACGTATGGGTTCAGAGGTCGTAAACACGCCTACATTTATCTTCCGCATGTGTACTGAAAGTATCGTTGTTTATAAGTGATACGAAGTAAGCCTAGCAAAATATGTAGCTGTATGTGACTGTGTGGGATTTTACTTCGTATTTTCACTCTGTTCTTGTCTTTGAAACAATGAAATAGATGCAACGACAGAACCTATCCTTAAACTAAACTCTTGGATAGCTTGTGGCTTGTTATGCTAACTGGCTAGCAGACAGTATACATGTGAAGAATGGAGAATTCTAACCATAACAGCAGTATTATGGACATGTTTGAAAAGGGCAAGGTCCTGAAAATATGTGCTCCGATGGTACGATATTCAAAGTAAGTGGAGGCTGTTTTTATTATGTACTGGTAGCTATTCATTTAGCTATTTTTGCTTATAACCGTTAGTGAACCATTAACCACGTGAAATTCCATAAGAAAACACGTCCAAGTTAAATGCATAAGGTTAAGCAATTAACGTTAGTTTTCCTAATTTTACAACAGTTTGAAGTGCTCTGTGTCCTGCTTTAAACATGAGACATGCTGTAGGTACAACTGCCCTTTGTTGTGTGTCTGTTGCATACCATGCTTTATAAAGTATTTGTTTCATAGGCTGGCATTCAGGTCCTTGGTGAGGAAATACAACTGTGATATCTGCTTCACCCCAATGATAGTGGCTGATGACTTCATGCGATCAGTCAAAGCCAGAGACAGTGAATTCACTACCAATGAAAGTGAGTGGCAACATTAAAATGTGAGCATAAGCATTTTGTTTCTGTAATGTGCAAGGCCACTTTGAATGATTAGCATTTGTACACAAATATGTCAATCTTGCCACATAATAAATGTCTTGTTGAAACTTGATTTGTATTACAGTTGTGTGTTATTCCTTTTCCTCCTCAGGTGACCGGCCTCTGATAGTGCAGTTTGCTGCCCATGATGCCCAGACTCTGGCTGATTCAGCCTGTGTGGTAGCACCTTTCTCAGATGGAGTTGACCTCAACTGTGGCTGCCCCCAGAGGTACAGTCACTAACAGCAGGCCCTGATACAATATGGGCTCAGTTCATTTTTGTATAACTTTATTATTTAATCAACTGGATTTTATAGAGGCTCAAAAGCTCACATTTAGTTCATTTCTTCACTTCTAATAGAATAACAAAATAGTATGTTTCTGTTTTTATGTTATGGTTTTATTTTGAATATGAATTAAGTGTTACCCTGAAGGACAGTTCTACAGAAAAACTCTCTTAAACCCTTTGACAACTAAGCATGCTTGAAGATCTTTCCGAATGTTTTATCTCGGTTGTTTGGTTAACTTTGTTGTTGTGTTTTCAGATGGGCTACGTCAGCTGGGTATGGTGCATGCCTCATCAACAAGCCTGAACTGGTGAAAGACATGGTCACACATGTCCGAAACCAAGTAGACAATCCAAATTACACAGCATCCATTAAAATAAGGTAAACACCCTTCACCCACTTATAATATGTATTTAGTTATATATCTGATGTTATACTTCAGCTACACTACAAGGCTTATATATTGGCAGATATACACTTATTGCAGTTACATCATTATCTGTGAGACATTGCCGGCCAGAAATCATGTCAGTACTTTTTAAAAGGTCCTCTTCTGTATTCTTGGTCAAAATTGAATATATATTTAAAGGTTTAAAGGATTTGGATCAAGATTGTTTGTTTAAGTTATATGTCTATACTTAAAAAGACACATTACACCATCATTGTCGTAAATAATCCATTAATGTTTAATACTTTACATACATATTTCAATAATCAATACATGTAATTACATGTAGAATCCGTACCTAGGACCTGATGTGTTAAAAATCATGGTAAAAACCTAATAATGCCACTAATAAAAAAATGTAAATAAACTTCACCCACAGAATTCACAAGGACCTGAGGCAGACAGTAGATCTGTGCCAGAAGGCTGAATCAGCAGGAGTCTCATGGATAACTGTTCATGGCCGCACAGCAGAAGAACGCCACCAGACAGTCCATTATGATGCCATCAAGTTAATCAAAGACAGTGTGTCCATCCCTGTCATTGCCAATGGGGACATAAAGTACCTTCGTGATGTGGAGTCCATTCACCAGCTCACTGGTGTCGATGGTATGTTTGTTTACAACAAATCCCAATCTTGAACAAGTACATTAATACATCTAGACAATAATAATGACAATATTCCTTTTGAATTTGCTAATTTCTTGTTTGATTTGCTTTATAGGTGTTATGGCTGCACGGGGGTTGCTTGCAAACCCTGCCATGTTCAGCGGCTACGAGGATGCCCCTCTGGAGTGTATATGGGACTGGGTGGACATGGCTATAGAGCAGGGCACTTCATTCACCTGCTTCCACCAACACCTTATCTACATGCTTGAGAGGGTTAGCTCCATGCCTGAGAAAAAAGTTTTTAATTCTCTATCCAGTACCTCAGCTGTCATAGATTACCTCCAAAACACATATGGGTTGGTGCGTGATCTGGCAACATGAGAATATTAAAATGTGATATTTTAGATTTTAACATTTTAACATTTTCTTGTCTCTGTGTCTTTTTTTTATGCCAAATAAAACTGCTAAGCTATTGAGGTGAATCACTGATGTCTTTTTTATTCTGATAATTTCTCCCATGAAGCCAGATCTTATCAGTATCTTGTAGAATATATTCATTTGTAATAATTGCTTGTCTTAAACAGTGAGGAATAGGCCTACTACTGACGCTTGATTTCTTTTTTTCGTCTCACAAAATATTTATAACGTGGAATATTGGATACATACATATCACAGCATCACAACAAATTAATATCGTGCAATATTCCAAGTCAGCATCATGGATTGACTTTATATTATTTATTAGCAGTCTCTTACATTAGAAAATACAATTTAAATACATACAAGGTAATACTGGTACAGAGCTTATATTGTCTTTTATATGCTATGTGTATATTGTTTGCCTTGTAAAAAAAGAAATTAACAAACGACTGTGAAATTCTCCGCCCTGGTGATTTTTGATAACTGCCAATGAAATATTTTTATTCTGAAAAGAAAGGCAACCGGAAGTTGGATATTTAACAAACGAGCCGCCTTAGAAACCACAGGAACAGGAAGTGAGACGCAGCCAGACATAGCCTATAAACTTTCTCTGGCTGATTTCAGTACTATAGTTACTCTCTTTTAATTCGTATTTTTAGTAATTTGCTGGTAAGTTCTGCATCTTTAATTTTGAATTCTGACACAAAACAGTCTACCTTCTTGCCATTTTAAAGTGTTGAGCTTGTTAACAGTAGCTTAGGCTACTTCCTTATCGCCAGGATAGTTAACGATAGCTTTTAGTTAAGATAACGTTAGCTTATATTCACGAAGCATTGGATTTATGATGTAAAGAGTGACATGTTTCGTACATTTGCCACAGTTTGTGCCAGTGTGACGTAGACTGTGACGTGAGTTTGCATGAGTTTACGTATTGTGAACTGTGAACAGAGTGGATAAGAAGCTTAAGATACATATTTCTCAACTGAGGTTGCATTGTTGTCGAAGTGGAATTAAAGCCATTTGCGCTAGCTAAACCTCCCAACTGCTCTGACTGAGCTTTGTGTTCTGTATAGTCACAACACAGGTCTTGCCTGTTTTTCCTGATAGCATTCGTGTCTATATTTGTCAGGTTATCTTCAGAAGCTCCCACTAAAGATGACTCTGCAATGGACTGTTGTGGCCCTCTTTCTCTATGTGGAGATGAGCATTCTTGTCATCCTCTGTATACCCTTCATCTCAGCCAGGAGGTAAGTAGTAGTCTCCCAAAACCCTACATGTAGTTCATATTTGTATTGTCACAACATGATCTCATAATATACCCAACTGAAAGATAGGGTAAGCGTTGCACCTTGCTGGCATTGTTGTGATTTTGCAAAAGATTGTTATTGTATATTGCATAATGGAGGAGTCAGTGATATACTGTCTGTCAATAAATGCTTGTGTTTATGTGTGGGTGGTTACAGATGGCAGAGTATTTTCCAGCTGAGGATCTGGAGCTGTATGTCGAGGTTCTGGAACAAAGTGTTTCTCACAATGATTATAATACTCATTGTTCTCTTCCTTGGTAAGTAAAACATGAAGTGTGAACAGAATGTTTTCTTCATGTTGATTGATCATAATAACCAACCATATAGGGGACAGGGACCCTCAAAGTTGTCCCCTATTTAATTTCTACACTGCCTACAGACACAGTTATCCTCTTAAAAATATATATAAAAGTGTGGTTTGCTGATAATCTAAAGCTTATTAGAGTTAGCCACGATATTAACAATCTTAGTAATTTGGGGGTCATTTGGTCCCAAAAATGTGTGTATTTTATAAGGTAGACACTTCTTTACCTCATGTTGCCATCACTATTGGTCGTGCTACAGCAGTTTTCTGAGTATGTTTTGGATGAATCCCTGAGCCATACACAGCAACAGGCAGAGCGTCACTCAGATCCCTTTACTATTGTCTTTAACATACACCTTCACATGATTTTGCACCTCACCGTTTTGCTGACTTGTTCTTCCCTATTATGTAAGTTTATTTAAATCTTCTGTCAGTCATGTGATGATAAACAAATGGTAAAACTGAAGTAAGGTTAAGCAGAAAAACGATAGGCAACATTAAGTATTCATATGTTTGGACTAACCTGCCCAATTCACTAAACCTGCACAACATGAGAGATGTCTACCCTACAAATTACTTTAAAAAATAAGGACAAAAATAACTACATATGTATTTTGGACATTAATGTTCATCAAACCACTTTCTTGCACTCTCTCAAATAGATTGCCTGTATGGAGAATTACATCAAAATTCCCCAGTATAAAAGGTCTAACTCTGTGGTCATTGTCTACTTCTTTCTTTAGATGCAGTGCGTGAGGTGAGAAAATATTCAGCTAAAGATCTTGGCACCGATGCCAAGCTGCAGCCCAACATGTTCGATCACCTCCACATGAAGCTTTTCAGAGCCCAGAGGAACCTCTACATCTCTGGCTTTGCTGTCTTCCTCTGGCTGTGAGTCTTTGTTGTCTTTTACTGATACCATAACATATCAAATGTGTTTCCCAGACCCCTGTAATTCCCACTGTGTTTTTGCAGGGTCATGAAGCGAGTGGTCACCTTGATAAACCAACTGGCATCAGCGTCTGGCAGCACGGCTGCTCTTCAGCTGCAGGCTGACAACGCTAACCAGGCTGCCAAGAAATACACAGAGGACAATGAGCTGCTGAAAAAGGTAGGCTGCACATTGGTTCGGCATAGACTACACTAAATATGTTTTATATTATAATGCAAAATCTTCGTCAGACAATTAATAAGTCTGACACTCTTCAAATGAACAATGTGTACCTGACTTCTGAAAGCGAACAAAATGTGTCGGACTTTATATGTTGCTTTTTTTGCTTATAATTTAAACTCCTCTTGCAGTGGAGATTCTTTTTAGACATTGTGAGACAGTTTAAAACATTTCCAGTTATTTAAGACCAGATTCCTGGGTGTTTTCTTTCTTTTAACATCCAATCCTCTTGTCCAGGTGAGTGGCCAATGGGTGGTCAGAGTCAGACTTTAGTTAATGTACCTAATGTTTTTTGAAAGTGTCCAGAGAGTCAATTGACCCCACCTATGTTTGAGACACTTATCTACCAAAGCCTCATACTTCGTTTGCTTCCCTTCATTAACCATCTTTAAATGTGAAGACACACTGTGAACATTTCATCTCTATCGTAGCAATTAGCTTGACAAATAACTGTAACTGTGATAATCATTTTCAGACTCTGATGGAGGGGAAGGGCGATAAGGCTACTGCAGAGGGCATGGAGCTGTTGAGGAAAGAAGTGGAGAAAATGAAAGAGGCGCTGAAGACCTCAGAAGATGGTAAATATCCATGTACATGTGCAAATATCCTCCTTCATGTTAAATGGTTTTCACACATCGTCTAAAATGTGGCTTCCCTATGTTAACGTGTGCTTGTTTCCCCTTTAGCTGTGAAGAAGTCCCAGTCCGAGGCAGATGTAATGAAGAAGCAGACAGATGGTCTCGCCAGGGAGTACGACCGACTGCTGAGAGAACATCAGGAGCTCCAGGTGATGCTAGCTCTTAAATACAGCTGGTTAATGACTTGTTGGGTCATTCGCTACCTAGACATAACAGTTTCAGAGAGCAGTTAAACCTAATCATCATCAGGCAGGTGGGAGGCTTCTCCGTATATCAAGTTTTAGGAAGCCTGTCCATTTCATTATCGGCTAAAAGTATGTTTCCTTAAGTGCTAGGTACTATGTTTTGACATAAAAATACTGTTAATTCTAATGAAAGAGTTTAATTTAGAGTAGATAGAGGGAATAGACTTTGTTTCGTTATTACCATTTCATTTGTAAAGGTTAGTGAAAACCCCAATGGATTAATGTTGCTTTACATAATGTTATATCACTTTAACTGGCATTTTCTTTCATTTTCATTCCAGAATCTTCAAGATGGTGAAAACAAAAAGGACGACTAGTTATCGTAAAGTCCTTTTAAGGTTGACTTTAACCCAATCAGGACAGAACCAATGCAACAGGTGCTTGACCTTCATATAACACCCTGTGTGTCAGAGTGCATATCACAATACCAGAATTTGCCACTCTGAGGTAAAGCCTTTTTTAAAGCATGGAGTCACGTTTTTTTTTATCAGGACATCAGATTAGCTTTGATGGTTTATTTGGAGTAATGTTGATGGTGTCCTGTTTCTGACTGGTGCTGTTTGATCTAGATAATTGCTTTTTTCTTCTAGTCATCACACGAGGGACTGTAATTGGAGAGTTTAGCCAGTAAGTCTGATCACAGAGCACTTCATATGTTAAAGAATTGTGCAACAAGTAGGGCTGTTTTATGGTTTGTGGCATTAGTTTTGCAAAGGGCACAGCGTAGGGTCCATCATTTGTTGAAAGCTTGAGCAGTGACAGCTATGAATGTATTTTGATACTGAGGATTTGCTTTTTTGTTACTGTAGCAGGAACACCTGCCACTTTAACAACATTATGCAAAGTCGTTCTCTGCTGCATGGCTGAGCAAATATATAATGTAATATATTTTGCATGTACAGTTGCACTTCACTCATTTTTGCTTTATTCCAGCTGATTTTATGTACTTTTAAACATAAGTAGTGGTGTGTTGGATTGTGGTTTGAGATTTCCAACATCCAGTAAATACGTTTGTTATTCTTTTGGTTTCTTACTTAGTTTAAAGTTGTAGACTTGACTTGAAGAAAATCTGACGTAATAGATCTGTGGATGAAACTGTATATCTGTAGGGATAGAAACCTTATGATCTAACTGAAGGTTTACACGTCTTAACTTGAACGTTCCAATTTGTTGTGTATTTTCTGCACTGTGTGTTTCATGCGTATAATAGTGAGAGTTGCACCAGGGGATTTACTGTGTGCTTCCTGAAAGGGGCTGTATGTTTTTGTTATATCACCTTTATCCAGAAAGAGCCTTGAAACTGAGGTTGTTGTCAACAGATGCTTAATGTTCCCCAGCGTTTTTTTTATAAATAAATAAGGATATTGGGCTTACAAAAGTTACTTTCAGGTTGCATAAATGCCTTTTTAAGTTGAGTTTGGACATTTCTTCGGAAATCAGACGAAAGTGCCTTTTAAGGTAAATGTTCACTTTGTTAAATAAAGATACCTTTCTTTATGTTGTGCCTTGTTTCAAATGAATAACACCAACACACATTGGATATTAAAAGTTTTATTTTAGTATGACATTTAAGATATTCTTTGAAATGTTACAAAAATAATCCAGAAAACTATTTATATTCTGATTTATTTTTGATGCAAGTAAATGCATCACTGAGATTGATAGTGACTTCCTTCCTCTACACGTCATTCTGAGTCTGTACTAGTGGCCACCTGTGCCTGAAACTTAAACCTGAATGTAAAAGACAATACCACATAATGTTAACAAAATGATACATATCCATTGTGGAAATAAAGTCTTGCAAAATGATAATATGCTATAAATGTACACTAAACAATTGTCATGAGATACAATAGCTAGGCGATTTTTGACGGATTTCAAGAAAATGGGTTTCTTATTATGGGATAAAGCTGTTTATGAAAACAGAATTGTTTAAAAAACCTGAGAATAGACCATGATATTTATATGTGTGGGTTTTGGCACAGGAGTTCATACACACGCAAAAATACACACAAGAAAATACAAATGTCTCCTAAAGACAGACCGATCAGTGAAACATAATGTATAGCAATGGCTTTTTTCACAGCAGAAACATAAATGGGCATTTCCTGTGGTCACACACGGAGGAATATTTTGCCCTATTATTAAAACAACATACAGTATATCTTTATATATCTTTTCATTAATGTTCTAACAGTACACATTCTGCCTCTTCTAAGGCACATCACATGGCAGACACTAGCAAGCATTGACCTCAACCAGCGGTTTAAACAAAATGGCTGTTCAAAAAGACTGCCTGCAAAAGTGAGATAGAGATATTCTGAGCAAATTCTATCTAATCCTAGCTATCAGCGTTGTGACAGACTGTTGTGTACTGTTTATTCTTGATGACATTTATTTTCCTTTTCAATACCAGATTTAGAAATGAGTAAATTAGGGCTGGTGTTGTCTAAAAGCAAAATGGAGGAGCATCCATTAGACAAACGGGTAAGCAAAACTCACAAAAATACAATTTCCATTTTTAGCGTATGAGTACCAATGGAACAAGTTCACATCCAAAAAGTGCACAACACAAACTGCAATACAATTACACTTTGGCCTAAACTAAATGACTACAGTTTAAGACTTTTTTTTCTAAATGAGTGTAAAGACTTCCACTCCTTTACAAGTCAAATGAAATGGCATTCAGATATCTGTTTAAGATGTGAGACATGATTTAGAGAGGTAACTGTTGAGTGAATGAGGCACACGTCAAAACAACATCAGACAAGCCTTCTGAGCGTTATTGAAATACATATTTCCATTTCCTCATATAACAACCTGTTTGAAAAAAAAAAATGTAAGGCCTTATTTCATCCTCTCTGTTTGAATTTGGTGTAGTGCCTCTAGTTTATAAGGCCACTTATCCTCCTCTGTCCACGACGAGTGATGACAGGAATAAAAACAGTGCTGGTCTTCAGGATTAAATTGTTTTTTGTAGTAGTCTGTACAAATCACATGTCCCATCTATCTTGTGCCACCATTAAAACCAAAAAGTTTACTCTTCTTTATAAAAAAAATAATAACAGCATACAGTACATTCAAGAAATAGTGAAGTTATATCAAAGTTTCTGTCAAATTCACAAAGCCTTCATATGTCAAGTAGTAGTATAAATATAGAATGTATGCTTTATTTGAGATGATTGGATACAGCATGTGATTCCCTGCAAATCTCATTTAAATGTGTACAGTATCACTGTACATACTGTAGGTGTAAATGTATTCTTAAAGTGGACCTATCATGCTATATTTGAATAATATAGTGTAGGACCATACCTATATAAGGCATATTTATACTTTTTTTTTTCAAAATACCAAACAGATCATGCATTTTAGCCATGCCTCATTTCGCTCAATTTGAATTTTTTTAGCTCTGTTTTTGCAAGGGCAGATTCAGTGAGAACAGCACCACCTACAGGCCTGGCATATGTACTACAGCGTCTCCAGCGCTTTCGAACGGCAATGGCCGTGGCTGTCTCCTCCTGATTGGTGGAGTTGGCCCAATAGCCGTAGCGCCACCGTCCTGACGTCAGGACAGTGTTCAAATCTGGATCAGTTTTTATCCGATCCGTAGCAGCCCCTTTTTTAGAGATTTGGGTATGGAGGAAAATAGAGAGGGTTGTGTTTTCTGACACTTGGTGAGTTCCCTGGAACACCGGGGACACATATTCATGTATAAAAGACGTACAAAAGTGCATTTTGCATGATAGGTCCCCTTTAAATACATACGTGTGTGTGTGTGTGTGTGTGTGTGTGTGTGTGTGTGTGTGTGTGTGTGTGTGTGTGTGTGTGTGTGTGTGTGTGTGTGTGTGTGTGTGTGTGTGATGTTTTGTGAGTGTGTGTGTAGGAGACAAGTCGGGTCAGTTCTGTCACAGCCGTGTCTCCCTGTCTGTGCTGTTGTCTGCCGTTTGTTGTGATTGGTCAGAATTAGAAACAACAAACTCTTCCTTCCTGAGTGCTTCCAGCTCTGTTCCGCCGTTGGCCAGTGCTCCATGGACGGCATTTCTTTCCTCCTTCTTCAGCTGCCGACTGAGCAGAATGAAGCCCGGGATGCAAATAATGAAGGAGATAGACCGTAGGCTCAGAGTCAGACCAAGGTATGCTATCCTGAGAAGTTAAGATTTACACATCACATGATTACTTCCTGAAGCAAAATAAAAAACGTGACACTTCTTAGGACCTTTCTGGAATTATAAGGATTGTTTTCTTTTAATGATTTTTAAAGCGAAGCAAGCATTGCAACACAGTTTCTATAATTTCAAAGTTGGTTCATCATTTTCCATCTTGGCAATATCAAGGGGCTCAGTGTTTTTGTTTTTGTCCGAATCAGTTTAAAATGTCATGTTGTTTTTCTTTGCAAAATAATATAAAAAGTCTCAGCCTGAAAAATACAATACATACAAAAAAAGAATCGCAGAACTTCAACTGAGTGTACTACCTGTATGCAGTGGTGTTGTAGATTCGACAGGCTCCTAAACCTCCACACCTCTTCTGACCCCATTTAAGACATGTGGTGTCAATGATTGCTCCAAAGTAGATGGGTGCTGGGATCCCCGCTGTGAGCAGGAAACATTGTAAAGAAAAATGGAATAAGGATTCAAACCGATGCTAACACATTTTCATGGTTTGCGTCTTAGACCAGCTCAAGAGAGGATGTATTTTAAGCGGACTTACCTAGGGTACGAGTTGCCAAAGCGTGGAAACCTAACGCCAGGGATTTCAGCTGTGGTTTGATGCACCTGCATCAAAAAAAATTGTCGACTATTTAGAAAAAAACAGCCCATTATAGATTAACTCAGTAACCTGTCTTACTCTTAATTTAATTTAATGAAAAGAGTAGAAACCTCAAGTTCGGACACCCTAAGAATATAAACCATGCATGTTGCATCACTATTTCATGATGAAGGGATACATTCATTGTATGGCACTGGGTTGAAAGTACATTAGTACATGACATTAACAACAATTTATGTTCAGTGAGGCCAGTGCAGTTCAACAGGATCAGATGATATGGCTTAAGGAAATTGTGTAAGTGTGTGTAAGAGTGTGTGCGTGTCATATGAAGGGAACAGTGTCTCTGTGTTGAGTGGAGTGTTAACCAGCAGTGAGGGCTGTGTTGCAGAATAATCTATCTTCTAGTCCAGGGGATCTCAAGTTTTGGTGACAATGTAGGGGACCAGTATAGGATTGATGGCAGCACAGTAACAGTGCACACATAAAGAAAACGTTTATTGTTGATCTCACATCCATAGTAAACTACAGATTTGTGTATCGTTATCGATAACTTTAGCCAACAGCAAAAGCATTGCTTTATGAACTTTTTATGAAATTGTTTTGGAATACAGCACTATATTTCATGACATTTATTATGACTCATACTTTACTGTGCCTTCTGTATTCATACAATGTCTTACTATGTTTCTTTAATGGCAAACTATGATACATGCTTTGTGCCATATTAATGCCATTTTATATTATGATTTTTTATGACCCTATTTTCGGGCCCTATTATTCCAGGTGTTCTCAAATCCCTTAGCTAAGTGCACATGTATGGAGCCAGAAGATCATTAATATCATATCATTAAAACACCTGTTGCTAACTGTTACAACCCCCTCCCCTCCACTAGGGGTCTCTGTCTGTGTTCGCTGCTTGCTGGTTCTTAATTAATCTTGAAAATAAATATGCTTTCTGTTACATGTCAAGTCTTCTTGCCTTCCATCTTCGTTGCAGCGTTTGAACTGGGTTGTAAAATAACTGAATTCTAGATTTTTGTCTAACTCAAGAGGTCAACTGTATATATCAATGCCTAATATCTATGCATTTTAGTCATACCATACTGTGATTTTTCATTATGTTTTTGACAGAATATACCATGACTTTTCTCCTATTTCTTTCTACATATTTTCATGATTTTTATAATTGAAATCTGACCTTATGAGAAACATGTAGCCTGGTGTGCCCCCAAGGGAGATGATAAAGGAAGTGATGACAGAGAGAGCCAGGAAATACGGGAACATCCTGTCACAGTCGTCCTTCTCAGGGCACTGCCCCGCGCTGGCCGTAAAGTTACCAGCCACTCCGACACAGCTACACCTGGAGAACACCTGGAGAGACATGTATGGTGGGGATTTATTTATCAAATGTGGATAGAGAATCATATACTGTATATACTGTATATACAAACTTTCACATATACGGCTGATCTATCTAATAATATATTTTTTTTTAAACATTAAAGCCAACCAGGCGCATAAGGATGATGTGACTACTTTGTTAGCACTCATTCGATTATGGGATCTAAGAACATTTAATTGGAAACAAATCTGACTTTATTAAGTGGAAAGTAAATAAATTCAAAAGCAAAAAAGCATAGAGTGATATATGTATAACCCTCTCAGTTATAAGCTTGAAACATAGCCAATGTTTCGTTTTTGTTTTGAATCCCTGCACTTTACACAGGAGTGGTGATGGTCCCCGGATCGGACCGTAACCTTTATATTCAAACAAAACTTCATGGCAACAAAAATGTATTTGACTATACATCATGTTCCTGTTTAGGCATGTACCATATTGTGCTGTGAATCCAGCACAATACTATGGTTTTTCACACCAGAAATGACATTTCCGTATTACAGTTTAAGTACCTTGTCCACTTACTGTGTTTTTCCCTGAGCCAGAAGAGCTGGCGCAGCCAGCGAGACAGGGAGAAACATATGTGATGCCGTTCTCTCCACAGACTGGGTCCCAGTCGCTTGCTGAACAAAAGCAGTCTGAGTTGCATGCTGCGAACACTGAGTGTGTATCATAAGATATGCTATCCAAGCTGGAAAGGAGAGAGTGAGAGAAAGTACAATACAAAGGAAATGAATTATTAGGGCAGACATCATGAGGGACTTGAAATAAAAATGTATCTTTAAGAGATAATCGTTATTTATTTGAAACTCATGAAGCGCATTCAAGTTATGGTAATTGATTACCTGTCTATTAGATCAATAACATTCATGTGTATTGTTGCTCAAATTGTAATATTATATTTGTACTTTGAAAACACTATCTCCGACATACAAAATCATTTCCCATGACTAACCTGATGTATGGAAGGGTCACTCCGGCTACCTTGGCATTCTCGCAGCTCATTGCAAAGAAGAACAGCGACAGGATGTATCCGATCAGAGATGTGCCGAAGGCAAACCTGGCTGCGCCCATGATGTTCAGCTTCAGCCTCTTCATCAGTAAACCTCCAGAAAACATCCCCAGTGCCACAGCTGGGATATTAATCACACCTAAGATCAAGAGAATCAGCAGCATGCTAGATACATTCTCACTGAAATGAAATGTTGCTTTCAATGATAAATCTGGATTTAAACAAATACAGAGTATATGATTGATTATTGTTTCAAAGGTGGCTATCATCTTTCCTTCTTGCTAATACAGAGGAGGAAACAGGACTACACAATTCCAGTTGCCTTGATCAAAGTAGAGGCCTGCTTTTTATTTTTTCAGTCTCTTTCTCATACCTTCATTTGACATCAATGTGAAGGCATGGTCTTTCATCATGTAATTTGCTCTGGTCAATAATATTGCATTCTCTTTCATATGCAGCAAGTCTAGGTCATGCAGACACCTCCTTTGATGAGACCACATAAACATAAAGACTTTCATCTTACGTTATCACCATCATTAGATATTTCATTTCATATGCTGAGCACTTTGCATGTACCCATGAGAAAGTTGGCCTTTGATGCCGACTGCCTGAAGTGCTGCTCGATGTACTTGGGCTTGTAGGTTACCATGCCGATGAGGGAGTTCAGCTGGATGATTGACACACACAGGTAGATCAAGTACACAGGGTTTCCCAGTAGAGTTCGCAGGGATGGAATAAAGTCTGCAGAGAAATCGAAATATTGAAAATGTTTAATATGCAAAATGTAATAGTAAGAAATGACTGTAACACTTTCTGATAAGTGCTATGGAATCAAGTTTCTGACTACATGGGGCACGTGTGACAGTAGGACATCATTTAAGTTTTGGATTTGAAAGTTGCAGTATGTACTAGTGACTTAACAAATCAAAAGGTAACCTGTGGAATTTGGGGAACAAGAAATACTGTGGATGTTTTTAGGTGTGGGTGGGCAAGGAGCCAAAACAATTCACATCCTGCTGTTTGTATCAATCTATACAGCTACAAAAAGAAAGGCAGTAAAAAGACTTCTAGCATGTAAACATGGATATAAATAATGCAAGTTAAATCAAGTTTTAAATCAACTTGGAAATATTTCTCTATTTCAAGCTCCTATAACTAGTATATTATTGTTATTTTATTAATATGGTGAAGTGTTGTGATTTTCTTTGTAGAAATGTGTAGTGTAAATGTTTTCAGCCATTTATTTCTACAGCTCATTAATCATTTAGGGGCTTTACACTTATAAAACAGTCAATCCATTAATATGTATGAACAAAGAGACCATTCAGGGAATCTAAAGCGCTGAACATTTAAAATCACCTCTGTAGAGTAGGTTAAGTTTTTTTCTTGTTTTTTGGTTTGTCTGTCTGTTTATCAGCAGGATTATAGATAAACTAATCGCTCTTGGTTGATACTTACCTTTGGCCATCTCTATGAAAGTAGTATTTTGGTCTGCAGGATACTTGTGCTTCCCACTATGAGGGTCTTTAATGAAACTTGTCTGCTCCGGTGTGCACTTCTCTGAGCCCTGGGCCCCGGGTATGTGCAGGGAACGAGGCAGAAACCAGAATGGGATGGCAGAGAGCAGAGTGATGACCCCTGCTATGAGGTAGCCCAGCCACCAGGCCCCCACCCAGCGGGCATCTGATGGGGTGATGGTGATAGTTTCTGTGTTGGGAGACAGAGGATGAGATGTAATCAATGCTCAGTGATACACTTATGGTTCAACAAAGATCCTGTAAGGTTCATCTTGATCATTTTATAATATAGCTGGCAGTTTTTGATACATTCTTTTTAAGGGTATCTAAAGCCTGCTTGAATCCCTCTAGTTGACTGAATAACCAAATACAAAATGCAAAAAGTGAGCCTATTGAGAACTGACGGCAGCTTTTCCAAGAAGGCAAAACAGAGGTTTTCTTTACATCTTAGAAGCATCTCAGAGAGCGGTTTCTTCTGTGTGTTTGTATTTTAATAATCCATAGAAGGTCGAGACACTGTAATATTAGTGACCATATTAAGTTATGGAAAGCCACTGAATATTCAGGGTTTCACACATTTGGATATCATCTTTTTTATTGTTAGGTTACACTACACTGGTGTACCCGGTGCTTCCTCGATAGGAATACAATAAATGTTCGCTGAATAGGTTTTCATGAATTTTCATGAATTCCTTTGACATTTGAGTAGAAGAGAGCCATAGGCAATCTTATTGGTAAAACCAAATTGAAATCAAAATGTCTGCTTCAACGAGAGGTCCTTTTATTCATAAAACTGAGGCATGGTATTATCAGATATCACCAGCGTCATATGTATGCCCCAAGGACTCAGAACAGGTGTACAGGATTAGCATCAATTAGCTAATGAACAAAGCATGACGAGGGTTAGGAAGAACTAAGCTACAATCAAATAGAGTGCAGCAAACAGGAAAATAGAAAAGTAGCAGAAAAGAAGGAACAAGTATGAAGAAACAGTTGAAAAGGGGATGTAAACAGCCACATAAAAAATAATAAAGTAAACTGTAATAAAAAACAGGTAATAAACCAATGAAAAAAAAGAACTTCAATGATAAAGAATTTTAAAAAGATCCCAGCTAACCCAAGCTATCAAGTGTGCAATAATGCATGCCTGTTTGCACTTACTGACCGCTCAAACAGAACAAATGAGTACCCACTACAAACCTCCATGTGAGGCTTTTTATTTCAGTGTTCAGATAACATATGGTTTCCAATGTTCACATGAGCTCTTTGTGAGTCCATGGTGAGAAGTTAATGACATCAAGTCTGTCTAGACGGACCGCAAATTCTGGCCTTAAGAGACCTAGACATATACTCGTGATTAAACCCACCCATTTTTACAAATCCAATGTCCACATAGATTTTGGCACAAAGGGAGCCCAACAGGTAGCCGAACACAGGTCCAACGACGGAAATGGTCTGCACACAGCCTAGGAAACAGCAAACACACAACAAGAGACACACAACACACAAAATGGTTAGGAGTCTAAATATCTGTACTAACAACTGATACACTCAACACATTTAACATACAGGCTCAGAGGGCTAGTGCGCTGATCTTCTGATCAGGAGAGCACTGGTTCCATCCCCACTGCAGTCAGCATGTCATTGTGTCCCTGGGCAAGACACTTCACCCCAAGTTGCTCCTGTGGGGATTGCCCACAGTATTGAGTGTATGTAAGTCGCTTTGGATAAAAGTGTCTAACAAGTGAAATGTTTTGGAAAACACCCAAGGGATTTACCCCCTTATCTGAGTAAGAAGACTTACTCAGAAATGACAGTCTAATGTACTAAGAGCAACACTGCTGATAGTTTTGTGGACTATGTAGGACGTTTTTTTGGGACATTCAAGAATATGTTTTGTTATATTATATATTATATCATATATTTTTTTGTCATCCAACAATCTAAGTTTAAAATCAATTCTATCAGGCTGTCAATAAGGCTAGCATCTTTGTTTAGTCTGCATATAAATGACAGGGTTTGTTCTGATTTCTTATGACATTACTTGGTCGGATCAAGAACGGATTAAAAAGCAATGGTCCAAGGATCTACCCCTGTGGAACTCCAGAGAGAATTCAGATCTTGTCTGGTAGAAAATTGTGAATGAACACAAGGAAACTTATGAGTTTTTTTAGTTTGGGCATTCATTTGTTCTAGGGTGTTTCAGCAGTGTGCTGTGTTGCCAGTTTTCTTGGGAAATATATATATTGCCTACAAAACTAACGTGAAGTGAGGACCTATTAGCTGTGACTAGCAGCTTCATGGATCAATAATGGTTGTTTGGTCTACAAAATGTTACCCAAGTTTCAGCGACGTGCAGTCAGGGGAGGCAGAGCCTCACCTGTCATACTCCAATGTAACGGAAAAACAACTAAAGAAAAACGAAATAGTAATAATAATAAAAATTTCTCCACTGATCTGTGTTGTAAGTGTGATTTATGTATGATTCCAATCGCTTTTTATAGTCAAAATCAGCAAATTTGCCGAGCTCCGCTACGGGAGCGATGAGAAGTGAGGCAGGGACGTGCTCTGCCTCTCGTAAGCCCACAGTAACTTGCTGGAGCATGGGCACTAATTTAGCGCGGGCACTTATTTTGTGAGCGCACTCAAGCCAGTTACTGTGGGGTGAGGTGAGGCACAGATGAGATCTGCCTCACCTCAGAATGCGTCACCCCACAGAAACTGTCTGGAAAGCGGGCCCGAAGCGCATGCCTGTTACCATCTCACTGTAGGTCACCAATGTAATGTTTGTAGATCCCTTTATTACATTTATCCTCACCATCCATAGTCTCTAAATAACTTATTTCACGTATATATGATATTTAGGCTCGCTGGTCTCATCATACAACGGCAATGAAAAAAGTACCAGGAGAGGCAGCCATAACCTCTGCCGCACTGAAGGGGGCGCACGTGAGCCCACAGGTTCTTGTTGCTACTGTTATTCTACGCAGAGACGGTAGAGCAAACAACAAACTAGACTTTTGTTTTGAAACTAGAGGAAGATAAGGAGGACTTTTACAAAAAAGTAATAGAGATTGTTGTCCAGAAGGATAGCATGGACTTCATCTTCAAGTCAAGGTAAGACCACATGTGTAATGAAAATGAAAGAACAATCCAATATTTAGATTTTGGGTATCCTTTTGTTGAACGGTCTGTTTAAAATGAATCGAAGCATCAGACTAAAAAAGCTTTTGAAAATAACCGAATATTTCGATTAAGGTCAAAATATAATATTTGTAAATCTGACTCAGTGAGTCAGTGCCTCACCAGCCATGAACCTCACCGCACGTCACTGCCAAGTTTTTAAACACCTCTGTTTATTGCTTATTTCTGGTGGTATTTAAGATATTTCCTTCTGCAGCTTACGTTGAATATCATCAATGATAAAGGGTGTTTACTTTTTCAAGTATATCTTTTCCACTGGAGGGAGGTTTTTCTTACCAACATATAGCGCAGCATTTTCCTCAGAAGCAAAATCATCTATATAAGAGATCCCAAGAGGCTGAACAGGTGTCTCTCCAATCCCCCTCAAGACATTTCCAAGGAGCACATAGATCCACATTGACAGGTTTGAGTCGCCTTCACAACCTGGAGGGCAAGGAAAATAATATAAGGGTAATCAGCCAAGTGTACTTGTGGACACTAGTCTGTATGTGTATAAGTGCTCACCTGTGGCTGGCACATGAGACAGTTTTCTATCTTGAGCTAAGTCTGCCGGTGAGCCCACTGGACAAGGAGAGGGGTTCAGTGTTGAATTCACTACCCACCTCACAGATGTTTCATATTGGTAGCTGTAAGCAAAATACAAATGGAACGGTTCAAAATACAGCTGACAGGGGTGAAATACTCATTCTACTTGGTTATAGGATACCATTTTTGAATCCGGCAGAAAAGAGAATTCATAAGTAACTTAAAAAAGTAAAAAGTGAAGCCTGCATTGGAACAGCAAGAATATTCGACCTACTGTACAGTAGAGAGGCTGAACAATTATTTGAGAGGCTGACAAATAACAGTGCTAATATATTATATTATATAATTATATTATTGAAAAAAATGATGGAATTTGTTTATCATATCTTAGACTCACCGTCCAATGATGAAGTGAGGCAGAGCGATGATGAAGGTGCCAATAGACATCAGGACGCAACCTACTGCGATGATCTTTGGTCGATGGAGCTTGGCACCAAAGTAACTGACAAAAGCTATCACCAACAGGTTACCTGGGAGGACAGAGGCAGCCAGAAATACAAGAGGTTCAGAGTGCTACAGTACTTACATCTCCACAGCATGAAAATGAAAAGAAATGCAAGGCTTTGAGCAAAAAAAGTTGATTTATTGCATTTGATTCATACTGATTTTTGTGACACTGTGTGTAATCAAGCCTCTGGCTCTGTATGCTCTTGTTTCAAAATGTGATGTAATAAAATGAAACGTACATTTGTAAATATATACAGTATATATAAGTGCTTTAAAATGCTTTCTCTAGCAACACAAGATACAGAAACACAATGGAAAAGCAAAAAAAAAAACATACATATATCTAAAACTGTTATTTTTCCTTAAATGTTCTAGCCAGTATAATACCCATTACATACCGCAAATTCACATAATTATAACAATATACACAAACACTTTGATGTGTCTTATGTTGGAGGACTTCTGTCTTCTGCATGCACATTTCAAATGACTGGACATTTTTGTGCATGTCCATAGTTTGAAAAACAGATAAGGGTCATCACACGTGATACATTATCTATAAAATATATCTTATTATCTGGAGCATGTGGTGGCATGAATATTAAACAATGCTGGGTGGGAACATGACCATTTCTCTATGGTCACCTTTGAGCACATTTCATCTATTATGGGCAACGTGGTAACTTTGTTGTAATAACAAGATGGAAAACTGGCCTAGAAAGATAAACTTAAGCCTTGTGGTAAAAGGCTAATTTGATGGGATGACGTCAGACCCTCCAACAATCCTTCAGCTGTTGTCATGTGCGTGTGAGAGAGAGAGAGAGAGAGAGAGAGAGGCAAAGACAGAGCAGCACTTAGAACATGTCAATAGTTATAAGTATATGTGAATGTGAAACCTTATCAACCTTGTTTTGTGGGTATAAGGAATTCTAAGTAGTGCTTGTATCTTACCTAGTATTCTGCATGTAATTCACTACATGAGGTTTGTACTTTCCCAGAGTAAAACAGGAGATTTATTTCTTTCCAGTAAAACATTTAATTGTGTTCATGTTCTTTTTTTCACTTTTTTGTTCATAACAGCTAGCTCCAATCAGCTGTGCTCATTATCCATGATTAGCTCTCTATACTGTCTTTCCTCTTCTTTAAGCATCTTTTATTTCTCTCTTCTCACCCTTTGTCTTCTACCTGCTCTGTTCTCCTCCCGTTTCCCTTCCTCTTCACAATGCCCTGCTTTGCCTCTATGTTACCCTGGCAACAGTCCTATAGAAAAAGCTTGTTGCCTTGGCCACGTGAGAGATGCAACTTTCACAGGAGACGTAGAGATGGAGAGATATGAATGAAGGGAGATTGTCCGGCAGATATGCCCCACCTCAATCAGAGTGAAAGCAGGTTTTACAATCCGCCATAATGTTATTGTAGTCAAATGTTAATTATTTTTCACTACTTTTATGTCACCATGGGCCCAAACCCATGTACAATGGCTATTAGTGCAGGACGACTTTTATCTTGGATGAATCATATCTCTTTGGGTCTTACTGCAAGCTTTGTGTAATTTATAACAGGCCCTTTGCATAATGTCATCAAGGTTACGTACAGTATGATTAGTAGTTGTGGACTTGTGCTGCAAGCCAGATCATCTCGCAAGCAAAATCAAACTTGTGGTTGGCTTGAATAATTCAAATCAAACTCCGATACTATGTTTTGTCCAACTTGTTATAGTTAACACAACAGCCCACAGGACAAGTGGTACCTGAAAACCAGAAATTAGCATTAGAAAAAGTACAATCTGACTCAACATATGACTCACTCTTTCTTGAGTAATTGTTTCAAAATCACATATTCTTGGCAATTCTGACAAGCAAATATCTTAGTAATGAGCAATTTTAACATCGATATTGATGAAGTATCTGGGAGGAGTGCCTTGAGTGCCTTGAGTGCCTTGAGCAAGGCGCCGGACAACCCCCCCACCCCCCCACTCCCATTACTCCCCGGGCGCTGTACAATAGCTGCCCACTGCTCTTAGTACTAGAATCCTGGTACTAGGATGGGTTAAAAGCAGAGAACACTGTGTGCTCTGCATGTGTGACCATTAAAGAGGGTTTCATCCCTCCCAATTCTTCTTCTTCTTAAATTGGATGAAAATATTGGCCATAAACTGTAATTCGGAAAATTGCTTTGTTTATTGTGTTTTCTCTTCATTTTTTACCATGTACCACATCTTGTAATGATCAAATGTGTGTCCCTAAGAACCAACATCCCCTGGTGTGGAAACAATTTGTTTGAAATATTGTGCAAATAAAGGGTAAATCTGATAATTTATCTAAATGTCTGCACACAGCAAAGCAGACGGACCGTCCACACAGCAGCGTTAAAAAAATCTTGGAGGTGGGCGTATCTGAAGCTTGGGGATTTTTTGCGAGCAAGGCACCAACAACCAATCACATGAATCTCCCGCCCCCGACATAAGAAGCAAAAAAGTTTGAAGTAAACTGGATATAAACTCCCCAAACAGGCAAAATCATACCACTGTCTCTGCCACCCAAGCCCCCAGGAAGTGCGCCGGACTCTGATGAAAATATTCGTGCTGGCCAAACGGCGGTACTACACTTCCTTTTGGTTGCCAGGCCCGGAAACACTTTTTCCCATTGACTTACATGGGGAAAGAGTGGTCTGTAAATCGTTGGATAATTTTTTTTAAACTAAATAAACTACCCAGTATGAACACTTGTATAGCCCTTATTAAAAACATTCGTTCCTCAAGTTGTAAAAATGTGCTAATAACGTTATTCTGAGAGTTATTTCCCTCTGCATTATGAACGCGCATCTAACCCACGGGACCGCGCCGCCCGGCACGTTGATGTTACGTGTTCAGCACTAGTACATGCGTTTATCTTTACCCATGGATGTACAATAAGAACGGACCCATATCGCCTTACTGCCAGCCCACGGAGCTGTAATAATGGATATATTGCACATGTTTGCTGTAATTCATCATTTGTAAAATATTATACTACATGGGCTGTATGATTAAATCTTGTACCGTAAATGTTGTATTAAATAAAGTTAATATTACCGACGTAGATTAACGTCACTGTAGCTTTTTATTGCACTAAGAAGCTTATTGCACTGTATATATATACACATATATATATATATATATATATATATATATACATATACATATATATATACATATATATACAGTGCAATAATTCTTTCATGCTAAATGAAGCTCTGTTGCTTGGATATCACTAGATCCTGTTACAGCGTAATATAAAAGTACATAACGATTGATGTGTAAATTAGCATAATTACTAGCTAACCGCTAGCTGCTAACTGCCGCCTCGTTAATATCAAATCTATCATAACAAACCACATGCTGTCATGAACGTGCGGTGCTGTTACGTGTACGCGAATTGACGTGCTTGATGTGAACGAGCATTTTGGGGGGCATGGTTAAAGTTGCGCATGCGCTATGAGCGCACATACGGGTACTTCTCAGGCATGCCGGGTAATCTGTGACGTTTCGCTCTCTCAAAAGTTGGGCCATTTTATCATCATGCGCGAATGAGCAACTCTCATAGGAATGAATGAGGCCCCGCCTCCCACGCTGTATCCAGTTCTTATTATACATCCATGCTGCCACCTCCCTCCATGCCTGGCTCCTCCGGTTTATATCCCGGTAGGTAAATAGGGACTGGTCATAAAGCACCGGGTGATTCCCTACCGCTAATTTCTCCTCCATTTTTTGGAATATGAGGAAATGACCTGCGGTATGTCTCTCCCAGCATACACGCCATTTGATTGGCTAGAGCTTGAACTGTCAGATTTGCGTACACGGGATTTGATTGGCTGACGCTTCCACCTCAGCCTCAAAAGTTGAACATTGCTCAACTTTGAATCCTGAAAATCCTGAAAATCTCCGCTCGCCTGCCCACAATGCAGTTCGGCGAAAAGTGAGGGAAAGTGACGTCACCCCATTCAAAGTGAATGGGCAGAAGCATTTCAAGATGTTTTTAACGCTGCTGTGTAGACGGTCCGTAAGTCACACGTTGTCTCCTGCTTGTCTCTATATTATTAATTTGGCTGCTACACTGCTGCACGCGGAGTGTCCTGACCTGGCTGTGTCATGGGCTGTGTGTGAGCCCCTCCCCTCACAGCGCGGCCGGGCTGGCAGCCACAGCCGCCGGGCTAAAATGCTGGTCACATCCTTATGTAAACAAACACACATGTAAACGGCAATTTATCGAGCTCAGAAAAGTTATCGAGTCCATTTTTATTTATCGTACGACAAGTCAATTTATTGATTATCGCGATAGGCCTGCACGCGCGCACGCACGTGCACGCACGTGCACACACACACACACACACACACACACACACACACACACACACACACACACACACACACACACACACACACACACACACACACACACACACACACACACACACACACACACACACACACACACACGTCCTCTTCTTGGAAGCCTGATGAATCCTTTATCTGCAGCTTGATGATGACCTCTGTGACCCATTCATTTGTACCAAAGACAGAAAAAGAGAAGGGAGGCGGGCCCGTGATGCGGAGACTGCGAACTGGACAACAAAATAACAGCAGTGACTGTGTCAGGCCTACTCACCAACCTCGAAGCTCCCGTCAATGACACCTATTAGGTAACTGGGGATGTCAAAGCGCCTCTCCAGCTGAGTTATTGTGCTCTTCATGTAGCTCCCCGTCAGAGCCTTTGCAAAATAAGCAAAGGACAAAGCCACCAGAAACATCTGGGAGAAGAGAGTAGGATGAGAAAGGGAGAGAGAAAGACACGAAGAAAGGCATTACAATTAATACAAGCAGTGTTTTAATCTAATTATAAAAGTATCATAGTGTGGTGTACACTTGCTATCTGTTAACTTGCTATACACAAAAAAGAAGCCCTTGAGTGGTATCTCTTCAGTTGCTCCTCTGCATGAACTCGGCTCATTACCCTACTTCCACTGGTCTGACGTGCATTCATTAACACGTGCCAGCCTCTCTATCAGGATCAGAAATAATGTGGTCTGATAAATTGAGGCTTAAGTAGTGGGAGGGGATGATAGGAGATGAACACAAAGGGTAGGTCAGATTTTGGCATATATTTCAATGAATACAGCCAGATAGACAAATGGATCAATGTTTGGATTGACAAGGGAAGGTGCATGTAGGACGGACTAGCACACAGCTAGATGTAGAGAATAAAATAAGTCAAAAGTGCACGATATAAATAGAAACCTAGCAGAGACAGAGAAGCAATCCCCATAAAGTTGTGTCCTCCTTGATAGTTTTTATTTGTGCTACAATGAGACCAAAGAGCAGTGAGCTGACTCCAATAGTGACTGGACTCAGATCAACGATGCTCACAGTTAGGACCAAAGCCAATTTATTAAACTCATATAATGACAGAGGTCCACAACACCACGCAAATTCAGTTTCCTTGTTAACATCAAAGTAGTCCCAAAATCTACTCGGAACTATATTTTTACTTATGTCGTTTGTTTCACTGAGAAGGATATTAAATTAGACAAAATAAATCTCATTATAAAATGAAAAAAAAATGTTTAAGGGGAAACAGACCACCTTTCAACTCCCCTCCACCCCAGCATATCCAAATTGTATTATTGTTGACGGGTTAGGGTCAGAGACAATTGCATCGCTTTCTGTTTTACACATAGTCTCAAACACAAACAACACAGGACAAACTAATTGTGTTTCCCACAGTAACTTTGTTCGTTGCATAATTTACTCTATTGGGGAAATAAGTGCAAATTGCTATGATTGTTGATTAAGTAGCTACCTTGAAATAAAAGCGCAATATTCTTCCTGTTTTGGTTGAGAAATGGTTGACTGACTTTCTTTGGGCTGTAAATTGAGGATTCATTTGGAAGATCTTACCTTGTGGCAAAACTAATTGTAACTAAACATCAATAATAAACATAAAGAGCAATTACTCAATAGATGGATGAATTTGGGCTAATATTAAATAAATAAGAAACTTTACTTTGACTTGATATAAATGACCATACATCTAAATGCTTGATACAGTCTAGAAGTGGTCAGTTCATAAAGCAATGCTTATGGGAAACGTACAAAGTCACATTTTGTAGGTAAAATTACTATTTGAATATGTACTAGAAAAGTACATAAAAGCTTCTCATGTACACAACAATGGTTTGTTACTTCAGCCTGCACATGTATGCATATGTGTGGTGAGAACATGGTCACAAAAATATGTTTGTCTATATTTATTTTACTATATGAATTGACACTCTATATCCACTACAAAAAACGGCTCGCTCCTTTCATGCAATTTGCCTTGCGGGCAAAATGACAGTGGTTTCACGCAGAGGTCAGAGAGAAGAAGAACAAAATCTTTGTTTAATAGCTTAAGTGTGATAATAATTTCCCCTTAGTGCTTGAATATAAGTAATAGTTTGTGGCCCTGGTAATGGTTAGTGTATACTGCCCTAGTCTATTTTCTGGTTCTTCAGTACTGACGTGAGAGAAGCAGCACACATGAGAGTCACATTACACACATGATCTGGCAGAGACATACATGTTCATAGACAGAACAATGGCTGGAGGGATTATTATCCAATACCATGTCCCAACAAAATCACTCAAAAAGTGCAAGTTATCAGCATTAGGATGCAGATTCACCTTTTGACCATAGTGTTGAATAGGAAGCAGCTGACTATACTACCAGTGCTGATAAAACCACATTAGCAAAGTTAGGGAGAGAGAGAGAAGCTCTGAGCAGGAGCCTCTCTTACATGCTTCACAACAGTTGTGAGATTAAGAGTAACACCTTCTCTTATGCTTGTTCCTCTCCTCTTACAAAGTGTCCATTGAAATAATAGAATGGGATCTATGCAAACAAAGTTGAGATCATGCCCACCACCAGTGCAAGCTGCGGGGTATTAACGAAAGTAACTCATCACATGTGCATTTCCTCGGGGTATTGACCTGCAAGCAAGCGTGCATACTCGTTTTAGTGTGGTAAAAAGGTTAACGGTAAAGAAACTAACATACAAATCTATCTAAATAAGATTGTAACAATCCAGTGGTTGCTTTCCTCCATATGTTTATCAGTAGGAGATAAGTTGGTTTTACATTCTAAGGTATAATGTAGTGCTGTTTTTGTTCAATATGATTGAGTTGACTCAAGCTGTTCACCTAGTTTCTAGTGTTGCCTGTGGTAACAAGTTCATTAGAGACGCATGTTGGAATATAATCATTTAAATCTGAAAGATACTTTTTGTTTCAACCTCTGTTCTCTGATGACAGATGACATTTATTTTACTCATGCCCTGCGACCTCTTGGCATGCTATGGCTGGGACAACAATAACATGTCAGCCTGTTAAAAAATGTTGACAGAAATACAATGATGTTGCCTTTGATCAGAGCCAAGCTAGTTGTTTGATCACGTTTCCAGTATTTGTGCTAAGCTAAGCTAAGCTAACAAACTGCTGGTTGGAAGTCATCATCGAGAAAAATCACAATTAAACCAAAATAAATTGATGATAAATGGCTTACGTTTTTTTAGAAACTGCTTGCCCATATTGAGAATTGCAACAATGGGATGAATTGTGACATTTTCATTCTGTTATTTTAATTCGTTTTTTCAAAGTGCCAAATGAGCAGTGGCCTCATTGGGATTACTAATCACTCAAAAGGGATACACATTAAGACTCTTTAAACATTTCCTCATGAACTGCGACCCGCTTTTGTTCTGAGCTTTTGATGTCATTCAACCAATTTTATTTGTCAAAGTGATGACGAAAAGTAGAACAAATTATTTATCATTAAATACACAAGGTGATAAGAAGCAATTACAGGAGTACTGAGATGGCATTTAAAGCCAGACAGAAATAAGAAATTAGAATTAAAACAAAACCTGGGATATTGTAGCACTAACGTTCCAGTCTTAGTGGATGAATTAACAAAAAAAAAGAGACTAACATTGAGCACAATACTAGAGTTAAAGCGGGCTGTGCCATGCCCCAGCCGATCAGGAACCCAAACAATTCTGAGAAGAAAACACAAGTCTGTCCTGCCACTGCAGTCTCTGTTGTGATAAGCTGCTTGAACACCATTGTCTCACATCACTTTCATGTGGGGAAAAAGCAACAAAGTGTCTGATCTCGTTTTATTTTTTAGAAGGTTGTTTGAGGTAGAAGAAATAAAAGAGAAAGAAGAAAAGCCTGAGGTGGTCTATTTATAAGATTCACATTATGTTCTGCCTCATTTTCTGAGAAAGAAACCTTGTTAACCATTGTGAAATGTTCACTATGGCAACAAGAGGACACACTCGTAGTATTAAAGGTAGGGTAGGTAAGTTTGAGAAACCGGCTCGAGATCGCTAGAATTTGAAAATACACAACCGGAGAAAATCTGCCACTTCCTTATAGAGCCCCTCCTCCAACACACACGAACGCGCACATGACCAATGAGGGCACGAGATAAGTTTGTGCACAGATGGAAGGCTGACAGGCAGGTAGGCCATCCAGTTATTTTAGCCGGGCCGGCTAAAATGATTGGGCGTACTTTTTACAGTATTACAGCTTCCACAGATGACATCTTTTAATGGATTTTTTGTCAAAGCACTTAAGATATTCATTGCTATCAGGATGTTAAGAGCATTCCATGGATATAACAAAAAGTGTATCTCGAGCCGGTTTCTCAAACTTACCTACCCTACCTTTAATGTAAAAAAGCAAGTGGCTGAAGTAGAAAGCCATTAGCTTACATTTGCCTAATTCAAGAGTTATTTTCTCTGCATGACCCAAAATCTCCAAGAACACAAAGCAATCAGCTTTAGATTGTACTTAACCCTTAGATGCATAAGTGGGTCTTTTTTGACCCGGTGAGGTGGTTTTCTTGAAGTATCTTTGTAATTACATGTTTTTATCATTTAATATTCCAGCTATTCCTCAAAAACATGTTTTGGATATCATGCCATTCAAATTTTAAATGTAATACATTTCAAGAAATTGTAGTTTTTGTATTACTACCCCAAGCTTTCACAAGTGGGTCTTTTTTGACCCGGTGAGGTGGTTTTCTTGAAGTATCTTTGTAATTAAAAATTGTTATCATTTCATATTCCAGCTATTCCTCAAAAAACATGTTTTGGATATCATGCCATTCAAATTTTAAATTGACATTTGATACATTTTAAGAAATTGTAGTTTTTGTATTACTACCCCAAGCTTCCATAAGTGGGTCAAAGATGACCCGCATGCATTTTCGATGGAATACTATGGGAACCTTTGATTCTTATCACCTGTGGCTGTCAGGAATACATTCACTGTAGACCACACAGACTACATCACAAGTGACACCTCTCCGGAAGATTATTTTACACAGCAAGATCTGATACCTGTCAGTATAATAATAATAATAATAATACATTATATTTGTATAGGGCTTTTCAAGGACTCAAAATCGCTTTACAATATAAGGGAAGGTTAGGGTGGGGGGTATAGGACTATCAAACTTGATAAACCGGCATGGATTGATGGGGGGTGGGCTATGAGTAGACAAGAGGAGAAGAGATGAGTTTTGAAAAGGGACTGGAATACTGTGAGGGTCTCAGAATAGCGGAGATCTTTGCATCAATATGTTCAAAACGTTTTTTTTCAATATGTTAAAAAAATGTCTAAAATTATAAATAGTGAAAAATTAAATATAAAATATTTCTAGTGTGAACCAAAAATACTAAATACTAAATATTATACAAATGATTTTTCTTAACCAAAATGACAAAAATGGCATAAAAACACATATTATTCCAATACGGGTCCTTTTTGACCCACTTATGGAAGAGTGTAGGGTCCAGTCACTCGTGCATCTAAGGGTTAAACCTGTTAGGATGTTTGGTGTGGTGTTGCCGGATAAATAAATAAGGTTCAAATAGGGATGGCAGATGGATTTTTTTTCAGATAAGATATTAGAGGAGATGTGAGATCTTTCTATTGAAAACAGTTAATTAAGCTACCATTTTAACAGCTAAACATAATACAGAGGCGGTGGCACATTATTTAGCTTCCCTTTTAAATTGGTTATTTTAGAAAGTGTTTACTAAAATTGTATTATCCTTTATTCTGATATGTTTAAAGTGCTCTACAATTCAACATGTAGGTATTCAGAATCTGACATTCTAGTCACAACTGATAATTAACAAATAATGGTACATAATAAAAATTGTGTATCAGTAACACAATTAAAATAAAAGTAATGGATGCTGCTACAGAGTGTATTGAATAATGCAATGGTGCATGTTATTGCTTAGGACATGTCATTTGTCAACATGTATCTATTAAAAGATTGATGATTCTTACTCAAATCCTTTTCCAATGTGCTTGACGTTACAGATATATTAAAAAATATGTTTTATTTGCTGATACAGTATAGGTGATCAAAAGCTCCACAATAGCTAGCTTCTTAATGGACATTGGTTTTTATCACCGGTCATTTTGTGAGCCTTTTAAGCAAACAGGAGAAGTCCTTGAAGTGCTAAGAACAACTGAGCAAGCTCAATCTGCTGTTTAACACTCAAGTGAAATTGTTTTATCAACCACTTTTACAAGGTCCAAAATGTAATGACGTTGACAATCATCAATAAAGGTGATGGAAAATGTTGTTTTGTGATTACTAAACATGTACAACTACCTTGTGTCTCATTAATTTGTAAGTAAATAAAACGTACTTAATTCTGCAAATCTACAAAGAAAGCATCAGCACTGTACAGCCTCACTTTCTCCTAGAATTCAATTGGCAGAAGGCAAGGCTCTATATTAAAGTGCTAACAACACAAGTGCCAATAGATGGATTTCCTGTTAACAAATAATCACGACAGGGGGTTCGCAAACTGATGATAGCTAGTATGTATATATTTTGAGTATTCAGAAATTAAAAAAACTTGCAGGAAACGCATATAAATACAGTTCAGAGGCAAATGTGTAGGTTGCACTCATGCTGGAATGTATTGTGGAAGTATTTATTTGTTACCATATGCCACAGTTTGATAGACTAGTTGGCCCTGATCAGTCAACACATTTTCCATCAATAAACGAATGTAGTAGCAGCAATAATAAATCCAGTAGAGTAAAACTAGACTTCACATATTTAGCTCTTACAGGGAGTGAACAATGACCTGTGTGTCCCAAACTATCAACAGCACTGCTCCAACAAGTAACATTACCATTTAAATAAAAGATTTGCCTATATGTTAAGACCGCATAACACCCTTATTCTGCATATTACATAAGTTACTTTCTAGTGCCTTGTGTAAACTTGCAAATGTGTCAAATTAGTGCAAAGCCCTTTGTATTAGATAACCTAAAGTGTACTGTTGAATAGAAGCATGCTTAATTTCCCGTGGCATCCTACGAATGCCTCAGGTTTAAAACAGTCACCCTCAAGGACACACATCATCCTTGTGGAAGTGGCTTGTTAGACTGTAATTTGGTTATGTAGCATACGAACTAAGACAGCATGTGATCCCTTCCACGCACAGCATATAAAAGAGAAACATGAGTCAGCTGGAGCTACATTATTCCACATGTTTGTGTATACCTTCAGGCTGTTGCAGGGAGAGGTGCGGGGCTTTCCGGCTGCAGCGTCACTGCGTCCATTCCCCTGTGCGCGTCCTTGCTCATTTCCCACCTCCATCCTCCAGAAACGTCTCTATGTCTCCTTCTGCTAAGGAGTCTCCCACGTAATGCAATTTCTTGGCACTGATGCATGCAACCCTGCAAATGGATAATTCAAGCATGTGACCCACTTCTCATCCTCAGCTCAAAACAGAAACATGTCTGCAGCAGCCAGCAGAGGGGAGACAGACACACAAACAATAGTCCCTGTATGTGTTCTGGAGATCATAAGACTTATAATACAACTAAACATTGTAATAACACAGATGACGTGTGCCCTTTTTCAGAACAATAGGTTTTCGTTTCCAGTTAACAATTTTTAGCCACAGTATGAAAAACTGAGCTCAGCCTTCATACATTTCACAACTACATACTTTGTTTTGTTGTTCGATCGGTAATTGACAGCATGTGACCGACTGTTATGAAGCATAAACCCGGGTTTTGAAGTGTCATGGCCATTTCTACAGATCATAATTCCATTGTTGAGGTATACTAAAATAGATTTATATTGTGCAATTTTCCAAACTCACATTGGTTTCTCATACAGCATCTCTGTATAGTATGTGTATTCACTCTCTGTCCTAAACGGCTTGTTGGAGCTCCTGCCCCCCCCCCTCCCTGTGAGCCCAGTGGCCGTCTGCGAGACAGCGAGACACAGCGAAACCCAGCCCGAAACCAGCCCGAGCACACACACACACCCGCAGCCTGGCTGTAAGTTTGTGTGTGTGCTCACACACAGACTCACAGCCTCGCCGTGTCCCGCCATCTCAGGCTGAGAAATCCGCGGAGCTGCAGCTGAGAAAAGATTGAGTGTGTGTGTGTGTGTGTGTGTGTGTGTGAGGAAGGGACCAATCCGCGGACTTAACGTAACGGCTCCGCGGTACCCAAATACGTCACTATACCCAAGAAGAAAAAAATGGAAAAGAGAAATCTCCAATGAGGCGTTCTGGGGCAGCATAGACAGGTCTTTTCTGTGTTAGAGTTTTACTCGCTACAGGGTGTACTTTGAGGGTTTGTGACTTTGCAGACCGTTTACATGCATACAAACCTTCATAACACACAAGGGGACGGGTAATAACCGGAAAAGCATGACATGGGACCTTTAAGCCTGACATGATACAGAAAATAGGTTGATTTGCTATAAGATTATTATGGTAAACTTCCATTGCTTTTTAAAGCCATAATTACTCACCATTATTGGGGAAAGATTTTGTAAACCGCGTGAAAATATGTGTCAGAATCCTAGGAATACTGACAGCAGAGATAATGGGCTCTCATGTTTACTGTTGTCAGTGATCTTCTCTTCAATTTCCACATACCAGTTGAGTTGATGGAAGAGAAGTGAATGGAACACAAAAAATGGGATCGTTGCTTCTGTTCATCAAAGGAAGATCTGATTGTGCCATTAAATAGAGCTGGGCTTTTCATCACTAGAATTTATTGCAACCTCAACTACATTTCTGCACCTTTTTTTTTGGCTGGACAACAAGTGCGACTGATATTTGTTAAAAAAAACGTTTTGGACTTAAATATTAAGGCATAATAAAATAGATATATACATAAGGGAAAGAGTTTCACCGTTAAATTGTATATAGGAAAAACAAAACACTAGTTGGAATATGTACTAGTACCTTTATTTTTTAGGGCTTGCTCATCCACTTTTAGTCGCATGTTGTCGGAGTTGAGTTCTACATCCAACCTGGGTTGGACTCACTGGGAGATCTATACCTCACCAACTCTTGAAAGTTACCTATACCTGGCTGAATTTTTGGAGCTACAGTAAGACATGCGACAGCTAAAGTGGGGTCCACAAAACACCCAACAGCGCATGTTTCAAAAACCGGTCAATTATCAAATAAGTCCTCACTTGAACACTGCATTCTGAAAAAACTCCCTTACAGAGAAAATCAAGAAAAAACGTAAAGAAATTATCAAGCATGCAACAACAATCAATGACACTACTAAAACCCAACTCTCAGTCCATAGGATCATACAGACTTTTCCACCAATACGTAATAGGCAATATCCAGGTTCTTGAATGCATTTGCAACAAAACATTTCTGAGCTAATCTATGCATTGCTTGTAAACAGAACCAAAGCATGATTAAGACACTCTTAATAAGCTATATTGACATCATGGTCAACTAAGTCACTTAAACTAGGGTAAAAAAGGCATCAATAAAGCTTACATGCCTTAACCATTTAGAGGCTGTTCCTGCATGGGAGATTGATTTTAGGCTTATGACAGTCCCTGTTAATAAGTCTAAGGAAAAGCCAGCATATTTTCTGATTTGATACCTTTATACCACTGTATTCGTTGTATAATGGTATGGAGATTCGAATTAACTGCAACTGATATTAGTAAAGCAACACTTAAGCCCTAACAAAGACTGTCACATTATACAATATATGGAGATAAATTATATGAATCAAAATCTGTTTTTCCCTACTTTAAATTATTCCTTATTGTCCTCTTTCTCTTCCTTTCTAAGAGTACTTTCTTCTCACTCCTCACATTCATCTTGTTTATTTCACATACTACTGGACTCTCCACCCCTTCAGTAGATTTCCAGTAGTCATTGTGAAACAGTGGATGAAATTGCTCAAGGGGACCATGTTAGTGATACTTTAAAATAATTCGACTAACAGCAGCTTTAAGCAGGCCAATATGAAGCAGAATTCCACTGTTGTTCCTTGTGTACCACCAATGTTTATACTCATTTGAACCCCGTACCCCTATTTCCACGAATATGGTGCTGTCGCCACTCGCCAGTAGGCCTAGAGTATTATTATCAACGTTCATTTAATCCGTCACTGTTATGTAATGACTGGTGAAAGAGAGCTCGTTATTCAGACTCAAATTTACTCAAATGGGTAATTTCTGCCCTTTCATGTTAAAAATTGCAACTTGTGTAACAACACTTCCTCAGAATAGACAATGAACTATTCACATTGCATGGTATATAAATATGTAATAAGTATAATTACTGGGGTGAGAGTTTTAATGTTTACCACTGAAGCTAGCAAGACGACCTTGACAACATGTTGCACAGTTGCGACGCAATTGCGGTTACAACAATCTGCGCGCACACACACACACACACACACACACACACACACACACACACACACACACACACACACACACACACACACACACACACACACACACACACGAGGGGTTAAAATGAACAGAAATGGAGAATGTCCACTGTCCTGTGGCGAGCGTATAGTGGTAAAACGCACCTCTATCATGGTGTTGTTGTCTACCCTCAAACCTTCGGACATTTAACATCCATGTGATTAGTTTATATTCCAAAACAAACTTCTCCTTTAGTCTGTCAGCAATGATCAGCCGTTGGATTGTATCAAAAAGCACACGAGAAATGTGTAAAACTCGTGCCAGGGTTTTGCAGCCCTCCAGGTGCACAATTGGTTTAAAAGCTATTATGGCGTCACCTGTTCCTCTCCCAGAGCAATTAGAGGAGTTGATGAAGTCCTGAAAATGAAATGTTTAAAGAGGAATTGGCTTTTAAATACATATTAAGCCTAAACATAGTAAGTCAAAAAAGAATTTCAATATCTTCACCACTGGAATAAAAGAAAGTGCGATAAATCAGATGTTCAGCAAAAAAAAGAGCATCAACAAAAAAAAAGCGCACCACTTACCTCGGTGTCCTGTGAAGTCCAGTTGCTTTACTACTCAGACTAAAAAAGCAAAAGACAGGTAGCCTCCCTTCAGCCAGCTCCAGTCAAACTTTTCATGTGGATGAGAAAGGAGGAGAAGCGAACACCCGTATCATGAATGCTCTGAGACCGATATGCACCTTCAGAGTTCATTTCCAGCCGACTTCACGGTTACTTTAGGCAGACGAATCCAGATCAAACAAGGATTTATATCTCTGGAAACATCTAGTCATCACCGGTTGGTGTCCATCATCTTGGAGATACGGTGTGCTCGACGCGCTGCTACCTCTGTTTCCTGGACTGACTCTGCATATAGCCGGAATAGTTTACACAGAAACACGTCTTAATCTGCACTGCTCTCTCTCTCTCTCTCTCTCTCCGTGTTTCCCTGCCTCTTTCTGTTTTACTCCCTTCTATCCCTCCCCCTGACCCCCTCTCTCTATAATTTCTATAAAATTCCACTGAGCTTTATCATACAGTGCCATGCATTGTTTAGAGGCTGTTGTGGTATTCACAAGCTTAAAAAAAACCAGTTATTTAAAAGCATCGTGATTATCATAATCAGAAAATTAAGATTTCAACTTTTAAAATGATAATCCTAACGGTTTTTAAATGGCTGCTGAGTCATGGTCACATGGTCAGTCGGAATTTTGAAATTAGTTGTACTTCCCTGATTTAATTTATTTGGAGAAAATTAGCTTAGAACATCAATTTCTTTTTGGCACAGATTATAAAGTGACTTTATTTTTCCGCTTTTCCTCCTCCTATGCCAAAATCCTGTCTACATTACACATTTCTGTGTTGCAGAACAGAACAGACACATCATGGAGTTATGTCACCCAGTGAAGTAACAGAGAATGTACTACGTTAAGCTGGAATTGGTCGAAGTTTTCCTTTAAGGTAAAATATCAAATGTCTTACAATTAGACCTGTTTTATGCTGTTGAGTTGTTTAACCTATATTTCATTAATGTTTCTGTTGACTAACATGAATGCTTTCAACAATATTCAAGCCTAGAGGAATCAATACTTTTGATCAAGATAACAGACTGTTTCGACGGTGACGTATCCCCTTTGGGCATGAATTGTGTGTTATAAACTGTAATGTATTTCTTTCTGTTTTTATCCAGTCACATTGCAAATGGTGGGGCCTTGTTTCAGTCCTGATTAGGTTTTGGGTTAAAAGGATTCTGTACCTTGAATAGGCACTTTTTATCATGGACATGTCTGTAGAAATATCAGAGGGATAAACATTGTGTTTCCAAAATATGATCTGTCATGATGATGAGTTTAGCAGATTTTTTTTAGAAATGTTTTGAATTGTACGTTTATCCAGGGTCCATGACCTGCTTAATCCCCACTTTATGAAACTTGCATTTCTTGAACATCATTTTACTCTCTCTTTCTCATCCAACATAGGAGTCAACATAAAATAGGAGTACAGGAGCCTGCTGTGCTGCCTGCCTTGCTTTATCATCACCATTATTGCATTTATTTTGCTTTATGCCCAGAAATTCTGAGATTATTGGGATTTTCTTTTTTTGAAGCAGATTTCTAAAATCAGATAGCTTTGTCATTAATCAAAGGATATGTCTCATTGCTTAACAAAGTTTTAGTTATTTTTTAATGTCATTAATTTGTGGGAAACGATAACTTGTAAACTCAAAGTGCATGCACATCTTTGGATATTGGTAGTGTCTCCCACTCTATGATTATATTGGCAGTTGAACCTGTCAGATGGTACACATTAAAAAACGTAACACTGTCTCATTCAAACTTTCCTCAGAACCGCTGTTGACTTTATCAATAGAGCAGTTGACTCTGTCTTGATGGCACTGACCTGATGTTCAGCATCTGTGTATCACTTATTCACTCTGCGCTCTCAGGCTGCAGACTTCCTGGGATTGGGAAGCTTGGATGGGTTAATCGTGTCCTGCTTGGTATTTGTTTGGAATTTCTTAAACTGAAATACACTCAAAAACTATTCAAAAATAAGTGTGCTTCTGGCTTTTGAATGTTACGTCTATTTTTTAGCCCCTCCCATCTTCCCCCAAGAGGCTGCCATTTGCTAGGCCGCTACTGTCAATTACAATTAATGGCTTGCCTGTTAATATAAAATTATATGTTTAGCAATGGCCTATACAAATGTGATACTCAAGGCTAGAAACAAGCATATTTTGATGATCTCATTGACTTCTAAACCTAAACAATAGTTAGGATTTTCCAAAATATTTGCCCTTTCAGAAAAGGATAATAATACAATGAAACTTTCCCTCTTTTTACCACTGATCCTGACGGGCTCCATATTAGACAGAGTATTGCATGTTTCTGTGTTGCTATGGTAACTTGTGGTCTATGGAATATGAAGGGCTTGGTTGACGCCAGGCCAGATACAGTGGCACTATGACACAGTATGGCTGTTGAACATAGCATCCTCCCCTCTAAAACGGTCATTATCACTGATGTTGACACAGAAGGAAAACTTGACTGGATGCTCAATTGATAACTATATTAAAGTTTAATTTTCCAATCTGGAATATATTTGCATTAATTGTGCTTTTGAAAGAATAATGATTTTTTTCCTTACTGCAAAATATAGTATTATCCTTTGAAGGAGTTTTGGACCATAATGAGCAAAACAAAGCCATGTCATTTTTTGTTATTAATCTCAATCAAACGGATTAAGGCGATTTGCTTAATCTGCTGTTGCTAATTCCTCTGTGTATTGGTACATGGTGGAAGACAGGAATATGTCCGTCTTGGAAAAAGCACCTCCGACACACACTGTGTCACCTCTGGTGTACCCCAAGGGTCAGTCCTTAGGCCACTGCTCTTTTTAATTTACATGTTGCCCCTGGGACAAATACTGAGGAGCCATAACATCAGCTTCCACACATATGCTGATGACACACAGATTTATTTCCAAACTGCCCCGGATAAACATCTGGCACTTTCAAATGTCTCAAGATGCCTGGAACACATACACCACTGGATGAGCAACAACTCCCTCCAACTAAATAGCAGCAAATCAGAGGCCATTCTGATTGGAACACCACATCAAACACAAACAACTGATATCCCTCATATCAGCATCAATGGCCACTCCATTCCCCTCTCCCCACTTGTAACGAGCCTAGGTGTGAAACTGGACTCATCCCTTTCATTCCAAGCACACATAAAGACGGTCTGCCAAGCCTCATACTACCACCTAAGAAACATCTCCAAAATGCGACACTCCCTCACCAAACCGGATGCAGAAAAACTGGTCCATGCCTTCATCACCTCCCGCATTGATTACTGCAATTCTCTGCTTGCAGGCATTCCAGCAAAAACCACTCAGAGACTACAATATATACAAAACTGTGCCACCCGGATACTCACAAAAACACGCAAATCAGAGCACATCACCCTCATCCTTCACTCACTCCACTGGCTCCCTGTAACACACCGGATCAACTACAAAGTCCTCATAATGGTCTTCAACGCCATCAACCACACTGGCCCCACCTACCTACAGGAACTGCTAACCAGAAAACATTCACATACCTCACGCACACTCAGGTCAGACAGCTCCAATCTCCTGGCTGTCCCGCGGACAAAACTGGTCACCATGGGAAACCGTGCTTTCTCCTCCCTGGGTCCACGTCTGTGGAATCAGCTTCTAGAGAACATACGGACCTCGGCATCACTCTCAGTTTTTAGGAAATGCCTCAAGACCCACCTGTTCCACACCGCATTTTACTGACTGTCCTTTACTTTATTTATTTTTTAAACCTTCTATGCTCTTAACCTTTTATTTTTATTTTATATTGCCATATTTTATCCAATATACTCCTTTAGATAACTTTTTACTTATTGTTCCTTATAGCTTTGTGAAGCACCTTGAGATGACGTTGTTTTTAAAGTGTGCTATATAAATCAAATGTATTATTATTATTATTATTATGGTAGGACCATGGTCTTTGCCCTTACATACAAATCTATGTGATACAATACGATTACATTTGGATAATAGGTCAATATATGTCTATGACAAAGTGTGAGTTGATACTCATATAGCCTAATTAGGCATGGTTCTGTGCTTAGGTAGTGAGGTTAAACGTATTTTCATTTGCTTAACACACTGAAATGTATACGTAATCACACTGACCAAATCATTCTAATTAAGGTATTGAGGGTTCAGGAGATAAATAACTGATGTGACACATATCTTAAAAAACAATGGCAGCAAGTCAAGGATAGCTGTGTCACATCCCCATAAATCCTAGCAGCTCTTGTCCTATTTGTCGATTTAAAATAGACTTTCCCCTTTGCGCATCAGGTAAACTATTCAACCCTCCTCTTAAAAATAAATGGTCCAGGCATGTAGATAAAAAAAAAGCAGATGTGATTGTTGGCTAGTTGTGATCCCTCCGCCTCTCTTACAAGGCTTGAGAGCATGCATGATCACTATCCACCGACATCACACAGTCAGATCTAAGAAGGGCATGGATTATCGGGAGAAAGGAATGAATGAAGGGGAGAAAATAAAGCTCTGAGGATAGTTGTGGATACAGAACAATGGTGAATGGGAGGGGGGGTTTGTCACTGAGAGCACAGAATGAAACAGTAAAAAGTAAATGTCTACATCAAAATACAAATCCAGACCTAATTTATAACCCTTAATCCACCCGGTGAATGGAAAAAGAGGATGTCTGATTTTGATATTCAAACTCACCCACTGGTAAATTCCGAACGCTGAGGCAAAATTGATCAGATAAAAAGGGCTTCAAAGAGAAGGCAGTTTCCATGAAAACCAGATTACCAAAGAGATTACTTTCTCTTCATACCGGACACAAGAATATGCAACTTCTAAAACCCTCTGTCCCAGAAATACTGGAAAAGTAAGAATTAATTTGCTCATTGAAATTGACGCTTTACAAAAGTCACACTTTACAAACAGTCGCACAAGAAAAACAAACAATTGAATTGTCATAGTCACTGCAACAATGTGGTGAATATTAAACATTTCCCCTCACATCTCATGGCCGCCTGTCTGTCTTCTTAGAAGCAAGCAATACATTTTAGTAACCTTCAGACAATTAAGTTGTTCCCAACTCCACAGGGAGGACATTTCTAAATACAATAAAGTATATTGGCCTCAGTTAAGTGTTACTTATGTTATATAACATGATTTAAATAAAACTATACAATCCTGTTGTACTTTACTTTTAATACATTTGTTCCAATCAATCTTTGACTGCCTTTATTTTAAAAATCAGAGTACAACCCAAACTGACTGATCCGTCATGAGTCAAGATGCAATGCGAGGTTTTGACAAGAGAGAAGATACTTACAAAAACATGGCTAGCTAATTAAAAATATTGCAATAGAAACTATTACACTTTGTTTCTAAACCATCATTGAATATATACTGTAATCAAACTGTAATGTGTTAGCCATGCTTCAAACGGACTTACCGATTAGATGTCACTTAAAATCAGATGTGGCATGCGGCCAGTCTCCTCTTCAAACTCAACCTGTGAAAAGAAATCTGTTTTCACAGCCACAAGGCTCAGTGTTGGCAGCAGAAGATGTTTTTGTTGACACTCACTGCTCTCAGTGTTACTGTATTGCACTTGGCCATACTTCCCTTACACATATCTTGTAACACATACATTCAAGCAGAAAATATAACATCATTATTTATTACAAAGTCATTAGCAGATATGGTCCGAGCAACTATTAAATAGGCCAAATGCAGGGAGCTGTCCTTTATGTTAGTTAGGCTTTGCTTTACTATGACAAGTTGACTTTTCTGGACCACCGGACTAAAAAATACATTTCACTATTTGTTATAAAAATGTCCTAGTCAAAATGAAACTTGGATAAATGACAGACACATGTGCAGCATTTATAAATCTTATTATTCAACAATATTCACATTACAACATCAACACTGCTCTAGAGACAGGTTCTAATAATCCCAATATATTGTATAGTTAATTTGTAATACATTATCGAGAGGCACTTCCAGTAAGTCTGGCAATAGAGGAGCTACAGTATTGTGTCTAAATTACAAAACAGTAAAAATAAATATTTTTCTAAAAGTTTTTTTTTCATAATATACTTTGAATCTGTACAGTATATATTTGTTTTATACAAAGCCAAACCATATCCAGAAATAAAATATCATATATCACTTAAACAAATACTGGTGAATCACACAATGTCCCATCCTGTAGGTATTGCTACATGTGTATTGCTACAAGTGCAAGATACTGGTGAGAAGAAAACAATTGAGTCTGTGAAGCGCCTGCTATACAGTAGAAAATAAAAAATAAACATACTAGTCTTGTTTGTGTTGCTTTAAAGGAGATGAAAAAAAAGTTTGTTTTGGTTTCCTTTGTGACGAACACCGAAAGCTGAAGAATGTAGCATTCAAAGAGTATAGACATACATGTGAAAATGGTATGGCATAGGAGCAAAGCCCCCTTTAAATTGGCTGAAACAACAAACAATACAAAAATGAATGTTTTTGGTTCAAACCATCAAAAGAAAGGGCTTCAGTCTGAGAGCAGAACAGTCTGCCAGGTCCACTGTAGTGCTACTGCTGCCTATCACAATGCAGTGACATCAAAATACTACACCGTCTGTTAGATCAATGCTTGAACGTTTCTTATGCTTTAATCTTCTCTGTCTGTACATGAGAATTGTTACCAAGTCTAAGCATATCCAGACATCCTTCTTAGGTTCCGAATCACACTGAAAAATAAGAAGATGCAAGAAACATGCTCCTTTTAGGGCTCTTTTTTGTGCAAATCACAGAAAAAGACAGAGTTCATAAAGTTTCTTTGGTTTGCACAAGTTAATTCAGTGTGCAGCAATCGCCTTCTACTCGTCCCTATTTAAAAGAAACTACTGATACTGGCTTTGATGAACTGACATAATTTAGTCATGGACCCTGTTCTTTTGTTGAGTTCTGTCCCAGTTTTTACACAAAGACGATGTAAAACGAGATGTCTCTGGCCACTGATGTTGCCAAGAGACACTCAGATAATTAAAAAAAACTGGTCAAATGAGCTTTCATGTTTGGTTGCCAAGAATATTTCTGAGGAAAATAAAGAATTTTGAGAGCCAGCGGGTAGTTGATATTTAATAGGGCCAAAAGGAAGGGCGTCAAACAAACTCAAAGAGCAACTCATCATCCTCTCAAAAAAAGTTTTTGCTGACCTCAGGTGGTTTAACCTTTCTCTGCAGTGATGTACAAGTGTACTTCAAGGTGTGTCAGTACACCATGACATCACTGCAGGGTTGGGTTAAAGTTACTGCAAAACTGGGATCATACCAAAAAAGTTTGAAAACGTTTCACTTAATCATTTGTAGCCTACTTTACATTTCACAAGACACTTATTAAACCAGCCAACGAAGATGAAGAAAGCTACTCTTTAAGATTTGAGGAAACCTTTCCTTATGTCTGACAAAAAAACCCCTCAATGGCGACACACAGCTTCAGATTGTTAACAAAAAGAATAACGACAACAAATTATATCACAGCTTTGATTCCGTCTCTTTGATTGCTGCACTGCAGTGTATACAGTTAGTGAGGCAGGGCTGGAAAGGGAGATCAGAGGAAGGGAAGTGTCTATTTTGACTAACTGGATCCCTAGTGAGCTTTGAATTCTCTGATCAGTTAGAATTCAAGCTAATAAAGGGAAAGGAGTGGGAGAAAATCTACAAATTCCCAAACAGAAGTAGGCATGGGATGGTGCAAATGTGAGATATAAGAAAAAATCCATTGCAAGAGTATGCACAATAGATTGCAAGTGAGGCCTCGATATATACTATACGGTGCGTCGCGTATTTACAGTGCATGGAGCAATAGCTCATTCATGAGTGCCACAACTTCCTGTTGTTTACAGAAAGCTTTTTACAGTTTGTGTCATTTTTAAACTGAAATTTGATATCTACAGAGCTTCAAAAAGGCTCAACTAAAAGACCCATGTGGTTGCCTTACATAGTTGTGTATCAGCTGGTGTGCAGATCATTCTCACCACTACAGATAAACTTATCATGAGAAGCCAATGCAAGGACAGGCTATTGGAAGACATAAGGTCCAGCAGGGGACATGTATAAATATAAATGAACTTGCTATACTACAAACTACGTTTTGGCAGATAAGACGTACATTTTTCAGGGGTCTGATAACACCTTTCTCTTTTCCTTTTTTTCTGTTGCCAAGCAACATTTGCTCCTTTCATTATGGACTGAGCCACATCAATGCAGGGGGTAATTTAGCAAAGCTGGAAGGACTTCCGACAACGTTTTATAAGAGAAACTCAATGAAATCTTTCGCCAATTAAAAAATGACTGAATATAAATATCTGAAATAATGAACTCAAAAGTGTAGTCATGGAGTCAGACCTACATTTTGAAATCCACCTTAAGAAAATTACCAAATAATTCTACTATCACGATAAGATTATATCAAAAATAAAAGGTTTGAGTCTCAGCAGGATGTAGAATTGGATCGATGGGACGTCTGCACTGCCTCAGAACGCTGAGTCCTCACTAAAACCAAGAGAGACGACATCAGCTCTCAGATTGTTACACTGGCCTCCTGTGTGTCAAGGAATTGACTATTTGTTTGTTGGTCTATAAAGCACCGAATGGCTTTAGGGCCAAAATAAAAGCCTTATCTTCTGCTCCGTCATGAAGCGTCAGGTCTGCTTACCGTCCCCAAAGTCAGAACTAAAAATGGAGAAGCAGCACTGAGTTTGACACTTTTGTTTTAATCTGTTCTAGCTTTTTTATCTTTCATTTTATTTTATTCATTCAAATGTGTCTTTTTGTATATACTTGTTTTTCTTTTTTTGATGCATAATATGTCTTTTATAAATAAACTCAAACTTCCCTGTTGTTAAAAAGTGCTACAATAAATAAACCTGTTTTTTTTTCCTCTCAGCTGGATCTGAAACACTAACAATATGCTCAGGCATCGACGAGCACAGGCTTTCTTTTTTATAGCAGTGAAAACATTCTCACCACTGCACCCTTCTCCGTACAAAGGAAATAAGCAGTCAAGGGCATTAGGTTGCACAGTTGAGCCCTCTTTTGCACAATGGGTGTTTTGATAACAGTGCAATGGATACAGCTGAGGATTTAGACAGTATTAAAGTTAGTAAAACTCTAATTGAGTTAAGAAATTGGGTCACAGTAGGGCAGGTTCAGCCAGAACAAAACTTAGATAGTGTCTGCAAACAAGCCTATTCAATAGATTGCTGTTTTTGTCCAGTGCATTTAAATAATTAAATGTAATTAAGTATAATTGGTATCCTTAGTGGATGTTTACATTTCTATCTAATGCTCTTTGTGAATGAACTAATCACAATTCTCCTGGGCATTTTATGTTGCCTCAGAGATTCCACGACTGCTTTCTTGCAAATTCCCTACCTGCTACAGAGCTGAAGAAAAATAACATATCAATGAACTTAAATACCTCTGTTAACAAGCCCCTCAGATAGAAGCACATGCTGTGATTTATCAGCCTACATCGCCTCCTGAGCAAGCCTTAAGGCAGCTTCTACCAAAAGTGCTGTCAAAATCCCCAAAAGTCTTTCAATTGTGTTAAAGTGTGCCTGTATTCACTTTGCAATTTTGACACATTGACTGCTACACATCAGTAAGTGAAGACACAAAGCATCTATACATCTCTGAACCTGAATCCCCAGTGCTGCGTAGCTTTGCCAATGTCAGATCAAATACACTGTACTGAGTATCTGTGTAATACATTTTGCAGACTTGGAGACGTATATCATCACATGATTTGGAATCCGACCTAAATGGCTCATCTTCAAAGGCTTACATCTAGAGGAATCTACTGAAATGTGAAAAGGATCTAAGACCCCCCCCCCCTTGACTTGTCATAAGCAACTACAAGTCAGGCGAAAAGGCTTCTCCCTCTCCTCCTTCCTCTCTCATTACTAAGTCTCATTACTAAGGCTGTTCTCCGTGTTCACACTCTTCTCCATCGCCACCAGTCTCATTCTCTGAGAACATCAAAGGAGAGCAAAGACACCTTGTTAGGCCATACACCGTGTCATTGGTAAGGACTGCCAATGGAGAAAAAAAATCCAGGTCTGCTGACCTATGATAAGATCTCAACGAAACATTCTCTAACTCTATATTTTCTATATTTTTTGCCCATTACAGTATATGCTACTTTAAAAAGAAACCATGCAGAATACAGACATCTTCAATTACAGCCTTTTTCAAACCACTTTTATCTCCTTACCTGTGTTGGTAAAATTCTAACATCCCTTTTTTATTGGCTCTCCTTGAGGATTAACTAAATGTACAACATATTTTGATTTCCTCAGTGTTAGTTAAGAAAACCCTGACAGTATCACAGAAAATTACAGTTTTACACTTCGTCAATTCTAAATTTGACTTTAAAAAGGATTAACTAATATTATATATGAATTATCAATAGACATTTATGCAGCTGTGACCCTTGTTTTGTGTTATTCCTTAAAGCAAGGCTTAAAAAAAAAATGGGTCTTTGCAATTTGGTGCAACATAACAAATGAAGGATTTGTATCTGATTGAATCGTTTTTAGCGGGTACACAGCAACCCCTGGATTTTTTTATGTATGAGGGAGGTTAATCCTCTCGGGTGATTTGGAGCTGTGAGGTAACTCTTTCCCGGGCCACTATGGCTTACTGGATTCATTTACTTCGGGAAAAATTGGCCTACAGTACATACCAGCTATAAATGATATTGCAAAGAAGAAATAATTCTGGTCATTAGTTAGAAAGTGGCATAACATGTGAATATAAATTATATTTTCTTGACAAAACACATGACCTTATTAGCTAGTTTTGTGTCTTGTAAATTGGTTTGATGTAATTAACAGTATGATCTGCAGTGTTGTAGCATAAGGGGAGCTTACACTTAAAAAGCAGTAATTCAATAGAGTTGTGTTCTACAGTATAATGTGATCTATTACCTTGTTTTCCTTGTGGTGCCCTTTGTTTTTCACAAAGGGCACCACGTGTCTGAGTAATTCAAAAGCATCACAAACAGCATAGAAAGAAGATCTTGTAAAAGCGGCAAGTAAAAGGACAAGGAAGCTACACGTCCTGTCCAGGTCATTTTTTCTCTATGGATTTCTGCCTTCCTGAGTTGTGTGGCTTTGAAACGTGTAGGTGTGCTGGACTTACTTTTGTAAGAAAACACAGGGAGAGAACATGCGGACAAACATTGTAGTACATGAACAAAACCCTTGTTTTGTATGTTTTTCCTTGAGCGAGAATAAAGCTTTTAGAGCAACAGGGTTCTTTGTTAAACTTCTTATCTGTTCCGAGAATGGAATGTGATTCTACAGTAGCATTGTGTGCGTGTGTGTGAAGCTTGTGTGGGTGTATGTCCGTATTCACAATGTACTACAACTGGGCCTTTTTCCCCGTCTCCCTCTGAAATCCACACGGCTGAGCCCCAATGGACACAGCTTTTCCCCTGGCTTTCATCCCATTGTCTTCACGGAGAAGGGACTTGTTGCACATCCTCCACCAGCTGAGTGGCTCAGTGCAACAAGAAGGGGGGGGGGGGGGTGGTTGTGACAGTGTATTACTCACTGGTGGAATGAATCTGTGAATCTGCGTGGTTAGCCTGTAGTGGGACGGGCAGCCTGGGTGAGGGCAGCCGATCCAGACTAAATCAAACACTACAGCAAAAACAAGTACAGTCCCAATATTTTTTTTTCTTTTGCTCATTGCACCTCTCTTCCCTCAACAGATAAACTGGGCATGCATAATCCCTGTCCTCAAACTCAGGTTTTTGTTAGGCACATATTACCCCAGATATCTTCTACAGTGTTGTGTCGAAGTGATGTGCTGGCTACCATATCAAGAGTTTAGTTAGGAAAGAAATACAAATGTTTAGACAACGTTCAGATTCCTGGTTTAACGAGGAAGACAAAGTTCATAATATCACTCTGGTTCCTTGTCTTTTTCCCCCGAAGTCTCTGATTGTGGAAAGATGTCTTCTTCCTCTATAGCCGGTATCTCTTCCCTTTCATCGAGGCCGTCAGTTGACTCCTCCTCCTTGCTTGCTAGCTCTTCCTCTTCCTCGTGAATGGCTGTGATTGGATCAGTGGGGCTGCTGATGCAGTTTGGCTCCTCATTCTGAGCTTCCTCCTGAGCTTCTGCAGCGATGACTCTTGTCCACATTTCATGGTTTTCCAGAATATGCTGTGTTATCTGGCAAAACACTTTCCTCCTGCTCACCTTGTTGGTTTCTTGTCGCTCTGTCAGAGACAAAGTCAACAGTTAGACAAAGGAGGGAAAAGCTGACCTTGCTTACTTGCCAAAAGATAGAATACAGGACTGATGCAATCTGTCTGAACATGAAATGTTAGCCAAAACCTGGAGACAGTTAGCTCAGCTTAGCTTAGCATCAATAGAGCAAATAGGGCAAAACCGCATTGACAATGTTTAAAGTTGGTAAAAGTCCACAAGCATCATCTCTAAAGCGCTCTTTAGTCAAACACATGCAACATCTTAAATGTAAAATGCAAATTTGTGGCCAGTGACTGCTTGAAGTTGCCTCTCGTTGTCTGGCTACCATAGCAACAATGAAAGTTAAACTAACTGTTTTTCCCCGTTCCTAGTCATTATGCGAAACCAAGAAAAATGTCTCCTGGTTCCAGCTCCATATTATCAAAGATAAATACAAGTCGTATCAATCCTTTAATCTAAATCTCAGTAAGAAAGCAAATCCTTTTATATCCCAAAATGCCAAATGGGCCGTTTGATATGTTAGCTAAATAACAAACAATGCAATTTTACAATCTCTGTAGGCATTCTAACTAAGTACATCACAGTTGTATGAAGTGGCTGTGGGGTACAAATACCTTCCAATAAATGTGAGTAAAACAATTTGTATTAAAACATGACGGAGACAGACTGTATTATTTTTGCAGAGGTTGACATACGGGAGTTCTCAGAACTTGTTGATGTGTCCTCATCTGCTGTATCCTCCTCTTCGTCTTCTGTATCGAGTCCCTCCTTCGCCTCTTCTGCATCTGTTTCTCCCTCAGGGGGGTCAACCCAGCGTCCCGGCATAAGAGCAGCAGAGTTGTAGGAGGAGCACAGAGGCCCCACGATGTGAGTGATGAACGACTCCTGCAGTTTAGCGAGCTGTGGAGCGGACCGGTCCATGAAAGGGCTGATGGGAAGGCCCAGGCTCGCTTCTTCGTCACCCTAGGAGGGTACAAACATGGAAAATATGTCAGATGCACAGAATGGATTAAACATTAATGTGCTGGAAAACATTACATGCACACAAACACACAGTTACAGTTTTTAATAAAGAGATTTTCCTATTGTGGTCTTTTCCATTTTTGACATTTCTTGATAATAAATATGGCTTAGATTTATGTTGCAGAGTCTTATGTTATATTGTGTCAGTCATTTGCTGAGCTTTTGTGTTGGTTTTCTTTTTGCCGGGGCTTTTAAAGCGCTTCAGTATAGGGGGACAGAGGGGCAAGGGCTCCTGTTGCTATGGAAACCTGAACTCGTATGGCATCAGTGTGCTGTACTAGTGGTTCATGTTATAAATGTGATTATGTGTGTGTATATTTATAGTAGGTAGAGAGAGAGAGAGAGAGAGAGAGAGAGAGAGAGAGAGAGAGAGAGAGAGAGAGAGAGAGAGAGAGAGAGAGAGAGAGAGAGAGAGAGAGAGAGAGGGGATTGTTCATCTCATAACAAGAAATTGCTGATATTTTGAATTTAAAGTGGTCCGTATGTGTGTACGTGTGTACATTTGTGTGTGCATAATATGTGCATGTGTCTGTGTCAATCCATCCCTGGGATCCTTCTCTCTGTGACTGCGAATGAGTGCTTTCAAGGATGACTCATTTAGGCCATCCATTGTTCTGAAGAGAAAAACATACGCAGTCCCTCAAAAGACATACATATTTCAAATCAGCAAAGCTATGATTTTTTTTCTAGATTTTTTTCCTGGTTTTCAAATATGATTGTACACACATATTTTTATTAAGAATGGACAAAATAAACAAATATTGAGAGTCAGTTTGCTGATTGAGAAGCATTGTGATAATAAATCTTTGTATAAATACAAATGTGTTTTTTCATTTCGAGTTGAATAAATATTAGGGATAAAAGTGAAAGAAATATTTGTTTGCATCTTTACCTTCTTTAATCCACAGCAAAAAATAGCTTTATTTAAAGGTGGGGTAGGTAATCTTGGAGAAACCAGCTCGAGTGCGCTAGAATTTGAAAATACACAGCCTGAAAAAATCTGCCACTTCCTTACAGAGCCCCTCCTCCAACACACACAAACGTGCACATGACCAATGAGGGCACGAGATAAGTTTGAGCAAAAAGTGTATCTCCAGCCGGTTTCTCAAACTTACCTACCCCACCTTTAAGTCTTTGGCGATTTGCTTGGCACTTACTGAACTGACCAATGAGACGCACTGTTGGTTAAGGGCAGGATTTGTTGCCATGCATCCATCTACAGTGATCTCTTAACAAATTCATGAGCTAGTAGACAAGTCTTTTGACTATTCTATTTCTGTTTGCAGGGAACATCCAGTTTCGCACATAAAGCACTTGGTGGAAGGTCCTTGAGCGAGAAAGAAAATGACTATCATCTGCAGAGATGCTGTTATGCAGTTGATCCTGACCTCACTCTATAAGAGGTGAGCAAAAAGCTGAATTGCTTCTAGGAAGCAACATCTATAGCTTTATCCTTGGAAATATTGTAATACAATTCCAAGAATCGGATAAGAGTTGGTTGGCTTTTCGCTGACTGTCAATCAAATCTGATAAAACATCACCCACTCAGTCCTTATGATGCATGTTATTTCTGACCTTGAGTAAAAAATATCAAAGATGTTGTTTTTGTATTCATAAATGTTGATTAGCATTAAAGTTTTAAGGGGTTTTAAAGTGAGACGAATACAAACAAATGTTTTCTGTAAATAAAATGCAAGGGAAGGCAAGATAATTGTTCTTATTCCCGAGGGGCAATTTGTTGCACAGCCAGCAGTTATACAGTCAACAGACTAATCAGCATACAAACACATAGAAACAGGGACTAATGGATTCTTCAATCTATTGGTCCGACATCTTGGGAGAACATTTCTGAACTCACTGAACATCGGTCGGCAAGGAGAGTTGGGTCTTTTTTGTATCTGTGACCTTGTACGCTTGAGAAAGGTACACTTGAGATGTTGAAAATAAAATGCACTATTATTAAATTCTCGACACTCAAAGGATCTGCAGCGAGAGGACGGAATTGGTCTGGAATGGTCAATAGCTTAAGGTGGCCAATGTGAATTTATAGTAGCAGATTAAAAAATATATATTGTTGTTTAATTGCTCACCCAAGTAAAATACATTCTGACGAGTTTATGATCTCAATTGCTAGTTTCAAGCCTTCGTCAATAAAGCATGATGTTCATTTAAAAAATATGATCCCATTTGAAGTAAATCAGATGATTAAGCACCATATGCTTTACCTTTTTTTGTACCACTATGTTGTCCAATCTGGTTGCTCTCCTTGTTTCCTACTTTCAACTTATAACCCTTTACAGTGTGTTATCAGTTCAGGAACGTATTTGTAAAGGTTTTCCAGCATTTGGTTTTATTTTGCTCTACCCTGTTCTTCTTAGTGCAAAACTAAGATGGCAATAGCAAAAATGACATACTAGGGGCCTCCTAACCCTAGTCCACAAACCCTTTATGACATCACAGGGACCTTTTCCTAGAAAAAATATAATTTTGTTCAGATTTTATATATCTTCCTAGCAACGTCTTTGCAATTTGTTACCAGTAAGTAGTATTTAGAACTTACTGTACTTGGTAAAGTACATTTCCACCAATCAATGTGCAACTTTTAAAAAGAGAACTGTAAGGGGATTTTTTTAGCATACTTGTTCGTAGAACTCGTTGACGATGCCCTCTGTCCACTGCAGGTGCAGCTCCTTACACTTCAGCGGTCCATTGACATCAGCCAGCTTGATGCACATCTGGCACACCAGCAGCCGGTCGTTTTCGTTGGTCCAATCAATACCGGAAACCCCTTCATCACCCACCTGGGGAGATGTGCACAGGATGGTTTGTGTTAAAACCGTTATGAAATCCCTTAGTTTCAAGACACTCTGAGAGGTTATTTCAAAGATTTTTTACCTTAGCGTTAAATTCTGCAAGGAAGTCAAAGTGCTTTTTGAGGTCAGTGGCCAGGATGGCTTCAATAACTAGGAAGCGGAAGCGTTTGAACTCCACATGTTCGAGGTTTGCCAGGAAGTTAAACTCAGGTCGGGACATAAAGAGGTTCCACGCTGAAGCTGCATGGTGGTTCTCCAAGACGGAACGATCATTGTACAGAAGAGCCTACAGTGGAAGACCAAGAGGAGAAGGTGAAATAACATTCTATCTTGTTATATAAGATGAACACTTGAACAGTGTTTTTCACCATGAGAATTGTGGTATTGATATTGACTCTCATGTAATGGATAGAGCTTATTAATGATCTGGTTGGCACAGCAATAAGCTAATATTGATATGTTCAAATATAATATAATAATAATAATAATTACTAGTTTGTTATGGCATATTCCCCCTAGGTTGTTGAATAACTACTATTAATGTAAATTATTACCTTCATGAAATACATGTTTTTTCACATATAGGACAGGTTGTCACATTGAGTTATTGAGTTCAAAGCAAACGTTTTTTGTGACAGCTTGCTCTATTTTATGCTGTTGCGCAGAGCCAGTCTTACCTGCGGAGCACTTGTAGCTACAAGGAAAGCGTTAGTCCTTCCAGGATGGTCATAATCGTGCATTGCAGCAGCTACATAGAGGGCCATGAGCTCCAGGCCAGGGATGAGGCCAGCCAGGGAGCTGTAGCCGTCCTCCAGCACAGAGTTCATCTTGGACACCAGGAAGCCTGTGGCACCAGGAGAAATGCCATTCTCTGGGTCTACGAGCAAAAAGAAACAAAGCTCACACTCCAGTCACTGATGGTGCTCTGTGCTCGAATGATTCCCCCTTATTAGTTACACCTCATTATTCGTCTTGTAGGTTGTCGTGTTAAATGGCTGTCTGGATTATGAGTTGTGGCTGCGCCTGTTGCCTTGGTCCTTCTTGACGCCCACGTTATTATTTTTGGCAGTTGTTAGACAACTTTTATTTTTCACAATGTAAGTAAGTTCACAATGTTATTTTTTTCATATGGATTGTCTATGTTGTGATTATTAAGTTGCTTATTCTAAACGCACGATATCTATTGCAAGTCTGTCTCTCCTTCGAGAGGGATTCCTCCGCCTCTTGGATTTTCTTAATACCTTTTGGTTTTTTGAGGGGGAGTTTATATTTGTCCACTGCAAGGGGCTAATGACAGAGGGTGTGTTTTGCTATACTGTACAGCAAACAACAATTAAACTGTGTACAGCCTTTACACATTTTAAAACCCCTGAGGCAAATTTGTAATTTTTACTAATTTCACCTAGCTACTATTATTATTTAATCGGAAGGACATTATCAACATACTGTGTCTGTCTGTCTATCCTTTGCAAACAATGTGTGCATGTTCAGTTTTGTTTTGTTTTGTTTCGTAAGCCTACCTCTGTGAATGTGTGTGAAATAATATGCAACATGTTACAGCATGTATTACATGATTTATCTGGACACAAGAGATCAACTGGCGGTGGTGGCGAAGTCAATAGGGACTTGGCTTGAAACTGGAAAGTCACCAGTTCAAGTCCCCGAAAGTCCAAGTGCTACCGAGGTGTCCCTGAGCTAGGCACCGTTCCCCACACTGCTCCCCCCAAGCGCCGTACATAATGGCAGCCCATTGCTCCTAACAGGATGGGTCAGCAATTTGTTATACTTACAAACATCTGGAACTTATGGGGAACATATTGTGCAGGCCTGCTCTTAAAACCGCATGCATTAAAAGTCCTCACCAGTGTGTATCCCATTCTCAGTCAGCAGGGTCGGCAGACCCGGTACCGGTTGAGTGGTGAGGTACCAAACAGCATGGAGCACATCAGTGGCATGGATCCGGTTATGATCTGGGGAGGGTAAAAAACATTTTTAAAAGGGGTTGATACGATTGATTGCAGTCAGCAGTGTTAGGCTTGCTCTTTTATAATAAATATTCTTAAAATCTTAGATATATGTTGCAAAAGTAGTACACATTGCAGGCACTATTTTCCCGGTTTTCATAGGGAAGAGAAAATCTAAACCATGTACACCTCCTAAAAATAATTGCATAATGTATAAATATAGTTGTACTTTATTTTAGAAACATAAGGATTTTAGATGCTGTAAAACCATTTTAAAAGCTCATGCTACCCATCAGCTACATATTCCATTTCAATACGAATTGACATAAACACATAGTTAATTAGATATGATCATCTTGTGACTTAATATGTCTGCCAACTGTCAAGTATAAGAGCAAACCGTAAATTACTAAAGCAGAAACAAGGCCTGTTAAGTGTTCTCATATCACTTTAACAAGGCGCTACATCCCCCTTGTGGCTGATAAAAGTAATGCTCGACATCAATAATTCACTTCATTTAATAAACATGAAAATTCCACTCACAAGGGATGACCCTGTATCCGTTCTCCAAAGCATGGAAGTAGTTCATGAACTCTCGTACAGGAATTCTGAAGGTCTCAAATAGACCTGTGTCCTCGAAGAGCTTATAGGAAACCTGGGATATGAAACAAGGAAAACATACTGTGAGTCACATTTAATAGAGGTTCAGAGGTACCTGAACAAGTTAGATGCCGCCTATCACAGTGCACTGAGATTTGTTACTAATTGTAAAGCACTTACTCATCACTGTACTTTGTATGCCAGGGCAGGTTTGCCTTCACTTACTGTACGGAGGCTCAGTCATTGGTACATGTTAATATATAAAGCCATGTTGGGTAAACTCCCGTCTTATATCTGCTCTCTGATCACACAGAGAGTTGCAGGTAGCTATTGCCTGAGATCACATGATGTGGTCTTGTTACATGTGCCAAGTGCAAGGACTGACTTAGGTACGAAAGCTTTTATGTGCGCAGCTTGGAACAGTCTTCAAAAATAATTGAAACTGAGGAATTTGGTTCCACTGCATGTTTTTAAAGCTTGGATAGGTGCAATGATACTTGATACTGTTGGTACTTGTCAATGTCGCTAGGTATGTAAATGTGCCCTGTAAATATGATGTCCTTTATTGTTTTATGTTGTATAGAATAGAATAGAATAGAATAGAATCGGAGGGATGAAACCCCTCTTTAATGGTCACACATGCAGAGCACACAGCACACACAGTGAAATGTGTTCTCTGCATTTAACCCATCCTAGTACCAGGAGTCTAGTACTAGGAGCAGTGGGCAGCTACTGTACAGCGCCCGGGGAGCAATGGGAGTGAGGGGGGAAGGGGGGTGTCCGGTGCCTTGCTCAAGGGCACCACGGCAGGGCAGGAGGTGAACTGGGACCTCTCCAAGTAGCAGTCCACACTCCATATTTAGGTCTGTTCGGGGACTTGAACCGGCGACCCTACGGCTCACAGTCCAAGCCCCTACTGACTGAGCCACTGCCGTAACCTACTTGCTGCAGGTCTCCCTTGAAAAAGAGATCAATGATCTCAATGGGACTTACCTGGTTAAATAAAGGTTTGAAAGTAGTCCTCTGTCCATAGCACATGTTTTGTTAAAGAAAGGTTGAGAATCGGCTAAGACAAAATTATTTTTGGAACAGATGGAAAATATGTCTTCCCACTGCCTGTACAGCGAATGTTACTTCCACACCAAGCTGTTAATTGCATACATGTGAAACAGTCCTACAATTAGAGTCCCCCTTAATTGAATCAGTATAGATATCTCAGAAATCTTTTAAGTGTTTCATCATCAATAAGTGATTTACCTGACTAAGGATGCAGCCTGTCTTGCCATTGGTCTTCTCCATCAGACTGAAAATAGGAAAGTTCCAGTTGTTGATTTGACACAAGAGAGGCTCCAGCTCCGACACCGCCAGAGGCTCCTGGGCAGAGATTGGCTTGTCCTGTCAGGTAGAGTAAAATAACTTATATCATTTCAACATCCTTATTAAGAAAGAAATTATCCATGTTCTTCTTTTTCTCATTGTTTTTTGAGGGATTTGAAGCACATTTGAGCTCATGACACAACTGAGACTTTTTCTTTCCTGTTACCCAATTAGCCCTTTCTGACGGCCTACCTCTGGTGATGGCAGGAGTGGGTGAAGAACGATGCCCTCTGCCAGATACTCCCTGCAACCTTCCCTGGCTTCAGGCTGCTTCTTGCCTCCCTCTCCCTCCTCATCATTCTGTGCAAAGTCGCTGCTGTCACTGTGGTTGGTCTCATAGGTGCTGTCGTAGGTGCTGTCATAGTCTGAGGAAGCTACTGCGCGCTCATCTGGGGACACAGTACGCATTGCAATTGAATGCATTGTTATTGGCAGTTAAACAAAATTACAATGAGGGACAGATGTGGAGAAGATAAGTAGGAGTTAAAGGTCCCCTATTATACTGTTTTTCATCAATATATAATAGGTCTCAGATATATACAAAACATGTCTCTGAAGTGTTTGACTCGAAATATCAAACAGATCGTGCATTGCAGCATCCCGTAATCCCCTCTGTTTCAGCCCTGTTTCAAAAGTGCTGATTCTCTGTCTTTTACTTTAGATGAAAATAAGGAGCCACTCCCCACGCCCCTCTGAGAGATATTTGGTTTAAAAGAACACAATGGTGCTCTAGGAGGAGATTCAGGTGATAAGGTGGGGGGGTTACCTTGGTTGGTGATTGGCTAATGGTTACACAAGCTAAACAATCGTTATGACCAGGGGTGCACATAACTGGTACGCAGGTACGCATGCGCGGCAACAATCTGAAATGCGTACCGTCACTTGTGTCACAAAGCGCATTTGCGTACCGACGTACTTGTGAAGCTTTTCCAGAAGGCGGTTAGATCACCGGACGACAGAGTCGGTCTCCGTGTGCACAGACAGGGCTGCTGTGAACGTCGGTCTGTACAGCAGCCCTGCGCTAAAACAGCTGATCACAACGTTCACACGCTCCGCGGTCACGAAGCTCTGTACTCCACTACCTCCCCCCCCCCCGTTGACAATCGCGAAGCGCTGTACTCCACCGCCACCCCCCCGTTGACAATCGCGAAGCGCTGTACTCCCCCTCCCCCCACCGTTGACAATCGCGAAGCGCTGTACTCCACCCCCCCCCCCACCGTTGACAATCGCGAAGCGCTGTACTCCTAACACCCCCCACCCCCCCCCCCCCCGTTGACAATCGTGAAGCGCTGTACTCCACTAACACCCCCCCCCCCCCCCCCCCCCCCCGTTGACAATCGGCAGAAGTTGGAGTACCAAACACTGACTCCAGGTACTCATCTGTACCTGGAGTACCCTCACTGAGAAAGGTGTGCACCACTGGTTATGACATCATAAAGTGGCCAAAATCTGATCAGCTCATTTTCAGACAGGTTTTTATATAAATGGATCATGACAAAAAGTGAGCGAATCTTTTTTCCTGAAACTTTCAGAATCTCTTTACACAGAGGGGACACATGTTTATGTATAAAAGATGTGAAAAAGTGGATTTTGCATAAAACGGGGCCTTTAAATCATATTATGAACCTCGAAAATAAGATTTAAAAAATCTATCATAGAACCTACTCTGCTGTTTACCTGGATGGGGTATTCTGTCCCCTTTGTCGACAGATTCCCCCCTGTGGTTCAATTGATTGTTGAACGGCCTGCCACAGCTGATGGGAGGAGAGCAGAGAAGCGACTCATTGAAAAAACGAATTTCCCTCATTTTCACACAAACAGGCGCTTCTAAAGCCTCATTACAATATTTGGGAATTGGAACTTTTCTGAATGGAAGTTAATATAGTGTTTGTGCATGTATGTTACCTGCCGCAGAGTGATGCAGGCCGCCAGTGAGGGGTGGTGGAGCTCGGGGCGCTCTGGCTGTGAGTTAAGGCTCTGTGGTGGCTCTTGGGGGCCACAGAGCCAGGGGTCTGTTCTAAAAGGGGCACAGCCAGCTCGGGAAGCTGCACTGAACATGTCTTGATGGTTGGGCTGGAGGCAGGCGTGCCCTGGTGGGGAGGAGATGGGCACGGAGAGCCCAGAGGTGATACGTTGGAGGGGGGGAAACCTGAAAGAGAGGGCAATATTAACTCATATCCAAACGTCTTTCTGTAGTTTGATCCTCTTGATACCCGTTTTCCTCTGTCTTTATCTTATTAATTTACTTATTTTTTTCAACAAACACACAGACACACACCTGGTCTTCCCAGTGGTTTGTCGTAGAGGTGGTTGATGGTGATGTTGGCAGCATAGGAGGCGGACATGGAGCGACTCTTTGAGATGGTCATCATCAAGGAGTTGTTCCACGATTCACTGATTCAATGTAAGAAAACCATCACCATTACTGTATCAGAGGCACTGTAATGCTCTTGATTGTAGTGCGTCGTGTGTGAGCGTTACCTCTCTGTGGTGTGTTTGATGCTGGCTGAGCGGTCTCGGCGCACAGGGCCCGGCTCGATGGTGGGCAGCCCTGTAGCTGAGGTGGTGGTGGTCCAAGTTGAGGAGATTCTCCTGAGCAATCCTGGGGGCAAGCTCCGTCTTAGACGCTGTAAGGCAGATAAACAAACACACGTTTAGGCTGTAGAAGAAGCTTCAGGAGTCTGATGAGGCCATAAGGACAACATTATTGTGCTTGGGCACTGAACAGAATCTTGAGTGGGAAAACTACTAAGAGTTGCAAGGTATTGGAAACTACAAAAAAAATATATCTTGCCAGTGTGTTTGTAAGAAAAGTACATTTTTATGTCATGATAAGTAGAACTACAGTATATATGACAACACCCTTAGAATACCTACATTTCATATCATACCCTGGATTCTTGGATGTGAATTAACATGAGTACCTTTTGCATTTCAAATGTCTTGCTTTCTGTCTTTTCACATCTGCTCGAATTCCATTTATGAATACCAAGGCCTTCTTTTCATAAAGCAAGTTTTGTTAATGTTAAATGAATATATTACCATGGCATTTGTACATCCCCTTAAACAGTTTTTGTTTTAAATGATAGGCAAGTATGAGAAAAAGTTTGGGAAAAATCCCCAAAAGTCACAGTTCACACAGTTCACACAATTAGAGACCAAATAGAACATCAAGGAACGAATCACAGCTCCATTTCCACACAGAAATAACTCTATTAGTTAAACTGACAATTCAAGTTAGCCTCAGGCAAATGAGTTAACTCAGAGCTATATTTTCTCACAAAGAAACTGTTGTGTCTCCTCTTTAACATCAAACTAGATGGGTGCCATATTTGTACTTCCAGCCCATTCTTGTTTTTGTAAGCATATGGGAGACAGAATGGCAAGTAGAGAGAGTGGCACTTGTTTCCCCCGTGGATTCAATCTATCCAAAGTTGTACATTTTGTTGTAAAGCCTTGAGCCAAACTCCGTCAGTTTTTATTTTTGTACAGTCAGTGTGTTTCTCTCTCTCTCTCTCCCTCTCGCACACAAAGGCACACACACAATGGTCTATAGAGGGCAGCAGAGGATCACATAGATTGAAGGAAGTCAAGTTGATTGTTAACTTGTTAGGATAATGCACACATACCGTTCACACACACACCACAAACACACACATGCACACACACACTGTATACTTCCCCCCCACAGTGAAGGAAAGCTATAGGCATCTAACAGTGTTGAAGAAGGACAGAGTGATCAAACACTGAGCATCACGTCTGCTTTTCACTGTTGAATTATATTACTGTGTGGAAATGCAGCTTTGAATTCAGATCTGAAACATCTGCACTGCATTATTATGCAATCATGTAGCTGACAATAATATAAGTAGACATGAAGTTGGCTGTAATGGACTGCTGCATGTTATCTTGGACGTCTCACATAAAGTCTCTGCTTCTTTATTTCTGTACTAAAGTGAAGAAAATAAAAACCCCATTGGGATGATTTGGATGTGTAGCTGTAATATGCACTTTTACAAATATAAACCAGTGCCCCAGAAGTGTGGTTTAATGTTTGGGAGATGCTATAAAATTGACAAATAGCCAGAACTGCTTGATGTAAACCCTGTTTAACAAAAATAAAACAAAGTGTTTTTCTGTGCCATTTAGCTAAGTAAACACCAGAATAACAAATGCACCTTGGTCATCAACATTTCTTATTGTCTTTATGTAACTGCTATTTCTAGCTTGACAACAGGGCAGCACAAGTCAGCTGAATCACCAACTTTAACCCATTGCTTCATGCAGACTCACAAATCCCCAATGAGCTCAAATGAGACAGCATCTCATTGAGTTTCACTACATGGGTCGAGCATTTGAGTGCACTCAGGCAGTGTTAAAGCTGCTTGTCACTTTCCTGGTAGGCTATCCTGCATTGCATCACACGCTTTACTTAGTTTCCTTGCCGCCTTAAGTGCACGCATACATTTTGAAGTACTGGCCTTGTAAAACATTAAAAAGCCCTCTGGAAGCCTGTGCGTCATTGTTAGCTACATTAGAGCCCCACACTACGCAAGCAGTAAGGGAAGGAATGGGGGTGTACTGCAGCGTACAACAAAACTTAAATTCTTATGGTAATACATCTAAGTTTTCTTATTCAGAGATATTTCCTTTATACTTTGCTTCCTGATGGAGAACATCAAGATCTATTTACAAGCCCTAGGAAGTATTAATACATATTAAGGAGGCCGATAAAGTCTACTTAGAATAACACACACTCCAACACAAAACTGCATAAGAGGAAGTTTCAACATGCATGATCTTTAAAAAAGCTATTGCTCTTCCAAAGCTGACACCTTCTCTACTGTTGGTTCAGTGTAATAATTCCATATTTCACTTTTGGACCATTTTGTCAGTGAAAAGATGGTAGAGGGGGTAGGGGAGAGTGGGACGAAGAGGGGAGGGAGCTGGCGAGAGGGAGTGCTCGATAACTTTTTTTGGTCATTGAGCCTAGTGGTAGTGTACAGTTCTCTTCATCATACGTGAAGTGTGTGAACTCAACTGCAGAATGTACTCTCTATATTAGCATTTTCTTTTTATTATCTGCTCTGTTTTGACGTTGTTAGGCTGAAAAAACATGGGTTGATTCCTGAGATATGTTGAATAATAGTAGCATAACGCCTTTTGCGGCTCCAGGGGGAGCTGCATTAAATCTGATAAATTGCTTCAACTAACGTGACTGCGTCAGTTGGGTTTGAAGACTACAAGAATCTGGAGATGTGGAGAAAGAGAGATTTGTTTCTTCCCCCTTACTTTGGTGTTCCAGGACAAATTTTACTGGTTGGTTTTAACTGCTCTTAGATGAGCATAAAAAACATTAATCATCACCACCTTTTATTTAACAGCCATTTAAGCTGTACTGTAAACAATGTCTCAGACTACTTGTTACATTAATAACGTCAGTGAATATACAAAGAATAGACACTGAAAATGATTTCTAAAATGAGTTTAGTTTAATTTAAATTTAAATTTAGTTGGTTTGTGGGTGTGTACTATCTGATGGATGGATGAACATCTAGGGTTACCCATTCATTTCATATGGCGGCCATTTTTTGGTAAAGTTGACTAAACCACAAAGTTGACTAAACCACTCAAAATTCAATGAAAGTGGTGATCAGCAATTTAATATGTCAAAATGCCCACTGTAGAGGATATCATAATGCCTTGAGGCAATCAAATGTAAAACACAACATTTATGATTGATGAAAGTAGTAACTCGGTCAGATTTGACCCGAACACGACTGGAGGGTTGAGTGAATTGGGGGTGGTTCAACCAAAAAGTTAATTTGGTATTTCATAGGAATTTCCATTACCAACACTAATTGGTAATGTCTCGCTACTCTTTTAGTTCATCTTTGACGCCTACAATTTAACTGGACATCTGTGGGAGGGTCCTGACCCTCAGGTTGGGTCCAGTGCTACAAGTCACCATGGTGTTGATTTATTTATCTGTATTATATAACTCAGTATAAAAGACTATGCTATTGAGCATAATCAGTGTCATTCTTACAATAAGTCTTTGGGGGCCCAATTAATTGTCCTCTTAGCTGGCGGGTGAACTTCCAATTAAAATCACTATCGTCATTTGAATTGATATAATATTGATTATTGATGTTATTTCACACAGGACCAAAAAACTGAAAATAAACTAATTTTAAAGGGAGACACATATTTACCTTTGGAATGGCCAGTCTCTCTATTTTCTCCGGCCCCTCCTCCGAGTCAGAGCAGGTGTTTATGTCTGCAGGGATGCGGGGCCGATGGAGCGGCTGGAGGCTGATCTGGGTGCTGAGGAGGTTGCTGACGGCCTTCAGGGAGCTGCAGGTGTTGGGGGGCAGCGAAGGGTCTGCCAGCAGGTCTGAGATCAGACCGTGGGCCTCCCCCATCACTGCGATGTCCACGACCACATTCGTGCCCGAAGACTGTAGAAGAAAAGAGATAAAGAGATAGAGAATGAGATAATAATTCTTTGTTCATCTTTGTGGTGTAATGCAATGATGATGCGGTGAACATACGTCACACCACACTGACGCACACAGCTATTTTATCTCGGTACCTGAGAGGAGAAGGGAATATACGTGTGTGTGTGTGTGTGTGTGTGTGTGTGTGTGTGTGTGTGTGTGTGTGTGTGTGTGTGTGTGCGTGTGTGTGTGTGTGTGTGTGTGTGTGTGTTCTGAAAATGGAATATGTGCCGTGTGTTGGAGCATCTGTCCTTATACTTAATTTAACATCCTACAGTCCCAGGAGGTACTAACTATGACATCCTTGTTCAGGTGATGTGAAAGTCTAAATATGTGATAGAAAATAAAGCTGGTAGCATGATGGCAATTAAGGTTGAACATGTATGATGCTGTAAAACATATAATAGCCGTGTCCTACATTCTACAACACTCCTATTAGGAATTAAAAACACTCCCGCTTCCCCCGTCCTGCCTACATTTAGCTGTCACTCATCATATTGATTCGTAAGCCCAGAGGCTCATGTATGTTAAAGGTCACCCCTGTTATTTTTCAGTATGGATTCAACCGTTAATGTCAACATGTGCTAATCATCTCCTCTTTAGCTTCTAATCAATTTCCACACACTCTGAAACATATGTATTCACACGTACACACACACGACACTCTCACTCACACTTAGCATTTGTAATCCATATGACACAATTGGTACATGAAAAAAAAAAGTCGATAATGTAGACTTTGAATGAAACTCACAAATCTTCCAACAATGCAATAATGGAAAACTTAAATGCGTGTCTGAAATCAAAGGCCAACCTTCAGTTATTGGCAGTTATCATATTTTTCTTAGAGCTACATTTCAGAGGGTTTATTAGCCCGGCCTACTCTCCAACAGGGATGTGTGTTTACAACGCTAGTTTAGGTTAGAAACTTATTTGGAGAACATTATTAGGAACTTTTGGACCAAAAACCAAAGTTTTGAAATAAATCTTTTGGAAAAAACAATGAAGCCTCATCATGACAGTTGCTGAACTTTGTGTGAACCTTTCCTGTTTACTCAGTATATAGTCTAGATATCCTCTTCATGTATCTGTCTCTACTCTTGACGTCTTGGTAAAAAATAATCACAGCAAACAATAAAATGTAATGCAAACCTTGACGTTTTTTTCTCCTTTTTTCGATCCTGTATTCTGTTCTCCTCCACTGTGCCAGCACATGAAGCAAATTAGCTCACGTGATAACTCCATGCATAAGCCTTCACTCTCCCATCTGCCTGCCCTCCCGAGGCTGCGAGGCTTGGAGACTGGCAGCAACCTCTGCTTTTGCCACTCCGCTTGTATCTGTGCCCTTTCCACGTTGTTAGTGATTTTCAGTATTCTACTCTATTTGGGTCCTCAGTTAATCTAAAACACGTTCAGTCACTCTTCTCTACTTCACATACTGTATATATATTTGACTCTGGTAGAGTTTATTTCTAGTTACTAAAACGGTACTAAAAGTAGAGTAGGTAGAGTAGATGGGGAAACATAAAATGTAACAATGGCAGAGCCCCCCCTCTGTAGTCAAACAAAGTGACTGATGATTCTCATAATTTGCTTCTTTAAACAGATTGTATTAGCTCTTCAAACATATCAGAGCTCCGGCCTGTGATGTGATGAGTAAATGCATCAAGCACATAGGAAGATAGTTTCCTGGAAGAGTGCGTGTCTGTTTGTGTGCATGAGCGGGTGTGCATGTGTCACCTCAACCTGAACAAAACCCATTAGACCACTCCAGAGCTTTATGACATCCTGCTATTGTGACATTCACCCATTACCTGGCAGTAATGGTCTCTGTTCAGCTAATGTCAGGGAGAGAGTCAGATAGAAGGAGCTTGACCGTGTGTGTGTGTGTGTGTGTGTGTGTGTGTGTGTGTGTGTGTGTGTGTGTGTGTGTGTGTGTGTGTGTGTGTGTTGCAGCCGTTTCAGGAAAAAGATGGTCTCAGTTAAATGTCTATTTAAGCCTAGGAAACAAAGAACAAGGCTACGTTATATGTATGCATTGGCAAGTCCATTCAGTAAAACATGTACAAGCATTTGAGAGGATGGAGTGCTACAGAGCGACGTTCTGGTGGAGACACAGTGAGGCAACACGAGGGAGAAGGTTATCGATTCCTCCCAGCATAAAGGCCGACAGGAGACGAGACAGCAGGCGGAGCGATGGTCAATGAGTAAATCAACAGTGGGCACACACAGGCAAATGAGTGTATACACACACAGGCATGCATGTACCAGAATCACATAATATTAAACACTGGCCTATGATGATGAACACCAATAAGAAAAATAAGGTCAGTGAACATCAAGTGTAGAGCTGCTGACTCTTACGACTCAAAGCTGCATAACATCATCAAAGTTAGACTCAGAGAGTATGGGCTAACTTTACTAAATGTTAAACCATACACCCCAGCACGTGCACTCCGCTCTGCATCAGCCAAACGGCTCGCTGCACCCGCACTGCGAGGGGGACCCAAGTTCCCATCTGCAAAAACACGTTGGTTTGCTATCCTGGCTCCAAAATGGTGGAATGAGCTCCCCATTGACATCAGGACAGCAGAAAGCTTACACATCTTCCGGCGCAGACTGAAAACTCATCTCTTTAGACTCCACTTCGAGCAATAAAATGAAAAAAATGAAAAACAAAACAAATAAACAAAAAACAAAATAAAAAACACTTATATACTAACAAAGGACTGGCTCATCTAAAGCCTGTTGAGTAGCACTTAAAATGGTTTGGCTCTATGAAACCTAATGTACTTATATGATTCTGTTTTCTTCAAGTTTGTATCTTCTTGGTCGAATGCACTTATTGTAAGTCGCTTTGGATAAAAGTGTCAGCTAAATGAAAAATGTAATTATGAAAATCCATCTAAATGCAACACATGTAAAGAGGTAGTTGCTTGTCAATGGGACCACTTAAGAAGCTGTCCTTCAAAACTGTTTACGAAAGCAGGCCCTTGCAAATATAAAATACTTGGCATGGGATTGGATCATCTCTCAATCCAACTCTTAACGGAACCAGTTGGAAGATAAGGGAAATTGTCTTTTCAATTACAAAAACATTCAGGGGTTTTCTTTGCTCTTCTTTTAATAAACAAAAAAACTATTATGTTATAACTGATATTATTTCAGCATAGACTTAAACCACTGCCCCTAGCAGCAGGTAACACCTCACTCACAGGACAATCATTTCCCAGGATATTTTGAGAATCCAGCTTCCATGCAAAGTAAGGTGACACCACAAACTTCATGATACAAATACTACATTTAATAAATCTGAAGCAGTGCAACATATTTGACTGCCTTTGTAAAGCAGTTGCTGCACCTACGTCCTCATGCAGATGGTATTTGTAAAACTAAGAATGTGATCGTCTCTACATCATCAAATCAAGGTAATAGTTGACATCATGTACAATTAAGTAGTTATTAAATCAGGACACAGTTGGCATCTGTTTTAGGCACTCATAAAGTTAAAACTTATATTCCTAAATGTTGAATCCTTTCAAATATGTGTATGCCTTTATTTTTTAAACCAAACTATGGAGGGTAGTATCAACAAGAATATTGATTGAAGTATCAGTATCAATACACAGTATCAGTATTTATATCTGTATCAATAAAATCCATAGGAGACCTCTCTCTATGCCAAGAAAAAAGTAAAGAGAGTAGCATTGAAATCTATCCTTCACTTTACCTCTATCGCAGTGATTCTCAAATGGGGGTACACGGACCCCAAGGGGTACGTTGGGGTACTGCAGGGGGTACGTGAGATAAAACAATTAAAAAAAGGTTAATAAAATAAATACCATGCATCATTACAAAAATAATTATAGTACAATAAGTTAAATAGAAAACACAGTTTTATATAAAATATTCCTAGAACCACCAAGGGTTCAAGATCCATTCTTGTGCTTTTCTGGTGCTTAACTGGTTCTTCTCTGTTTGTACAATGCATGAAGGAGTTAATAAATCACACACTGATGGAACATCACTATATTGTAATTATTTATATAGGCTTTTTCTATCAAAAATGTTTGGGGTCGGTCAGGGGGTACTTGGCTGAGAAAATGTTTCAAAGGGGGTACATTACTGAAAGAAGTTTGAGAAGCACTGCTCTATAGGATTCAAAAGACACCTTTGTGAAAGAAACTGACATGACGTTTTCACAGGTCCTCACAGGCCCCAAAACATGTAACCTGATTTAAAGTCAGCCCATGCATTTAAAATGTGATGTTTTGATTTCAGTCATCAGGCCTGAACCACACACACTATGGGATGGTTCCCCTTCGAGCACAGATGTATGTCTACGTTATTATCATGGGGATGTACTGTACACTATCGCCAACTTTCGCTCACCCGTTTTGCAATAATCTTTTCTTCCAGTTTCCTATTTCACATCTTCTTCTTGTTCCCATATCTGCTATTTCCCACAATATCAGTTTTCCACTCTCTACCCCATCCCCCAGCTCTCTCCTGAGAGACAGTTAAGAGATATGTAGGCAGATCAGGCATAAAGGCAGATGGTGAGAGCAGAGAGAGAGGGAGAGAGAGATAAAGAGCGATAGAGATAGAAAGAGCGAGAGAGAGAGCGAGAGAGAGAGCGAGAGAGAGAGAGAGAGCGAGAGAGCGAGAGAGAGAGAGAGAGAGAGAGAGAGAGAGAGAGAGAGAGAGAGAGAGAGAGAGAGAGAGAGAGAGAGAGAGAGAGAGTGGCTGAGTCCACAGGCAGGCCATGGCCAGTCAAGTGAAAATGAGAACAGGCAGCTGAGCTTCTCCACAGCCGAACCTACAACAACTGTACATACAGCACTACAGCAGCCCGTTGTCTCTGTACTACGACACCAACAGAACACAAAAGAGTCAAATATGGAGAAAGTCTCTGTGCTAAAGTCTCTGTGCTTTAAGAATGAATGCTGAGGCAGTTGTAG